CATTTGGCAAGAAAACCATGGGGATCGCACTTCTTTAAGCAGCTGTTAGTAAAAGGGGTCACAGGGGGACACAGATTTTTCTTTCCACCCACAAAAGGAACTGCCTGCACTCAGCTCTTGAGGGTGCTGGATTACTGATAAGATGCACAGATAGGTGTTAGAGCTACAAGTGAAGCACATTTCAGTGCTTCAAATGAAGCTATTGCTTTCTCCTTACCTGAGTGTGACGAGGCTGGTCAGCGAGCAGCCACTTCCTCTGGGCACTGTAAAGGCTCCTTGGGGGTGTGGCTATCCAGCTACTGTTACACAGCCTGGCCCTGTGGCTCTGCCTTTGGCCATCAGTGGTTTTCTGCTGCTCTCCTCTTACTGACTATATCAAGATCTTCTCTCCCAGCATCTTCTAAGCAAAGTCGATGGAAGCTGGCGTATTCGTGTTCTAGGGCTACATTCTGTTGATTGAACAGATTTTTCTTCAGGAACTGCGCTGTTTTAGACACTGTGGGGAGGATCAAAGGAAAATCACAGCTGTTTGTAGAAGCCAACAGTTAACCTAATATATAACCATATTGAGTACCAATATGCTCCTTTTCACTCTTGATTGCTAGTATCACCTGCTTCATGTTGATTACTATTAACTTATATTTTTAGATTTTTTTTTTTTGTTTGACCACTTTTTTTTTAATGCTCACCCAAGGATATGTTTTTATTGATTCTTAGAGAGAGGGAAAGAGAGAGCAAGAAACACTGATCAGTTGTCACCTATATGCACCCCAAGCCGGGATCAAACCACAACCTAGGTATGTGCCCTGAATGGGCATTGAACCCCCAAACTTTTGGTATAGGACAACTCTCCAACCAAACCACCTGGCCAGGGCTGTTTGACCCCTTTTTTCAGAAGCAAGTCCTATGCATATGATATATTACAGGGTCGAAAGGATTCATCCAGTTGAAGGGATTCATGAAGGAGAAAAAATCATTGCCCTACCCTTTTCTGAACATTCCTGGGCAAGAAAAAGAGGTCCTTATTTTAATGAAATCAGACAACTTTTAAAATATCTATGGGTCTTCAAACTCCTCCAGGAGACAAATCATTATTTACATGTTATCTTTCTCATCGTTAACATGTTTGTTTTAGGAGGGTTAAATGCATGTTACTGAGCTGTTTCTACGTCCTCCATGTATACGTAATGGCGGAGAAAGTCTACGGTGTAACTTGTATGACAGTGTGTGAAAAGTTCACACCGTTTTATTCCAATGGCATGAGGTAGGGTAGGCGAGTGGAGGAAAGCAGTACTGCGTTCCTGGCCAAGCTCTGATACTGAGTCAGTCCCTCTCCCTCGCTGGCCCAGGGCCTCTGAATGGCATCCCAGCAGCCTGGGGGCTTCCTCACTCTCCACCTGACCTGCTCCCTCCTCTTGTTTAGGAAATAAGCTGAGAGGCCACGAAGCTCTTTTTAAGAACTGCCTCACAGGACTGATTAGGCCCTGGATGACCAGGGCAGGGAGAGACCCCCGAGTCGCGGGGACAGTGATGGACAGGGAAGGCCTCTCCGAGGAGAGAGACTGAGCTGGATTCCGACGTTGGCGGGAAGGGGTTTCACGGTTTGTCTTGAAGGTTTTCTGTCTCATCCATCTGAGCTCAAGTCAGGAAATCAGTTCTGAGAGGAAAGGCCAGCAATACTTTAATAATGTGCTGTTTGGATAGAAAGCTGATGAGCAGACGTTCTGAACTGATGCCAAACCACCAGCTTTCCCCACAGCTCTCTGACCAGCCAGAGCCCCTCCCAGCCCTGCAGATGCCCAGCTTTGCTTTGACAGGCTTGGGTTCCCTACGTTCATTGGTTCCAGGGCCCCTTTGTTTTCCCCTGCAGAGATTCTTGGGATATTTTCTATTTCATAAGAAAGCCGTGCTATTATTACTCCTTGCGGCCTTGTTTCCATTAAATTGCAGGCCTGGCCCGCTGATATGTGACATCCTGTTGTGTGCTGTCTCAGCACATTGTAGCCGGTGGTTTCCAACACGCTTTGAAGCCTGGCCCTTTGTTCACTCAAGTCCTCACTGCCGGATGAATGACAGGTGGCATCAGGGAAGCTTCCCGTGGAAGACACTGTTTCACCAGGGGCTTTGCATCATCTGTATTGGTAGATCCCGTTTTCCTTTTTTGATTTTCTTTTTAAACTTTTTCTCAATGTTAATTGTAGAGGGCCCCTTGGGAATGCACATGGATGACCTTTAAATGAATGTCAGCTGAGTCCGAGGTGACTGGCATGGCTGTCCCAAGGAAACAGCCTCCCAAAATGTGGAAACTGTTATCTTTATCCATGTGCTTGGAATGAGGAACGTATGGGACCTTGACTTACCCAGGTCTTGATATGCTAAATCCCAGGAATGGGGGAATGAATAGGACCTGGGCACACCCAAAACTCCTTTGACCTTAACCCCCCCTCTGGAAATAAATAAATACGCTGTGTTATTTGTGTTGGGGGTTGCCTGTCTCTCCATCTTAGTGGCAGCCCTCCACCCGGGTCCCAGTTTGAATCTATTTCTGCCTCTTGGTCTTTTTTTTTCTTCTCTTTAATTTCTTAATCCCAAGCTCCTCCACTCAGGAGCCTGTCGTTTTCTGTGTGGATCATGGAAAACAGAGAAACAGCCCCCACAGTTAATTCTTTTAAAAATTATATTTTTTATTGGTTTTTACAGAGAGGAAGGGAGAGGGATAGAGAGTTAGAAACATCAATGAGAGAGAATCGTCAATCAGCTGCTTCCTGCACACCCCCTATTTGGGATGTGCCTGCAACCAAGGTACATGCCCTTGACCGCAATCGAACCTGGGCCCCTTCAGTCCACAAGCTGATGCTCTATCCACTGAGCCAAATGGGTCAGGGCTAATTTTTTTATTCAGTATACAAGTTCGGAAAATACAAAATCGCATCAAGGAGAAAATAGCAATGACCTAGAGTTGATGACACAGAATTGAGCACTGTTTACATTTTGATTTGTTTACTTTCTTGTGTGTGTCAATAATTTCTACCGTGAAAAGGTAGCTTTCCTGCATTAACAAGTTGAGGACTGTTAGGACTGCTAGCTCATAGGCTTCTGTCTGTTCCCCTCGGGTGAGGTGTTGGTCAGGCTGCTGGTGCCATGCTGGAGAACAGCCCTCCAACCTCCGTGGCTTGTAGCAGAGACATTTATCCCGAACTCTGGTGTGCAGGAGGGCTGCCCTGGGAGCCCGCCTGGCTCCGCTGAGCGAGGCTGGAGTTCAGGCTTCATGTCTGGTGCACACATCACCCTTTTAGGGCCTTGGCTGGGGGATCAGCTGCTACCAGGGGCATGCTCTTCCTGCCGTGCCTCTGAAGACCTTGGCTTAACAGCGAGGCATTGCCATCTCACCCTCGTTCTGTTAATCAAATCAAGTCACTTGGCCAAGCCTCAAGTCGGGAAGGTGAAAAGAATACTCTTTTCTTGGGAGGAGGAGGACGTGGTGAATAAGTTTGGGTCTGCTAGGGCGGTCAAAAAAATAAAAAAATAAATTCCACAGACTGGGAGCTTAAATAGCAGGAATTCGTTGTGTCATAATTCTGGAAGCCAATCGTCTAAGGTCAAGGTGTCAGTGAGGTTGATTCTTCTGTGGCCTCTCTGTCTTTGGCTTGTAGACAGCTGTCATCTTCTTTTGTTTTTATTGGTTCTAATATCCTCTCATTCTAATGGGACATTGGTCATATTGGATTGTAGTCCTGATCTCATTTAACCGTACTTTTCTCTTTAAAAACTCTACTTCCAAATATAGTCTCATTCTGAGGTTAGGACTCTAATGTATACATTTTGGGGGGGATACAGTTCAGCTTATAACAAATGGTAAGAGAGGAAAATGAAGGGAGGATTGTAGAAAAAAAAAAAATACCCCAGCCACTAAACCTCAAGAGCTCAGCTACCTCATCTTTAAAGCGGGGTAAGCATCTCCGTGTTATGGGTTTGTCGGGGATTGAAAGACCCTGGTGGTGCCCACCCTGTGTGGCTCAGTGGTTGAGGGTCAACCCAAGAGGTCACCTGTTTGATTCCTGGTCAGGGCACATGGCTGTAGTATGGGCTCCATCCCCAGTAGGGGGCGTGCAGGAGGCAGCCGATCGATGTTTCTCTCTCATCAATGTTTCTATCTCTCTCTCTCCCTCTCCCTTCCTCTCTCTATAAAATCAGTAAAAATATATTTTAAAGACCCTGGTGGAGATGTTGGGATGCGTGTGGTTCTCCCTCAAATGGAAGGACCACAGTTAGCCCTCTTGGGTCTGTCTCCCTGTTCTTGTCTTTCGTGGGGGGAGTTGGGGGTACACGGGGCTTCTCCGAATGGCCTGCCTTCCACAGCGGCTGCAGGACCAGGGGAATCTTTGTAACCCAGCCAATAGGACTTTTCGGGTACTTTCTTTAATAACGTTTAAGCTAATGCTAATTAATTAAAGAGAAATTGCTTGTCTGTCCACTTGAGTTTTGTTTTATGCCACTTCATATTGTTGTGTGTGTTGCAATTCATACGTTTTCATCCCATTCCCAATGTGTAAAATTGGTTATCGTGTATCTTTGAGGACTAATCTATAATAATAAAAGTATAATATGCTAATTAGACCAGACAGCCGAGCGACCTTCCAGACGGATGAAGCCTGGGCTGTGAGGGCCGAGCCCCTTGCACGAATTTCCTGCACCAGGCCTCTAGTTCAATTACAAATAAGCTGTTGTGGTTGTTGAAAATAAAACTATGGACTTAGGAACACATCCAGGAGCTACGGCTCCAGCATCCTTTCCCACACGTGTTTTTGAAGACCTTTTATGCTTTAGCAGGGCTCTGGGCTTCCTATCAGCACAAGGCATGGCCCTGCTCTCAAGGGCCTGCCATTGATTGCCTGGGGGGAAAAATAAGCAAGCCCGGAGGTCAGCGTCAGGGGTCCCTTGCCCTGCCTCTGTGCTCAAAGCCAGCTCTTTGTAAATGTCCTTCCGGGTTTCTCTCCTAGACCATTGTGCTGAGGAATGGCTCTGAGACCTTCGACTCCTGGAAGCAGCCCCCGCTGCCTGTGTACAGCCAGTTCTATTTCTTCAATGTCACCAATCCCGAGGAGATCCTCGGAGGGGAGATCCCTCGGTTGGAAGAAGTGGGGCCGTACACCTACAGGTGAGTCCTGGCTGGACTGGCACCTCGGAGCACCCCCACCAGGGCCCAGTCCTCGGCTTTCTGCGGTGCGGGAGCACCAGCTTTGACCCCATCTGAGTGAGACGGCCTTGTGGCCTGGAGCCGTCCCAGCCCAGCCGGCAGTGTTTAAATGCAGCTGCTGCTTCCTGGATTGGCAGCAGAGGTTGCTGAGCAGTGCTCCTCCTCACCCCCGCCCTTTAAGGTCACCCTGTGATTCTCTTTGGTGACTCCCGGGGCCTTCCCCTATTTCCCTCTCCCGCTCAGAGACCAGTTCCTAAAATGTGGTGTTCTGCAGAAAAGCCCACTAGTCTCTCACTCGCCCCTCCTCCGCCCTCCTGGGTCCGGGAGGCAACAATGGCAGTGCGGGTTAGAGATTAGGAGAATTGCTTTAATAGTGGTTTTCTGTTTGTTTGAATATATTTTTTATTGGTTTCAGAGAGGAAGGGAGAGGGGGAGAGAGAGAGGAACATCAGTGATGAGAGCGAATCATTGATCGTCTGCCTCCTGCACGCCCCACAATGGGGATCAGGCTCACAACCCGGGCACAGGCCCTGACTGGGAATCAAATCGTGATCTCCTGGTTCACGGGTCTACACTCAACCACTGAACCACACCGGCTGGGCTTTAATTCCACCCCCCCACCCCGAAAGTTAGTAGAGGGAGGCCTTAGGCCAGAGCGGTTTTCCTACTGCAGTATTCCTTCTTCCACAAGGCTCTCCTTCCCCCACCCACAGTAAACTTTCCCGTGAAGTTCCTCCTTAACAAGTTTTAAAACAAAATAGTAGAGGGAAGTAGACGGCAAGCTCTTCTTCTGCAAAATGGTAAAAATTCCTCACAATTCTGTCGTAACCCATTGCACAATAAATGGTTGTGACTGATTCACTTAGTCCGAATGAGTCAGTCGGATTCTCAAGTGCCGGAATTCACAGATGGCAGTCTCTGAATTGCCTGTTTGGGATCCGGCCTCTGCCACTTACCAGCTCTCTGTGCCTGGGTTTCCTTATCTGTAAAGTGGAGATAAAACGAGGGCCTCCACCACAGGGCAGTAAGGGTTCCATGGGGTAATGAGTCAGTATTTACAAACTGCTTAGACTAGTGCCAGCCCATGATGGTGTTTGCTATTATTGGTATCTTAGTCTGTGTATTTCAATGCACAGAATTGTAAAGATGAGCTCTGTTGTTATATAAAACAATTTTTTTAAAAAAATAGATCTTTATTTCTTTTTTTAAATCCTCACCTGAGGGTATGTTTTGATGTTTAAAAGAGAGAGAGAGACAAAGAGAGAGATGGATCTGTTGCCTCCAGCACACACTCTGGTCGGGGATCAAACCTGCAGCCTAGGTATGTGCCCTGACCAGAATCAAACCCACAACCTTTTGGTCCATGGGAGGATGCTCCAACCAACTGAGCCACTCAGCCAGGGAACAGATCTTTATTTTTAAAAGCATTTTTAGTGTGTTTCTTATGCCTACAGAAACTGTGTATAGTGAAGGGTTTAAAAAAATTTTTTTTTTAATTCAAGTATAGTTGGCGTACAATATTAATTAGTTTCAGGTGTACAACATAGTGATTTGACATTAATATACCTTATGATCTTTTCATCACACTAAGCCTAGTTACCATCTGTCACCGTGAAAAGTCATGAGAGTATTATTGACTATATTCCCTATATGCTGTACATTACATCCTGTGCCTTATTTATTTTATAGCTGGAATTTTGTACCTCTTCTTCCACTTCACCTTTTTTACCTGTCCCCCACTCCTGCCGCCACTGCTCCCATGTGCTGACGGCACTGGCCCCACTTGCACCCACTGACAGCACGGAGCTAGTGGGGCTGGCGCCAGCGGCAGGTGTGAGTGGTGCTGCTGCCCCGATCACCCCTCAGGGGCAGGGGGAGGAGGAGAAGCCCTCGGGGGCGATCAGGGCTGGCAGTCACCCCTCACATCTGCTGGTGGTGCCGAGTGATCGGCAGCGGGTGTGAGCGGTGGCTCCTGCACCAGATGCAGGTGTGAGCAGGGTCGGCACTGGCAGTGGTTGTGAGCACAGCTCCTGAGCTGGCAGTGGATGTGAGTGCCAGGACCGCAGTGTGCATGAACAAAGCATTTTCAGTAACCACCAGAGGCTTGCCCCAGTGACAGCGACCAGTGCCCCACCTTGGTATGGTGCCCAGCTCATCTGCTCCACCATCCTGCTGTGGCCAACACCCGCCACATTCCACACACCTCCCCCCTGGTGGTCAGTGCACATCATAGCAACCATTTGTTCGGTTGTCCGGTTGTTCCACCATTCGGTCTATTTGCATTTTAACCTTTTATTATATAAGATATTTTAATAGTGATACTATTCAAGAGGTAGCAGGAGCAGTGTTAAAACTACTTAACCGTTCCCTTTTTGGACACGTGGACCAGTTCTCACTTCATTCTTCGATTACCACATGGATTGAATGTTCTCCTCATGTTTGCCAACTGATGGTGTTTCCACACTCTGAGTTCTTGTCCTTTGCCTGTGTGCCCGTTTGGATTCTGGTTGTCCGTGCCACTCTGTAAACCTGACACGCAACATTTACCCTTTGTTACAGTCATGGCAACTGTTTTCCTATCCTTTGCCTTTTTTATGTTTAAATTTTACATATAGTGCAATCCATTCCTGTGTGAACTTTTCTATCACTTCTGAGCTTAAAAAGTCCTATTCCCTTCAAGGGTTTGATGTTCAAGTCTATTTTCTTGTAGCTCTACTTTTTTTTTTTTTTTTTGCATTTAATTTCTTAAGGATTTAATTGTCTCCTTGCAATTCAGCAAAGATAGGAACTTTGTTTAATCTTCCAAATTCTGACCGTTAGTCCTTTGATCCTTTACTGATCTCAGAGCCACGCTGAATACATTCTTTTTTAATATCAAAGAGATGATAGAAAGTTTAGAAATTCTATGGTCATTGTTTCCATTATTAAAATATTTTTTAAACCTGGCTCACTCTTCTCGGATACCACTTCTTCCTCAAAACAGAAACAGCGTCTTTAGATAAGTTTCTAAAAAAAAAAAAAGAATCTTTGACCCGCTCAGAGGTAAGAAAAGTAGAAAAAGACCCCCCCCCCCCCCACCTTGTCCTGCACAAAAGGCGGTGACCAGATACCTGTGAGCTCCAAAGGGTTGTCCTGAGTGACTTGTGGGCGCTGGCCAGGTGGGTCCTGGTGCCGCTGCCAGGACGGAGAACCATTTCCATCTTCAGGAGCGAAGATGCTTCTTGCCCACCCCCAGCGAATGTGGGCCACCCCGTCCTCGCCCACCTGCGCTTCTTCTCAGCACCTGCTCTGAGCGCTCCGTGTTCAGTCCTCGCTTCCTGGACCAGGCAGTGGTAACGGAAAGTTAAACCCTGTGCCACTCAGCGCCTCCCTGAGGCCTGCTTCCCGCCTCTGCCTTTGCTTCCTGGTCGTTCATCCACCTGTGACTTCACTTCTCCATCTTCTCTGTGGTCAGCTCAGCCGTGCCCTGCGCTGCAGGCTACTCATCCTCCCCAGGACCGTTTTCTCACCCTCCACTGCCCGGTGGAACCTGTGCCCTCTGCCGTGCTGCCCAGCTGCAGCCTCCCAACTGGGGGAGCCTGCTCCTTCCAGAACCAGCCCCACTGTGTCCCTGCACAGCACCTTCCTCAGGACGCCCACCCCAGGGGCCCCTCCTCTCTCCTCTGGGGGTCCCTCCGGCACCTGGAGGGCATCTGTGGAATAGGGTCCCGGTGTGAGGGAGCTGTTCCAGGTGTGAGGGAGCTGTTCCAGGTGTGAGGGGGCTGTTCTAGGTGTGAGGGGGCTGTTCCAGGTGTGAGGCGGCTGTTCCAGGTGTGAGGCGGCTGTTCCAGGTGTGAGTGGCTATTCCAGGTGTGAGGCGGCTGTTCCAGGTGTGAGAGGGCTGTTCCAGGTGTGCGGGGGTTGTTCCAGATGTGAGGGAGCTGTTCCAGGTGTGAGGGAGCTGTTCCAGATGTGAGTGGCTGTTCCAGGTGTGAGGTGGCTGTTCCAGGTGTGAGGGGGCTGTTCCAGGTGTGTGGGGCTGTTCCAGATGTGAGGGAGCTGTTCCAGATGTGAGGGAGCTGTTCCAGGTGTGAGGTGGCTGTTCCAGGTGTGCGGGGGCTGTTCCAGATGTGCGGGGGCTGTTCCAGATGTGAGGGAGCTGTTCCAGGTGTGAGGGAGCTGGTTAGATGGAAGTCTCTGTGCTGTACCAGGTTCTTTGAGGGCAGGAATCAGGCCTTAACATCTCTCCATCCATCTCCAGAGCTTAGTGTAAGCCCTCACCCATAACGTGTCTAGCTACTGCTCCCTAAGTTCTTAGTATGTGCCAAGTAGTGTTCTAAATGGGTGGCAAGCTTATGCAAATTTAATTCTCACTACAACCCTACAGGGAAGGTACATTCTTATCTCCACTTGCCTCCAAGGGGGCCCCTCCACAAGCCTACAAGGAAGGTACGTTATTGCCCCAGGAAACGGAGGCATGGAAGCAATGACTGACTTCTCCTTAGTCACAGAGCTGGGAATGGTGAAGCCAGAGGGAATGCAGAGCCGGGAAGTCAGATCTTAACCCACACTTTGCCCACTGTGCTCAGTCACATCTGAGTGATTCTCAGCAGAGAGCACTGGGTGGATGAAGAACTACAGTGACGAAAGATAAGGATCATATGATAGTACTAGAGGCGCAGTGCATGAATTCGTGCACCAGTGGGGTCCTTCAGCCTGGCCTAAGGGTTCAGGCCGAAACCGGCTCTCTGACATCCCCTGTGGGGTCTCAGATTGCGAGAGGTCGCAGGCCAGGCTGAGGGACCCCACCACTGCACCATCAGGGCCGGGGAGGGCCTGTGCATGAATTTATGCATCTTCTTTAACTTGTTAAAGAACTTAAAAAAAAAATGATTTAAAATGAAACATCTCTAAAATCAACCAGGTCTTTTCCTGCCCGATGGCATATAACCAGGGCCACCAGAATAACAAATATTAAGCTGTCCTCTGAGCCTGGGATGTCCTGGGCCTTGAACACCAGGATTTATTGGCATCTGCTCAGTACCAGGGACCATACCACGCACTTTCAAACATGGTTTCTTAATTAATTGTCTAGGCCAAAGGTTCACTTTGCCTTTAAAAAAAACTACAAAAATGCTTTTGTTTCTATTTCTAGAAGCTTCTTTAGTCGTGGCAGACACTGTAAAGGAGTGATTGTTCATTTCTTGCTCTCTGCCCGCTGTTCCCTAGAAGGCTGTCCCGCTCTAGTTGATGTGGCTGACCAGCCGGGTAACCAGACTTGCTGGTATTGTTGCCTCCGTGACAGAGTGCTTGGTTTTCCCCGGACTGTGCTCCTCGGACACCCTGACTACATGTTGTTCTGGGAGCGAGGCCCCCGCCACCTCCCTCCTGGGTTCCCAGTGGTCGGCAAACTCATTAGTCAACAGAGCCTAATATCAATAGCACAACGATTGAAATTCCTTTGGAGAGCCAAATTTTTTAAACTTAAACTTCTTCTAATGCCACTTCTTCAAAATACAATAGACTCGCCCAGGCTGTGGTATTTTGTGGAAGAGCCACACTCAAGGGGCCAAAGAGCCGCATGTGGCTCACGAGCTGCAGTTTGCCAACCACTGGGTTAGCCCACTCTGCAAAAGCTGAGAGTCGGCATGCCGGAGGGTGGCGGGCGGTGGAGGGGAAGTTATGTGGTTAGCCGTGAGTGACCCGTCACTCTCCCTTGGTGCCTGCCAAGTGAATTCAGTATTTTTGTGGTTTGGGAAACCCTGGCTTTGACTTTTTTTAATGTATTGAGAAACCCAGTCAAGTGACAAGGCTTACAGGGATCGGAGTTCCCATGCTCCGGTTCCCTTTAAAACACCAGGTTCTTACAGGGTGAGCTGTAAGGAAAACATTCTAAAGTCCCCCAGAGCCAGCACACATAAACAAACAGAAATGATGCCGGCTGTAGGGTTGGAAGTATTCAGGCCACCAGGTTCGTGACCCAGCGCTCAGGGAAAAATAAAAAAAAGGCTTTACAAGGTCACTCGTTTTCGTCATTCGTTAGAAAACTTGGCAGAGTTGATCCCTGGGGTTTTGGCCGGATTGAATCCCAGCTCTTTGCTCCCTGGCCCGGCTTTCTTTGTGTGCAAACTGGTGTTCACCCCGGGGTTATTTTTTCTGCTTCTAGTTTCTCAGTGGACAGCCAGGCCGGAGAGGGGTCCTGGGCCTGGTTGTAAGCGGGCAGCGCGCCCTGAGCAGTTCTTCCCTCTTCCCAGTGGCTGCAGGGAGGCTCTGGGGTGGGGAGGAGAGGAGAGAAATGCCCCCTGCAGGCGGCAGCCTTGGCTGAGGGAGGCAGCCATCTGCCTTTGACATGTCCTCTTCTCCGGTTGCTAACCAGCCCCTGTGCGTTAACTTCTCCTTGGAGTCCAGGGAAACCTGGGGTGTGAAGTCAGGGGACCAGGATTCTACATCTTGTTCTGCCACCTCCTGGTTAACACCTTCTGGGCTAGTTACCTCATCTGAAAATCCCTTTTCTCATCTACAGAGAGCCTGGGTTATGCCTTCTCTGGGAGGGGGCTTTGGTTGCAAGCGAGAGCAACTGCCCCTGGCCAATTTAACGAAAAGGAAAACTTACGTGAAGGCTCTCTAAAGTGGGTTACAGTTTCCACGCTGCAGCTGGGAAGAAATAGGCAAGTTCCAGGGCAGCCGTAAAGGCCCGAATCTCTGGAGCAGCGTTTTTCAACCGCTGTTCCGCGGCACACTAGTGTGCCGCGAGATGTTGCCTGGTGTGCCGTAGGTGCAGACAAGACAAGAATTTTATAATTTTTCACTATTTTGTTTACTTAATATTTCATAATAAACTAATTATAAAATACTTTCTTTGTGTTTATTTGATTCCTAATCAAGAGAATTACTTTATATATAGTCAATATAGGCACAGAGTTAAATTTTTTAACATTTTTTAATGGTGGTGTGCCTCGTGATTTTTTTCATGAAACAAGTGTGTCTTTGCCCAAAAAAGGTTGAAAAACACTGCTTTGGAGCACTAGGATCCTCGCTCATGTGCGCCCCCTGGAGGAAGCCGGTATTTCGGCCGTGTTTTCCATCTGGAGGCTCAGGGCTCAGGAGGCAGAGGCCATAGGGAAAAGAACTGGTTGAGTTGGGGTCCCACACCAATGCCCAGTGCAGGAGAGGAAAGAAAATCAGGGTCTGGCCAGAAAAAAAGGGCAGCGAATGTCTAGCAATCAAAACCCCACTGTAGCTACCCCCTACGTGCAAACGCACACGTGTTTTAACAGGACGGCCTCTGTCAGGTTTTGTCTGTGTTCCTTGTGAATATATTTTGGGAACAAACCATAACCCAGAGTTCACTGGCTTTGATGCCCCCGTCAAGATGACCCTTGACCACTGCATTTTTTAAATTGTGGGGGGGAAAGAAGAGAATGACAGATTTTCGGAAGCTTCTATTCTGGGCCTTATTTCCTCACATTACAAACCTGGAGCATTCGTCTCTCGATTTCACAGGATCAGTGCTGGCATGCAGTCTCTGTTGCTGATGGTTCTGTTGGGAATAGTGTGTTGGACATAGCTTTGATACTGACAGAAGGGGGGCATCTTGCGTTTTTAAAGTAGTGATTGTTTTCAAACAAAATCTCTTCCTTCCTTCCAGGGAAATCAGAAACAAAGCGGATATTCAGTTTGGCGATAATGGAACAACAATATCAGCCGTCAGCAACAAAGCCTATGTTTTTGTACAAAACCTATCTGTTGGAGATGCTCAAAGTGACTTAATTAGAACACTAAATATTCCTGCAGTGGTGAGTTAGCATTTTAAGTACTATTATTGTGGATTTTAGAGGAAAGGTAAAAGCTAACGTAAGGCTATTATGGCTTTACAGTTAGGAGCTAAGTTATGCTAATATATATATATATATATATATATATATATATATATATATATATATGTATGTATATATATATTCATATAGAAGAAGAAAAATATGTTTTCCCTTGCCCTTCTTTAAAGTTTATTTTACACAGTTTTCTGAGGTCTTTCAAACAAGGTCTTTTCAAAAAGCGACGGAAGGCAAATTTTAGGGTTTCTTTTCACAATTTCTTGCCGTGTGTTCAGGATCAGCACTTGTACAAATAATTTATGCCTCTAGGATTTTTTTTAAGTAGCTAATAATTTTTTTAAATTGTTTTTATTGATTTCAGAGAGAGGAAGGGAGAGAAAGAGATAGAAGCATCAATGAGAGCGAATCATTGGTCAGCTGCCTCCTGCACACACACCCTACTGCAGCCCGGGCATGTGCCCTGACCTGGAATCCAACTGTGACCTCTTGGTTTCACAGGTTGATGTTCAACCACTGAGCCATACCTGGCGGGCGAGTAGCTGATAATTTTAAAAATATTTATTTGCCCCTTGTTTTGGTTCAGAAACTAGCAATAGAATTTGCATACCATCTCTTAGATTTCTGCCTACGATTTTTAAGTTCTCAAAATACATATTTATTTTATTTTTTTAAAATATATTTTATTGATTTTTTACAGAGAGGAAGGAAGAGAGATAGAGAGCTAGGAACGTCAATGAGAGAGAAACATGGAGCAGCTGCCTCTTGCACACCCCCTACTGGGGATGTGCCCGCAACCAATGTACATGCCCTTGACCGGAATCGAACCTGGGACCCTTTAGTCCGCAGACCGACGCTCTACCGCTGAGCCAAACTGGCCTCTGCTCAAAATACATATTGACTGTTTTCCCCCATTCCAAATAGTAGAGGAACTGGGCTATTGATCACAGCCTGGAGTGATTTCAGTGGGCTCTGATTATACTGGTAATTCCATCTAATAACAATACATGTGACACCAGAAAACGTTCCTGTTCACCTGCACTGACCCCCTCTGAGGCTCCCACACTCACTTCTAGGTGACCACTCATGGTGGACCCAGGGCCTAGGAAACTTTGCATCCCAGATCTGGCCCTGCCCTGCCCCTGGTGGAGTTTATAAGGAGGGCCCCAGCCTCTGGCCAGAGCAGGAGGAAGATGGCGCCACCTTGTGGCCACAGATGCCAATGTCATTACAGGAGCTTTTCTCTTTCCTCCCGCTGTGTGGGGATGACAGGGTGGCCATGGGGATGTTGAGATCACAGTTAAAAATGTTCCCGCTGAGAAAGGGTAGTAACAGAGGGGTTTTATTCTTGTACACAGAGCCAGAGGGGGGTTCGTGGGCTAATTTTTCAGCTGTTTCATTTCAGCCTTTAAGTTTCCAGCTCCCTTAGCTGAAGGCTCGGTAGGTAGGAGAGGGGGTGGGTGTGCTGTTCTCTGAATCTGCCTGTGCTCCCCAGACCGCCATGGAGTGGGCACAGCAAGGCATCATCCAGAGGATCATCCGGGCCCTGCTGAAGGCTTACCGGCAGGAGTTCTTTGTGACGCGCACGGTCCACGAGTTGCTCTGGGGCTACAAGGATGAGATCTTGTCCCTCATCCACCCTTTCAAACCTGACATCCCTCCCTATTTTGGCTTGTACTATGGGGTAAGTGATTTTATTTTATTTTTTTTCCTGAGCCTCTTTGTTCAGCTGAGGGGGTTACTTCATCTGAAGCCAGACTTCATCTTCACTTTGAGTTTCTTCTAGGAGACCAAAACGGCCCAGAATTCTAGGTGTCTTGTACAGTATGTAAAAAATGATGTGTTTTAGTCGGGCTGGGGATGGGGGGAGTACAGGCTGGGGGGGGAATCTTCTCCCATGACGTGCTGCCAGTGCTGACTGTGAATGAGTGTAGCTGTGAAAACATAGAGTGTCCCCCAAAAATGTATACACACTTTGAATAGTTATTAATTCCAATGATTCTTTCTTTTTAGATTTAATCCATTGGAGTTAATAATTATTCAGTGTGTATGCATTTCTGGGGACTCCCTGTACATAGTGTGGCTGAACCATCAATTAGGTGCGATCTTTCAACCCATCATACACTTCCATGTTCAATGCCACGTCTCATCTGATGGTTTGGGCCTCTACCAGGCCCCTTCGCGGAAAGCCCTCTGCCATCGCTCAGATTCCGTGGATTCCCCACATTCAGAAAAAACAACACAGAAAAACTTAGAATCAGAGGGCCTAGATTTGCATTTTGACTTCTTTATTTGCTGGGTATGGGACTTTTCTGAACCTCAGTTTCATCATTCCTAACTTGAGGTTAGCAGTGACCACACTTCAAAGGTTGGCTTGAAATGGCTAAGAGAGAAGTCCATAAAAGTGCTTTTCAAATTATGGGTTCATTACAATACACACTTCAGGAACCATTGTTTGTTTGTTTGTTTGTGAATCCTCACCTCAGGATATCTTTCCCATTGCTCTTTCAGAGAGAGAGGAAGAGAGGCAGGAAGGGGAGAGAGAGAAAGAGAGAAAGAAACATCAATGTGAGACACATCGACTGGTTGCCTCCGGCATGCACCCCGAAGGGGGTTGGGAGTGGGGGGCTCGGGGCTGGGAATGAACTGCAACCCAGGTATGTGCTCTTGACCAGGAATCGAACCTGCGACCATTTGGTGTGTGGGCCAACACGCTAACCACTGAACACACCAGCCATGGCAGGAACCATTATTCTTTTCTCCTTCGTGAATGGCTCAAAAAAATGGCTCTGAATTAATGTGAATGACTGGTTTTTGTTTTGGAGCCAAATAAACTCTGTAGCGTTGTTGGAAAAAAGAAAAAGAAGAAGAAAAAGAAAGATAATATTCTTATTTAGGTTTTCATCTGCTCTGGCCAAATACTAACTCTTTAGTAGTCTGTGGAGTTCTGTATCTGCCCAATCCTGGCCTCAAACCTTTCCTCAATCCTGGGGTTTCTGCCAACAGTTGCCTCTGCTGCCTGTTCACCTGCTCACCCTTAGTTAACACCATCAAACACTTTTCCTTCAGAGACTTTAATGTGGAAACAACGAACAGTTAGTGGGGGGAGGTCCGGCAGGGGGTCAGGGTGTGAGAATAAGTAGGATCAGGTGAACTCACAGAGCTCCTGAGAAAGAGGGCAATGGTTCACTGTCAGATACTCTTGTTTGCTATTGCAAGGCCAATCAGCATATCTGTACCTGCTGATTTTAGGGGACCTCTGTTCTCCTTGATATAAGAGAGTTCAAGCGGCTCCCACTGAGCACGTATTCTCTGATGTATGAAATGCTAGTTGCTGAGAAGTATCTTTGAGACGTCAGGCAGCCTAGCCAATTCTACCAGGAGGACGGATGCTGCTGATGTGAATGTTGTAGTCACATCCTCAGAACGTTTCTCCGCCTCCTGCAGAGATGTGTTCCTTGTACCCGCCTCACATCCCCACCACAGTAACACAAAACCTACTGGTCCTTGCTATCCTCAAAGTCAAGTTCTGGTGAGAGACAGGGAAGCATCACATTCAGGGTGTGGTTCCTGGACAGGTAACAGCCGGGAAGAACCCTTTTTTAGTTTTTTTTTTAGTTACTCTGAGACATTTAAACATGTAACCACTTAGCCACATCTGAGTTAAGTGGAGGAGTTCAAGAAGCAACATACATGCATTTTTAAAATTGGTGGTTCAGCATTTTTTGACACGGGGCATTTGAATTTTCAACCAAGTTATAATGTTCACACCGCTGCTCTTAAACAAGAGTCCTGCCTCATTTCTTAAAGTCACGTAAATTTCATATATGGAACATGACATGGCCATGATGTACGTGGACCATGTTGATATATTAACAGAGTTGGCAAAATAAAGTTAAGTGACAAAAAAGACCCCAAGTAGGCAAAACAAACAAAAACAAAAACAAACCAAGAAAAGAGACTTCACTGAGAGTGTGGTGCTTTCTAAGGCATGCAGCTGAATGACAGGAAAAAAGAGTTCAGCCTCAGTGAACACAGAAGTGCCAAAAGAAGCAAGAAACTGTGGTGAGTTTTTGTTCTTCCAGTTAGCAAAGTTTAACAAAAGCCATTTGGGGAGCTAAACTGATTTACACTGCAACTTCCACCACTTTCCAGCTGGGTGACCTTGTACAACTTGATAATATGTATCAAACGGCTTAAAAAACGTTCCTGTTCATTTATCTAGTAATTTTACTTTTAGCGGTCTGTTTAGAAAACAAAAGTACTGAAAATTTTGTTAGGCATAAATATAATATATTCTTACAACATTATTTATAGTAGCAAAAATACCTCAAAACTAAATATCCAACAATGGGAGAATGGTTAAGTAAATTATTTCCATATAATGTCATGGAGTCATTAAATTATAAAGAATTTTGATAACATGGGAAATAAATTTTATGTGTAAGTAAAAAATTTGCATATATATGCAATTGTAGGTATATATAAAATTGTGTAAATATAAATGTACATATTACATATATTACATATAAATATATCTTAGTTCTATAAACATATCTTGTGTAGAAAAAAGACTGAAAACAGACCAAATACTAATTGTAGTTCCCATTAGTTGAGAGGATGATGATTGGGATATTTTTATACATCATTCTGTATTTTCTAGTAAGAATTTATTACTTTTATAGCCAGAATATTCTATTTTGTTTATAATCAGGACAAAACCCCATTTTAAAAAGAAAGCAGGCCACGGGTACTTGGCCTCAGTTTATTAACCCCGAAGCCATCTGTGTTAAGACCCCAAAAATATATCTACGACAAAACTTGAAACAGCTGAGAGCGATGGAAATAGAAGAGTCTGGTTATTTTGCTATTTTTAATACACTGTAAAGTGCCTGCCACAGGACAAGCATTTAATAGTAAACGTTTAAGAGAACGAAACAGTTGTGACATAGTTTTAGGAGTTAGCACCATGAGGGCAGCAGCTTCTGGTTTTTTTTGTTTGTTTGTTTGTTTTGTTTTGTTTTAAATATATTTTTTTGATTTTCCACAGAGAGGAAGGAAGAGGGACAGAGAGCCAGAAACGTCAATGAGAGAGAAACATTGATCAGCTGCCTCCTGCACACCCCCTGCCGGGGAGGTGCCCGCAACCAACGTACATGCCCCTGACCGGAATCGAACCTGGGACCCCTCAGTCCGCAGAACGACCGCTCTACCACTGAGCCAAAGGGGCCTTGGCAGCAGCTTCTGTTTTGTTCACTGATCCAGCTCAAGTGCCTGGAGTACTTTTGCCATTTCAAAGTGTACAATTCAGTGGTCGTTAGCATATTCACAAGATTTTGCCATTATCACTACCTTCTAATTCTAGAACATTTTTATCACCCTCTCCACAAAAACCACATTCCCATTAGCAGTCACTTCCATTTCCCCTTCCCCCTAGCAACCACTTTCTTTCTGTCTTTCTGGAATCCATGGTTTGTTTTTGTTTTTTTGAAGTTCAAAGGTTGGCATCGTTTCTTGTTTTCTATTTTGCTTTTGTAAAGAAAGATAAGGTTTTGTGGGGTTTGTTTTTGAAACAAAACCTAAGTAAGCCCCCTCCCTGCCCAGCCTGCCTCCTGCCCCTATGAGGTGCTGGATTGCCTAGTCCTGAGTGAAGGGCGGGCTGGCCTGGGCCACAGAGGAGGGGAAGGGAGGGGATGAGAGGGAGGGAAGCAGGTTCTCTGTGTGGGAGCTTCCTCAGAGCCAGAGAGGAAGGGGATTTGGGACTCAGTGTGGCTTTATTAGGCAAAAAGTAAAATTAACATCTTGACACACATGTGCACTATACAGATGGAGTCCAAGGGGCACCACCTCTGAGTTGGAACCATCTCTGGCAGTTAGACATTCCTATGCAAGTTTGACATTCATATAAATGAAGTCATACAATATAAGATCTTTCCTTTGGCTTCTTTTATTTAGTATAAAGTTTACAAGATCCATCCATGTTGTAGCATGTATCAGCACTTCATTCCTTTTTGTGGCCAAGTAATATTCCATTGTATGGATATACCGCACTTCGTTTATCCATTCAGCAGTTAATGGGTATTTGAGTTATTTTTACTTTTTGGCTATTGTGAATTATACTGCTATGAACAACTGTATACAAATTTTTTACGAACATTGAATATTTACCTTAAAATGGAATTCTTTTGGGTAGTATGTACATAGGAGTGAGATTTCGGGGATCGTGTAGTAATTCTGGGTTCAGAAGTTCCTCCCTCTGTTCTCTAGTTCGGGTTCAGTCTCATGTAGCAATTAGGCTCACCTAGCGCAGTTTCATGAAGATTAAATTTGTTAGTTACTGATCAGTCAGGGTTCACCAGAGAAAGAGAATCAAAGAGAGATATATATCTATTTTTATATCTATATTTAGAAATATTTATTAACCCTCATTCAAGGATATTTTTCCACTGACTTTTAGAGAGAGTTGAAGGGAGAAGGGAGGGAGAAGAGAGGGAGAGGGAGAGGGAGAGGGAGAGGGAGAGGGAGAGGGAGAGGGAGAGGGAGAGGGAGAGGGAGAGGGAGAGGGAGAGGGAGAGGGAGAGGGAGAGGGAGAGGGAGAGGGAGAGACACACATGGATTGGTTGCCTTCCACACTTGTCCAGACTGGGCTGGAGATCAAACCAACCCTTTATCTAGGCTAGTGTTTAACCAAACAACTGGGCACCATAGCCCATCCAAGTTGACACAAAGTTAACCATCATGTTACTTTAAATAATCATATCCACTTATTTTCAGAAAAATGGGACTAATGATGGAGACTATGTTTTTCTAACTGGAGAAGACAATTACCTTAACTTTTCAAAGATTGTGGAATGGAATGGAAAAACGTAAGTCTAATGATTCATCAGTGTAATTATTTTTTCAATTTTTATTTAAACTGAATGTCCACTTCCATATTATTTTTTAAAAAAATGTTTTAACACTGTCATTTTGGGGATGAAAAATCCATAAGCATGTAAAATATACATATTATTTTTATTATTTTTTTAAAACGTATTTTATTGATTTTTATTTATTTATTTATTTATTTACAGAGAGGAAGATAGAGGGATAGGGAGTTAGAAACATCGATGAGAGAGAATAATCAATCAGCTGCCTCTTGCACACCCCCTACTTGGGATGTGCCTGCAACCAAGGTACATGCCCTTGACCGGAATCGAACCTGGACCTTTCAGTCCGCAGGCTGATGCTCTATCCATTGAGCCAAACCGGTTTCGGCAAATATACTTATTATTTTAAAAATCGAGATTGGGATAACGCACCTGACAAACTGAACGTCGGTGGTGGGAGATCACTCTCCCACGTGGCGGTCATGTGCAGCTGCAGCACCGATACTTCCCAAACCACTGCTTGTTCTGTGGGGAATGGAGGACGTTCTCTTTTTAATTTAATTTAATGATTGCGGATTGTTTGTGTTATTTCTTTAATTTTTGTTAATTTTTTAAATCCTCACCTGAGGATATATTTATTGATTTTAGAGAGAGGAATGGGGAGGAAGGGAAAGGGGGAGAAGGAGAGGGAAAGAGAGAGGGAGAAGGAGAAGGAGGGGAGTGGGAGAGGGAGAAGGAAAAGGAGAGGGAGAGGGAGAGAAAGAGAGAGAGAGAGATCCATGGGAGAGGAAAACATTGACAGGCTGCCTCCTGTACCCGCCCTGAATGGGGATGGAATCCACGACCTAGGGACGTGCCCTGACCAGGAACCAAACCCACAGCCTCTTGGTGTACGGGACGATGCTCCTACCAACTGGGGCTGTATTATTTTTTTAAAAGATGAAACATTTGTGTTCAGGATGACAGTATTTAAAAAATATGTTTATGTTAATATTTATAACATAAACAAATTACTTCCAAAAAGGAGCCAATGTTACCTATAAAACGAGGCAATTGCTTAAAGGGAGAGAAATTAGAAACCTTTGAAAGAAAACAAGGCTCTTCTCCAGGGACTGAGATAAGAGGGGTTCTGTTCTTGAACTTTAAATTTATTTCTAAGCTTCCCAGAAATACAGGCAAGAAAACTGGTGTGGAATATGGGAAAACTTTCTATAGTATCTTCATAATATCAAACTGTTTTTAAATTAAAAGTTAATTTAAATTAAAGAAATTGCATACATAACCATATTTGTAAGCATGCACACACACACACACACACACACACACACACACACACAAGACTCCTGAAAGAATATATAAGAAACTGGTAACAGTGACTTGCCGAGGGGGATCTAGATGACTGGGGCACTGGGTTGGAAGGGAAATTTACTTGTAGCGGAAACCGGTTTGGCTCAATGGATAGAGCCTCGGCTTGAGGACTGAAAGATCCCGGGTTCGATTCCGGTCAAAGGCATGTACCTTGGTTGTGGGCACATCCCCAGTAGGGGGTGTGCAAGAGGCAGCTGATTGATGACTCTCTCATCGATGTTTCTAACTCTCTATTTCTCTCCCTTCCTCTCTGTACAAAATCAATAAAATATATTTTTTTTAAAAAAGGAAATTTACTTGTAAACAAGATATAGCTGGTTTTTGTTTTAAACCCATTCTGTATTTTTTTTAGTCTTTTAATAAAATAATTTAATCCTTTCATGTGTGTGTTATAATTACATATATAATGCTATCTTATTTAATATATTTGGTCTTATTTTTTTCTGGTTTATGTCCATTTTATTCTTAGATTTTTATGATTCATATTGAACAATATTTTTTCTAACAAAATCTAAAGCGATCTATTGTCTTTTTTTTCTCCTTCCAAATAGGACAATAACCTTACTAATTTCTTAAAACACACACACAAACACACACACACACACACTATTATCCTTGTCTATTACTTATTTTACCTTCTTAGGAAGACCAATATAATTTAAAAGTTGATTTTTATGGTAAATACATAATTAAATGCCAACATATTTTATTGCCCTATTTTTTTTTTTCTTCCTCAAATCTTCCTCTGGGTTTAGTTTCTTGCTGAAGAGTATCTATTCATACAGTGGTGCCAACCAGAGGCAGTTTTGGTGTGTTCTGACATAGTTTTGGTGTCACAACTGGGAGGCGATACTGGTATCTACTGGTAGAAACCTGGGATGTTGCTAAACATCCTACAATGTACAGGCTCAAACAGCAATAGGGTTAATAGGTTAAGAAACCTCTTTAAGAAAGGATCTATGGGTGGCAGACTTTCTTAGTCTTCACATATTTTAAAATGTCTAAACTTCACTCTCGGTCTTAAATGACTAGTTAGGTATAGAATTGTAGGCCGACAATTCAAAACTATGAAGACATTACTCCATTGACTTGGATGTCTGTCTCTTTCCTTGGTCTTTTGCACTTTGACTCAACATATCCAGATTTGAATTTATTTGTATTTATCCTGTTTGGCCCTTGGGATATACTTTCAATTCAAGGCCTCTTATCTTTTTTAAATTTTGAAAAACTTCCAGAAATTATCTCTTCACTTACTGCTTCTCTGTAATTTGCTCTGTATGCTCCCACCCCCCACCCCCAACCCCAAAGGAAAAACAACAACTATTAAACATTTATTGGAGCTTCTCTATCTATTCTCTGTATTTTAATCCTCTCATTTTTAATTTTTCTGAGCTTGTCTATATATATAAAAGGCTAAGTGACTGACTGTACATACATCCAACTGTACATTGACCGTCTGACCAGCCTGTACATATGATGCACACTGGCAATTTAAAAATAAATGTTGACTTGCACGTGTGTGATACATATAAAGCTTTCGCTGGTGCCAATTGCACTCGTGTTTTAATTTTATAATACTATATTATATGCACTATTTTGACATGTAATTTTTTTCAGTAATTATTGCACGAATCTTTCTTCTAATTAATTTCCTTTCAATGTTCACAAATCTGTGCACCAGGCCACTAGTATTTGTATATATTCCTTAGGACTATCTTCCAATTAACCAACTGTCTCTTATTACCCAAGAGAAGCTCCCCATTAATTTGGGACAGAAGCCTGTTCCAAGGGGAGACAGAGTTAATGCTCTGTCATGAATATTAAGAGGTGAACATAACTGTCCAGAGCTTGTCTGTCAGGCTATTAATAATGCTAAAGTAGATCATTGTTGTAAGTAAATGGATATTTCTAAACTTCTATGTAGGATACCCTTTATCAGGAAAGAAAAAGGGATTTTTGGCTTCTGACTCTGTCAGAATTGGTCTAAGGGTCAGGAGCCTATTTTCCCCATCTTGATTCAATCCCTCACCAATATCACCCTTGTGTCACATGTGAATGAGATTCTGTGGATAGCCAGCTCCTTCTAGTGGAGTCTTGAAAAGTCCTGATCAGCCAAAACCGGTTTGGCTCAGTGGATAGAGCATTGGTCTGCGGACTGAAAGGTCCCAGGTTCGATTCTGGTCAAGGGCATGTACATTGGTTGTGGGCACATCCCTGGTGTGGGGTGTATAGGAGGCAGCTGGTCGATGTCTCTCTCTCATCGATGTTTCTAGCCTGTAAAAAAATCGATAAAATATATTAAAAAAAGAAAGAAAGAAAAGTCCTGGTCTTTTAAAGAAAAAAAACAAAGCCCTAAAATCAAATTTGATCCCCTTGACTCTTTCTTGTGCTTATCAATCACAGGTCACTTAGCTGGTGGACAACAGACAAATGCAATATGATTAATGGGACAGACGGTGATACTTTCCACCCACTAATAACAAAAGATGAAGTCCTTTATGTCTTTCCATCTGATTTTTGCAGGTAAGGACTTTAAAAATACCGTTGACTGCAAGACCACCAAAAGCGTGAGGAATAAATGTAGCTATACTTACCAGGCATGGATATTCATGTTTAATCCCTGATAAATGATGATGGCATTTTGAAAGACAGTGTGGAGCAGTGGTTTGCAGCATGGGCTTCAGAGCCTGACTGCATTGGTTCAAATACCAGCTCTGCCCCTCACAGCTGTGTGGCCTGGGGAAAGTTACTGAGTGACTCTGCCTCACTCTCCTCATTTGTAAGTAAGGCTAACAATAGTTGCCTACCTTGAGAGTTGTTATGAGGACAAATTAATTACTGTGAGTAAAATACTTAGCCCAGGGTTTGTCACACAGTAAATAAAATTAAGTGTTAGCTATTAATGAATATGATATCCAAGCATGAAATTTGACCTGATCTTTATCCAGTCACAGATAATCTCTACCTAAAAGATAAATAAATCATACTGGTTTTCCATAATTTAGAGTTTATAGGTATTTGCTAAGCTGTAACCTTGCCATTGGTCATACCTATTCTCACTCACCCTGTAATCTCTCCCTCTCTCCCGCCAGCTCCTTCTCTACAAATGAACATGATTAAGACTTTGTGGGAAGAGGGGCACCCTGCTCCACACCCTGATCCCCATCTCCCACTGGGCCCACAGCCTCCAGTTCCTCTCCCGCTCACTCTTTCAAGGCTTTTTATGAAACTCCTCTAAGTCGCAAATGACCTGGTCACATTTCATGACACTGTTGATTCACTTTTCTCAAGAACTGCTGTTCTTTGAGTGTTCCATATTTCACATAATTGCACCACCTACGCAATCAGCCCTGCCAGGGGCACTGGGACACTGTAAATATCCCTCCTCTCTTGCATTTAGCTGGTCACCAAATGCTCTCTGCTCCTCCTCAGAAACAGCTCTTGCATTCATCCTCACCTCTCCACCCCGCTATCTGTGCCATGGTTTAGACCAGCGATTTTCCAACCTTTTTTTAATCTCATGACACACATAAACTAACTACTAAAATTCCATGACACACACAAAATATATTTTTTGCCCATCTGACAAAAAAAAAGAAAAAGAAAAAGGGTATAATTTTGATTCATTCAAACCAGATGGTTATTGTGGTGTTGGCTGTTGTCATTTTTTTATTTGATAATCTAAGGGAAAAGAGGTCAGTGCCCCTGACTAAACAGTCAGGTGTTACATGTTTTATAAATTCTGTCAGCACACTGGCTGAAAATCGCTGGTTTAGACCCATTCCAGCTGGCTGCTCCATTTAATAAATAATTGTGGAAGGAACGAAGGAATTAAAAATGCATTGGTGTACAATGAATGAAACAAGGGAACCTACAAGGGCAGTAGGGTTCTTGTTTTTTTTAAAGATTCGGCACAGAGGAAACACATTCTTATCTGGAAAAACCACTTTGAAGAACCATTTGACAATGTTTAGTAAAGCCAAAGACATGTTAAGTCCCTAATTCTGCACTTCTGTCCTACCTACATAGATTCCCCAGCTTGAATATGAAAAAATAAATAAATAAATATTTAAATATATAAATTAAAAAAAGACTTTATAAAAAAATAAAGTCTTTGTTAATTTGAGAGGGGGTGAGGAAGGAAAGGGGGAGAGAGAGAAAGAGAAACATCGATAAATGTTCTGTCTATGTCTCTTTGTGTGTGGAGATATATATATCTCCACACACAAAGAGACATAGACAGAAACATTCATCAGAGGGAGATAGAAACATCAATGAGAAAGAGAGAATCGTTGATCAGCTGCCTCCTCCACCCCCCTACTGGGGGAGCTATGAGGAGGGGGGGGAACATGTGCCCTGACTGGTTCATAGGTTGACATTCAACCACTGAGTCACGCTGGCCAGGCCAAACAAATGCTATTTTCACTTTTCACCTTTTCCCATAAAAGCAAACATCCTCTTCCGATTTCTTTTGGTTAGCAAAAACAAGTACCAGTGTAGGCCTCCGGTAGAAGTAAAGTTGCATAAAGCAAACCTCTGAAATTCGGGGTTATACCTGTACTCAAGTCAAACATGAGGGTGGTTAGTATTTCAGGGGACCTCTGAACCTCCATTCACAACTGAGGCAGAGATGTGTTGACCTCCACTGAAATCGATGATGGGCAAAATATGACACTGTTTTCATTGGGGAGAAATGCATATAATAATAGCATGTGTTCTAGTCAAGTATCCGTCTAAGGGGGCACTTGTCCAGGCCACGCTCTGGCGTTGCCTCTGTCTCCCTTGCTTCCCTTTCTCCGCTTCTGCTTCCCCCACACTGGCACGTGTCCCTGCTGGTCTAGACCACACATTTCTTTTCATGTGAGTTTCCATTCTAAATGTCATCTTTAAAAAAATAAGTAAAGTCTTGCTGAAACCGGTTTGGCTTAGTGGATAGAGCATCAGCCTGGAGACTGAAGGGTCCCAGGTTCGATTCCGGTCAAGGGCATGTACCTTGGTTGTGGGCACATCCCCAGTAGGGGGTGTGCAAGAGGCAGCTGATAGATGACTCTCTAAAATATATTTTTAAAAAATAAAGTCTTTGTTAATTTGAGTGGGGGTGAGGAAGGAAAGGGGGAGAGAGAGAAAGAGAAACATCGATATGAGAGAGAAACATCAATCAGTTGTTTTCCACATACACCCCTACTGGGGATTGAACCCTCAACCCGGGCGTGTGCCTTGACTGGGAATTAAACCAGCAACCTTTCCGTGCACCGGATGACACTCAGCCAGCTGAGCCACACCAGCCAGGGCCTAAATGTCACCTTAATTTTCCACCACAGATTTCTTTTCATGGCTTTGGTAGGATACTCCCACAGTTGTACCTCTTACACATCTTCCTCCACAGCGCATCTCCTGCGTTATCGCACAGCGAGGGATGGAGCTCCTTCCCAGCTGCCTTTTGCATCTTCACTTTTCACTTACCCCCTCGGCGCTTGGCTGTGTTGGACCTGAGAACTGCCGCTGACGAATTGACTCAGGCCAGATTGCGCTGACTGCAGCCCACACTGACTTTTGTTCTTCCTAACAGGTCAGTGCATATCACGTTCAGTGACTATGAGAGTGTGCAGGGACTGCCCGCCTTTCGGTTCACGGTGCCTGACGAAATATTAGCCAATACCTCCGAGAACGCCGGCTTCTGCATACCCACGGGAAACTGCCTGGGCTCGGGAGTTCTGAATGTCAGCATCTGCAAGAATGGTAAGAGGTGGCACGACTCCGAGTGTCTGGGATGCAGGATCGGTGTTCTCCAACAAAGAGCATCGTCAGCCCCGCAGGGAGGACGGTTCTGACCTGTCGAGAACAGCGTTTCATAACCTGGCTATAGAATGGTGTAAAAAAAAAAAAAAAAAAAAAAAAAAAAAGATAAAATGATTGGCTTCCCTGTAATGGTTTTTACTGGCAGCAGTTTAGACGTCTTAATAATAGCTCGTGTCTACTAGCACGGACGAGTCCCAGTCACTGCTTTATATACTTTATGAATTTACATATAGTTAATACATGAGAAGCATTACCTGATAGCGCGTTCAAAGCAGTGTCAAAAGAGGGAGTGGAGAACTCGGTAATGAGAAAGCACTGATCTTGGTAAAGAGTCTCAATGACTTCAAAGCGAATTTCTCAGTTTTTCTTAACGTCTGAGCTACTCCGCTCCTTTCCATGAATGACTCAGTGGTACAACTGACAAAATAATTGTCTTCATCCCGAGGACAGCATAGTAACAATCATATGCTGCATAATTAGTTACGATACCTTTGCCAGAGAGATATCCAGTGGGCTTTTTTTATAAATGCGGAAACCAGGGGTCAGAGAGGGAACTTGGTTTTTATCAGATCCTTCTCTCCCAGCAAGTCCTTGTTGGCACTAGGGTCTTATAAACTATAAACATCCTGTGCTGCTTCTCTACAGTTCCTCTGGAAAAATGTGGTAAGCCCTTTCTCCCGAATAAAGTCGTCCTTTTCTCCCGGATAAAGGAACATGCTAACTTTTGTCCTCTTGTCCAGTTAGTTTGAAAGGCTCTTTTCGGGATAAGCCTGAAGCCAGCAGTAACCTCCCTACTGTGCCTGATGGGGCAGTGCCTCCCAAACCCGGCCTGGCACCAGGGTTATCTGAGAACCATTAAACGTCTCTGTCCATCGCCCAGAATCTGTATTTTAACCCGCCCTCCCGGTGATCCTCTCGAAGGTGATGCCCGTGTGTTTGGGAAGCACTGTGCCAGGGGTCACAGCTCCCCTCGCCTGGAGATAGACTGAAGGGGAATGCGAACGAGTGTCTGCTCTGACCTGTCCCGCTGTCTTACCGGCTGAACAGTGCCCTGTCCGCTCAGCCCATATGCCTCTGGCTGCGGGCATAAGTGTGGATGCATTTTTGTTTTGTTAACGGTTCTGCTACCTCAAGAAGTTGATAGCTGAATAAACAGGGATATCCTACTTTGCAACAGTCAAACCGCTTGCTACAAAATTTTTCCCCTCTTGCCTCTTGGGTATTAATTAGCAAATGTGGGCAAAATGTTACGGCTCCAGGGTTGCCCTCCAGTGTTTTGAATCCTAGGGTAACAATTTGGACAGTGGGATGAGTTCTGGAGTCGGGCAGGTGTGGGTTTGAGTCCTGTTCTGCTTTTTGGCCAGTTGGCCCAGTTGACGAAGAAGGGTTCCAGATCCCAGTGTTCTCATTCATAAAAAAGAGGGTGATTATAACTTCCTTAAGCTTGTGAGAAGGTCAGAGATAAAAGAGGTAAAACACGTTAAGACAGTGTTTGGCCCTTAGCAAACCCTCAGTAGAGTTTTAAAAGTATGTTTTAAAGGTGACTGTAGGTCACAAAGAAGGGAATTATGGCTTTGCAAAATTATTAATAGTAAAGAGCAAAACACTTGTGTATGTGACAGATGATGTGTATGTTGAGCTATGGGGCTGGTGGATGTGTAAACAGAATGAAATTACTAGCTAATAAGCTAATTTCTTCAAAAAACATATTTACTAGAAGTAATTAGAGGGGCCCTCTCTCCTCCTCAATAGCAAAATCTAGAATAGGTTTTCTTTAATAATCGTTTCCCTAGTTCTTCTTTAAAATGAAAATGACTAGGAAAGCCAAACACACACACACCCCCCTCTCCCTCAATCAGAGTCTTCCTGTGGGCAGAACTCGATTTAGTCTGAGGCTGGGCAGGTGTCAGGACCAAGCACAGTCTTAAAACATTCTGCATCAACAGATGCTGGAGAACAAAGCCTATCTTAGATAAAGTAAAAGCAGAAAAGCCAAAAAAAAAAAAAATGTCATTTACTGGTAGAGAATTGTAGTTGAAACGGGGTTTTAAGTGCTCTGAGCTAAAATAAAGCACCCATTATTCAAACAGAATTCTACCTCTATCACCTGGTAGCTGGATGTCCCTAGCTAAATTTTGTCTCTTCTCTGAACCACACTTTCCTCAAATGCAGAATGAATATTTCTAACTTCATAGGGCTGCTGGGAACATTAATTAAAATAAATGTGTATAAAGCATTTACTTTTATAGGATGAATGTTTATTAAAGAATAATTTAGCTGGGATTTCCGTACATATTGTGGAATAAAGTATTGAAATGTCAGGAAATGGAGTATAAACCCCGAAGGAGGAGGTGTAGAATAGAACTTTAGCCTGCCCTCTCCAACTCAAGCTTACTTATGTGTAGCCTTTTACCCCTTAGCAACCAGTTTTGTGGTCAGAAACTATATTTATCATAGCCTTTTGGGAACCACATCATTCATTCCTATTTCCTTAAAATGCAGGTGCACCTATTATTTTATCCTTCCCACACTTCTACCAAGCAGATCAGAGTTTCGTGTCTGCCATAGATGGCATGCATCCAAACAAGGACCATCACGAGACGTTTGTGGACATTAATCCTGTGAGTAAACACCTCCTTCTGGTAAAAGACCATACTTTTCATTTTGCCTGTTCGGTGGCCATGGTTTTGTCCTTAGCTCTCTTAAGTCTACTGTCTCCCTTTCATATACAACCAAATATAGAAAACTCAGCTCAGTGCAGTGTAATGGGTAGCCTCCTATTCTTCCATTTGGAAGGCTGAACTCTGTGCACCTAATGTACAGAAACACTAGCAAACCTGCATTAACAAAACAGCAACAGTGAAAGTTCCCTCCCTGAAAACAACTGAGATTGGACCCAGGTAACCTGGTCAGCCTTCTGTCACCTGCCTTGGACCTCAACATACATACATTTCTCCCATGGGGGCACAGATCAGCAAGATTGGAGACATTCCTCTGTCTACTGCCAAAAACGTTTTGGTTAAAATTTAAATACAGCGTGTTCCCCCGAAATGTATACAAATAGCGATGAATGCCAATGGGTTAAATCTGAAAAAAGAAGCATTGGTTGAGCTATCAGCTGTTAGAATGTATACATTTTGGGGGGACACCTTGTGTATATATATTAGCTTCAGTCACTTTTGGCAAACCTCTTCCTTTGAGAGCTTATTCTATACTATTCATTTAAAAGGCATCAGGTATGCACTTTAATCCTATATGCATAGAAGAGAAGAAAGAAAACCATAAAAGGATATGTGTATCGTTTCACTGTATGACTGCCTGCTGCAAAGCCAAACTCGCGAGAAAGGCGCTGATGCTGAAGGAAAGAGGTTTATTCAAGTGCCATGACCTGCGAGCATGGTGGACTCCTGTCTCAAAGACCATCCCTCCTTCCAGCTCAAGCCTGGGTTCTTACAGGAATGGGGAGGGGAGGGCTTTTTTTCTACCCAATTATCTTTCTAGCTTTTGGCGAGCTGGGCCCTATGCATGCGTCTTTCTAGCTTTTGGGGGCTCTCAGTGTAAGACCCTCCCCTTGTGCCATCCAGGGGAGACTCCTTGGAGCTCCCTGACTGTCTATAGCAGGGATGGAGGATGTTCGGTCCATGAGCCGAATAAGACCCATGAAATCATTTGGTCTGGTCCTGCCAAGGCATTAGGGGTGAGTTAATTAAATGTTTGACCAAATATAGCAGGCTGATTTTTAAGTGGATAATTTTAAATGATGTTATAAACATCCAAATGGCTCTTAGCAGGAAAAAAGTTTCCCCACCCCTGGTCTACCTACAGCAACACAGCCTCTCTCTGTACGAACTGAATTAAAGGCCAGACATCTTCATTCTTGGGCTTTTGAACACATGGCACCATAAGAGAAAAGCAAAACATTCTCTTGGCACAGCCAATTCGGGGGGGTTGGGGGGAGGAGGAGGACGACTTCACTCTTTGCTACACTCAGTCCATTTGTACCCGAGAAGTCAGTGTTCTTATTTTTGTGACTAAGATCAGGTGTGGTTTTCTCCCTTTTCTCTCGTAGCCACCAGTAGGTTCCTGTTCACCAGCCAAACTGTTATCAGGTGCTTGTCACGAAGGCCGAGGCACAGTCCCATAAGCTTAGATGACAGCAGCAGCTGCCCTTCCCGCTGGGCCCTGCCACACCGAGGCACTGTTCTCTGCCAGTGACACCATCCCTCAGACAGGTGTCCGTTAGGTCTCCCTTCTGCCGGGGTCCTCTCGGGCAGTGGTTGGCAAACTCATTAGTCCACAGAGCCAAATATCCACAGTACGATTGAAATTTCTTTTGAGAGCCAAATTTTTTTATTTATTTTTTATTTTTTTTTAATTTTTTTTTTAATTTTTTATTTTTGGTCAAACATTTATTTTTTTTAATTTTTATTATTTTTTTATTTTATTTTTATATATTCTTTTTTTAATTTTTATTTTTTATTTATTTTTTTTTTATCAATCTTTATTGTTCATATTATTACAAAGGTTCCTCATTTCTTCCCCCCTCCATCAGGTTCCCACCCCACCCTCCGCCCCCTCCCCATCCCCCATTGTCCTCATCCATAGGTGCAGTTTATGTTCAGTCTCTTCCTCCCTCCCTTTCCCCCGATAGTAAATCCCTTTTCAGATAGTAAATCAGTTACTTAGTATTTTCTCATATCAATAATACCACCACATGCCCAATGATACATTTCACACAAAAGACATTTCCAAATAGGTTAACCAGCCTCATCCAGGCCCCACCCAAGGCACTCACAGATCAACACAGATCAACACTCCAGCCCTATACTAACTCAACACATCCAGATCTAAGCCTTCATCACTTGATTCAGCAGACCCTCAAGTTCCCACAAAAGTTTCCAGCCATGTCTGAGAGGCAGCCGAGGGGCAGGGGCAGGCGAGGAGCGAGCTGTTCCGGGCCTGGCTGCTCTGGGCCTGGCCTCTGTTGCTCTGGTTCGTTCCACAACCAGCTGCTCCTGGTCTGGTCACCGCCACTCCCGACCTAGTTGCTCTGGACCTGGCTGCTGCTGCTCCGGGCCTGGCCACACTCGACCCGGCTGCTCCGGGCCCGGCCGCTCTGGGCCTGGCCGCTCCCAGCCTGGCAGCCGCTGCTCCGGGCCTGGCCGCACCAGACCCGGCTGCTCCGGGCCTGGCCGCTCCCAGCCTGGCAGCCGCTGCTCCGGGCCTGGCCGCACCAGACCCGGCTGCCCCGGGCCTGGCCGCTCCCAGCCTGGCAGCCACTGCTCCGGACCTGGCCGCTCCCAGCCTGCCAGCCACTGCTCCGGGCCTGGCCGCTCCCAGCCTGGCAGCCGCTGCTCCGGGCCTGGCCTCATCAGACCTGGCTGCTCCGGCCTGGCCGCACCAGACCTGGCAGCCGCTGCTCCGGGCCTGGCCGCTCCCAGCCTGGCAGCCACTGCTCCGGGCCTGGCCGCTCCCAGCCTGGCAGCCGCTGCTCCGGGCCTGGCCTCATCAGACCTGGCTGCTCCGGCCTGGCCGCACCAGACCCGGCTGCTCCGGCCTGGCCGCACCAGACCCGGCTGCTCCGGGCCTGGCCGCTCCCAGCCTGACAGCCGCTGCTCCGGGCCTGGCCGCACCAGACCCGGCTGCTCCGGGCCTGGCCGCTCCCAGCCTGGCAGCCGCTGCTCCGGGCCTGGCCGCACCAGACCTGGCTGCTCCGGGCCTGGCCGCTCCCAGCCTGGCAGCTGCTGCTCCGGGCCTGGCCGCACCAGACCCGGCTGCTCTGGGCCCAGCTGCCCTGGGCCCGGCCGCTCCAAGTCTGGCCGCTCCCAGCCTGGGAGAGCCAAATTTTTTTAAACTTCAACTTCTTCTAACACCACTTCTTCAAAATAGACTCACCCAGGCCATGGTATTTTGTGGAAGAGCCACACTCAAGGGACCAAAGAGCCACATGTGGCTCAAGAGCCGCAGTTTGCCGACCACTGTTCTAGGGCTTTGCTGTTCAAAGTGGCAGTTATCTTGGGAGCTTATTAGAAATGCCCGTCTTAGGCTCCACCTCAGACCTCCTGAGTCAGAACCTGCATTTTAACAAGAACTCATGCACATACTAACGTCTGAGAAACATTGGTCTACCAGGCACCTAGAGAAAAATTCATGTCTGTCATTCTGTTCTGGGGCCAGGGTTTCCTCTGACCCACTGTGCCTATCGAACACGGCAGTGGTCACACTGTTATAAGAACCACACGGAAATGGTACGCTATTGGGGGGAAAAAGTGTGTTTGTGGTTTTAACAATGTTTTCTTTCTACTTCTGTGGTTTGCAGTTGACTGGATTGATCCTAAGAGCAGCCAAGAGGTTCCAAATCAACGTTTATGTCAAAAAAATAGATGGCTTTAGGTAAATTTTGCTTTTTTATACAGAAGCAAAGGGTCATTTTCCTACAGTGACTTTCTGGTGGGGATGATGTTGGGAGGGAGACAGCCCACTTCTAAGTCCACTCACCCTTACCCCTCAGGGATGAGGGATGACCAGCCTGGGTCTTGGAATTTCCTTATTTTATTGAACCTAATGCATATAAAGTGCTTTCCACGAATCAAGCATTGTTCTTAGTACTTTACATACATTAAGTCACTTATTTCTCACAATAGTCTTGTATTATCCCCATTTCATAGACGAGGAAAACGAGGCACAGAGAAGTTAAGTAACTTGCTGAATTCTACAGAGCAGGCCCCTGCCACTCCTCTGAGCATTTCCCTCGCCTTGACACTGCCTCTTCCCGTCCCCACTGCTCCCGCCCAGGGCCAGCCACAAGCTCCACTCAGATAGTTAAAATTTCGTAGTCTCTTGTGTCCAGTCTTTCCTCCCAGCACTCCCATGTAAAAACCACTACTTAGTTAAGATCCCCAAATACACAATCTCCTGCTCAAACTTTTCAATGGGAATTTTTTTGATATTAGAAAATGCTTATGATTTAATGTTGAATGGAAGAGGAACAAAACTATGCGTAATAATCATATATTTATTCTGTTCTTTCTATCTATAAAACTTGTTTGGTTTCCCCCATCAAATTTACTAGATTTAACCCCACAATCATGGATATTTCTAGGGCGCAAATGTGGGATGCACGAATGCGTTTGTCACCGGAGTGTATTTCTGAGGCAGTATAATTTAGTAGCTAAGGTCTAGTGATTTAGAATCAAAATAATTTTACCATCCTGGCTCTACCATTTACTCTGGTGGTCCTGGACAAATTACTCCGAGCCATAATTCACTTTCTGAAACCTGGGACATGGGACTACTGTGAGAATTAAATGGCATAATGTCCCCCAACACACCAATGCAGAGCTGGTAAATGCTCAGTCAGTGGCTTTCCTGGGCCTCCTGTGAGGATGACACCTGGCAGGCTGGTCACAAAACATCCTGAGGACTGGCAGCGCTGTCCTGCCAGCCGTGGCCGCCCCTCTGACTCTTGGGAGAATTGTCACCATTTTGAGGAATTTGCTTTCAGCACCTTGTGTTTTCACAAAAACAGTGTACATGAATGTGCAATGCTTGGAATTGCTACACTGACCGATTGGAATCTAACTTCTGAACGATGTGTTTGCAAAGATATCGAACGAGTCTCTTTAAGTTCTGAGTAATTTAATGAAATAAGTGTGCTGGCATTTTCCTCTAAGTGTGTCACTCCAGCCGAGACCGGTTTGGCTCAATGGATAGAGCGTCGGCTTGGGGACTGAAGGGACCTGGGTTTGATTCCAGTCAAGGGCATGTACCTTAGTTGCGGGCATATCCCCAGTAGGGGGTGTGCAAGAGGCAACTGATCGATGACTCTCTCTCATCGATGTTTCTAACTCTCTCTCTCACTTCCTCTCTGTACAAAATCAATAAAATATATTTTTAAAAAAATTATAAGTGTGTCATTCCAGACCAGTGTGCCTGCACGATCAGGGTGTCTATAAGAGATCTCGTCTTTTGTCCCCGCAGTCAGACGGGGAACATCAGGACCATGGTCTTCCCGGTGATGCACGTCAACGAGGTGAGTCCGGGGGAGAGCCACCAGCGGCTTCACCCATGGGAGCGCGGGACTCTGCCCCGTCGGTGCCCACTGTTGTAGCCGAGTGTCCTGTGAGATGTGGGGGTGGAGGGGAAAGGTGATTCTTAAAAACCTGTTTGTCCTCTGAAAATTTCTTTGTGTTTATACGAATGCACTTAATGTCTGAGATTTGAAAATTAACAGAAAGAAATGTCCTTTCTCGAGCACATTAGTTGGGTAAAACGTCCTCCCGGGAAGCTGGCCGTGCAAGAAACACAATGCAGAGGTCCATGCAGCAATGCCAGATGCTGTTGAAGCAATAAAGTCAGCACGCAGATAGATGTTCCATTAAACCGTCCTTTGTGTCTCCTCCTCTGAAACCCTGCCAGTTTGTAAAATGTCATCGCTTTACTGTTCGTTAGCTGAGGAGGAGGAGGAAAAGAGGGTACAATTGAGATGATTGGCAACATGAATGAACATTTTGTGTGAGGTGCTTAATGAAATGGTTAGACGCCTCTGGTTTGTGCAGTATATCGACAGAAATATTATCTCTAATGGTGGGTAGGTAGCTCAGTTGGTTAGACCAGAGACCCAGTAGGCCAATGTTTTGGATTCCTTCCCAGGTCAGGCCACATACAAGAAGCAACCAATGAATGCATAAATGAGTAGAACAACAAATCTATTTTTCTATCTCCCTTCCTATAGATAAATAAGTAGATAAATAAAATATTAGCCCTAAATGTTAGGTGTAAATTGAAGTTTTGTTAATAAAAGCATATTATGAAAGCTCAGAAAACACCTACCATTTAAGACATGGGTGATAATGGTTTTCTGAATCTTACATCACACTGACCGTCGTTCTGCCTCCTCAGTTTCCCTCTCTTCAACCTGGCTTCAAGAGGGGACATTGTGCCGGGACCGGTTTGGCTCAATGGATAGAGCGTCGGCTTGGGGACAGAAGGTCCCGGGTTCGATTCCGGTCAAGGGCATGTACCTTGGTTGCGGGCATATCCCCAGTAGGGGGTGTGCAAGAGGCAGCTGATCGATGACTCTCTCTCACTGATGTTTCAAACTCTCTATCTCTCTCCCTTCGTCTCTGTACAAAATCAATAAAATATATTTAAAAAAAAAAGAAAATACAGTATTCCTATTAGTCTTAGTGTATAAACATATAACAAATAAGATATTACTATTCTTTAAAAAAAAAAAAAAAAAAAAAAAAAGAGGGGACATTGTGGGTTTTCCCCTTAGTAAATCTCAATCGACTGGCTTTTATTGTAAATAGCAGCATTTTAAAAAGTGTTTATTATTTTTTTTTCTTCCCTAAAAATTTCTTTGTAGAAAAATTCGGAACAGATTAAAGCAAGAAAAGGGGAAAAAATTAAAATCACTTTTCATAAAACCTGAGTCAGATGGACATATTGTCTTTAACTTGCTTCATTTTCCTTGCCAATGTGTTGTAAAATGTTTTCTGGTAACAACTTTGTAAAAAATAACTGAGTGGTTTATATTTTGTGAAACTAATATGTGATCTTTAAAGAAAGCTTAAAAAGCAAGAAAAGAGAAAAAGGGAGAAAGGAAGGAAGGAAGCGAGGAAGTGAGGGAGGGAGGAAGGAAGGAAGGAAAGAAGGAAGGAAGGAAAGGAAGGAAGGAAATATGTTAATGAATAAATAACCCCTCTGGTTATACTATTCGATAATTTATAAATGGATTTTCCTGATCTCTCGTTTGCTAACAGGAGGACATAGCCAAATTGCATTTAATGATTTGGAAGAAAGATACAGAAGAAGAAAAAAGTTATACCTTGGATGTTTGTTAATCAAGGCAATACTGTTTTCTTGCTCCCCTAGAGTGTTCTCATTGATAAAGAGATTGCAAGTCGACTGAAGTCTGTGATTAACACTACTTCCATCATCAGCAACATACCCTACATTGTCATGGCGCTGGGCGTGTTCTTTGGTTTGATCTTCACCTGGCTGGCCTGCCGAGGACAGGGATCCATGGATGAGGTGAGCAGAGGCTGGAGGAACTTCTTACGGGATAACTTCTTACGGATTAACTTTAAAATTCAACTGGGCTTCGCTGAAGGGCTGCCAGCTGGCTCCTTGGGGGTGGATTCTGAGCTTTGATGCCGGGCGCAGTGATTTCATGCTTGTATTACTGCTGGGCAAAATGAGAAGCAAGGAGGGGTGATAGAATGGTACTGCCCAGTTTTGGCTCCTGTGGTGGGAATGGAGTCTCTGGGAGTAAGCTTTATGTGTCTGAAAGTAACCTGGAAGAAAAGGAAGACTATAGCACAGCTAAGCACCTGGCATTTGCTATCAGACTGTGTAGGCCAAATCCCAGTGCTGCCGCTTAGTAGCTGTGTGTCCCTAGAGACTGAACCTGTTTCTTCGTTGGTAACATGAGAGAATACTCGGCTTCTAGGAGTTTTTTTCCTGAGGATGAGGTGATTTAATCATAAAGCACTTGGCCCAGTGTAAGTATTTAGTAAGAGCTTAGTAAACATTAGTTATATGATGAAAGAAAAAACAGTTCAAGGTCACAGGGCAAGGCAAGCAGGACCTGCTGGGAAAGAATCTGTGATCGCATCCAAGACCCTCCTCTGAGTCATCATGCCTCATAAGTGATTAGCACAGGGGCTGCACTTCCTTTCCTGGAGGGGTGGGAGCAGTCCACACGGATGGGATAAGCACAGCTGGGTGGGTCTCGTCAATGCCAGCAGGCCAACCCAGGGTCTGAATACCTTCATGGAGCTTTTTCTGTAGGAGCCAGCCTTTCTTCAGTTGTCAGCAGCTTCCCTTTTAGCAATAAAGGCTGTGTTTTTCCTCCTCGCTGCCTCAGCTTATTGACTGAGCCCCACTGAAGCAGGAAGTGATAGGCTGAAACCACCTGAATAACATTCACAGATTTCCCCATCTTCCGTGTTCTTCCATTATGTTTCTTAACCCATGCCCATCGCTGAATTAGGTGTGAGGCCATTCCTTTTTCCCCCGTTATTTAAAATTTTATTTTTCAATTATAGTTTGCATTCAATATCATTTTGTATGAGTTTCAGTTGTATAGTATAGTGGTTACACAATCATATATTTTAAAGTGTCCCCTCCCCCATATTTCCAGTACCCGCTGGCACCATACTTAGTTACCACAATATTGTTGACTGTATTCCCTGTGCTGTACTTGACCTCCCCATATTTTGCCATTTCTACCGGTGATCTCACTTCCAGTCTGACCTTGTCATAAGCACCGATGAAAGCCCATGTAAATGCTTCCACAGCTCCTACAATAAACCAGCCCCACGTATTCAACAAGCGAGCAAAGGCCGAGCACTCACCACCACCTCTGAGGCTTCGTTCTCTGGAAGATTTCAAATCAGGAAGGAGGCAAATTCAATTGAGTATGAGGAGGGTTATAGTCCGAGTCAGCACAGGGAAGGGGACTGGCTGCTCTGGGATCCGGGTGGTGTGAGCAGAACAGGCCTCCTCAAGGGGGTTAGGCCTGAATGCTAAGGAAAAGTCAGGCTGAGCAGAGAGAGAGGTGAGGGGAACGACCTACAGCCCTCCAATCAGTCTTTCCTCCTCCCGTCTCCCCTCCTAACCCTATTTTTCACATGGAGAGATGTTTCTGTAACTTTGCTTCCTCTCTTGACTGAGTTGCAGGGAACTGCAGATGAAAGAGCGCCCCTCATACGAACCTAGCCCTGGCCTGAGCTTAGCGAAGGAACCATGGAGAGCTGTCCTGATCTGGATCAGACGTGGGGAAACCGTCGCATCCTCACAGGCTCCTTGCCTGTGGAGAGAAGGAAGGCGACCAGAACTGGCAAGTGATGAGAGCATTTGGCTGGAGCTCAAAGAACAGACTGGTGTCAGCCACTGGGCTCTATCAGAGCCGTGGTCCCTGATGAAGGGTTTTGTTTTTCATGTGTCTAGCAAGTATTTAATGAAGTCTTGTATAGTAACTTTATTGATGTTGGGTGCTGGTAGCTCCAGAAATTTGTGACCACTGTTGTGGTTGTAACGCCTGCGTCACTTGTTAATGCTACTTGGTCTAACCTTGTTCAGTATGTTTCATTCACTAAACTTTGTATTGTATTCCTCCATTCATGTCACCCCAAAACTAGAAATAAATAAGAGTTCGGAGCCCAGGGTAAAATGGTAGCCTTGTTGAGTACATCATTCAAATGCACCCAGTTTCCTCTTTTAAAAAAGTTGTATATTGCATTTTATGTTAATTGTCAATTCATAATTCCTCCAGGAAAATAATTTGGTCTTCTGACTACTTTCATACCTGATAAGAACCAAGTGGGGAAGTGGGTGGGTGGAGTGAGGCACCTAATGAGTCCGTAGTGATAAATACTGAGGATTTTTTAATGTATACTTTTGTGAACTGAAAGAATACAGAGATAATGTTGGTGAGGACAGTGCAAATATTTCATACAAGAGGCCTGGTGCACGAAATTCATGCATGGGGTGGGGAGGTCCTCAGCTCAGCCTGCACCCTCTCCAATCTGGGACCCCCTCTCATAATCTAGGACTGCTGGCTCCCAACTACTCGCCTGCTTGCCTGCTTGATTGCTCCTAACTGCTTCTGGCTGCCAGCCTGATCACCCCAACCACTCCCCTGCCAGCCTGATTGCCCCTAACTGCCCTCCCCTGCAGGCCTGGTCACCCCTAAACACTCTCCTCTGCAGACCTGGTCACCCCACAACTGCCCTTCCCTGCAGGCCCAGTCATCTCCAACTTCCCTCTTCTGCTGGCTTGGTCACCCCCAACTACTCTCCCCTGCAGGCTTGATTGCCCCCAACTTCTCTCCTTTGCAGTCCTGGTCCCTCCTAACTGCCCTCCCCTGCTGGCCTGATCGCCCACAACTGCCCTCCCTTGCAGGCCTGGTCTCTCCCAACTGCCCTCCCCTGCTGGCCATCTTGTGGTGGCCATCTTGTGTGTTGGAATGACAGTCAATTTGCATAATACTCTTTTATTAGATAGAATAGAGAAGAACTAACTGCTAGTTCTGAGATTTGTGGATAACTTATTTTTCCATTGAAATGATCTTGATGTGGAAAGGTGTTCCTCGGAGAATATAATCAATAACTGACACCCCTCCCCCCATCACCTTTGCTAAATAGGACACTGTATTAATTACAATATTATTTGTAAAATTATGAGTATAGGAAATCCATCCATCTACAGCCTAAGCAGCACATACATTCCAGGAAGTCTGACTGCACTAAAGAGACATTTCTTTTGGGACAGTGTTCTTGGTTACTTTGAAATTGTTTTTATAAGTTCTTCTTTTCTCAGGTTTGGTTCCTTTTGTTGTTTTGTGGCTGTCACTTACTGAAGAGAGAAAACGTGCCCTACAGTTCCTGTGACAATCATCTTGCTGACAGAATGACACTATTTTAAAATGTTGCACAGGAAGTGTTTTATAAAGGTTCTTTGGGACCAGAGCAAAGTCACCTCTCTTGAGAATGACTTTTTTGGTTTCTGGTGTGACCTAAATCTGAGGACTGGGAACCATCCTATGTCACAGAATTCAAGCTTATTTAAGGGCAATTCTTTTAATTCTCAAAGTTTAATATTAATTTTTGATTGAGAAATCTATAAAGTTATCTGGCTAAGTGCACAAAGAATTTAACAACTGAATAATTCTACAGTTGTTGTTTAAAACTGGATTTCATTGTAAGCAAATGAAGGTGAAAAAGCCATGGATTTCACAACTAAAGTCTCTGATCCCTGTTTGGGGTAATAAATTACTTTAGCTTATTTGCCCTAATTTTCCCTCTGTACACTAAAGCAACATGTAATGTTTCCTTTCTTGAAGGGGCAATTTGTTAAGATCTTAACATCTCTATAAAGGAAGATAGAACCTATAGTTACCCCAAATCAACAAAATGTGAAAAACTAATTTGAAAATATTTTATCTTCAACAATGCCAAATATCTAGATTTTTTAAAAATTTATCAGTATTTAACTATAGATAACTGGCATATCTTGTTCTTTTTATGCATCCATTTATCCACACTAACAAACCTGATAAGCCAGTGTATACTCATTAGTTCATCCTATTATCAGGATATAATCATCTGTGAGGAGGAAATTTTTCATGTGAATGTTAACAGTTAATGATATATCTTTAGACTGGATCCACAGCCAGAGAGACCAAAACCATAGTATTTCTATATGATTCTTCAGATACTTGGCTTAAAATCACATTTGATATTTGCCTTCTGAGAAGTCGGTGGCAAACCCATAAACTACAGTCAAGATTATAGATTGGTTCAGAGGCATGAATGTGCTACCCACTTGGTTTTAGATGAAAATAACAGATTATTCCTCATGCTCACTCTCTCGGAGCCATTTTCCTGGAAAGACCTCCAGAGTCTTTGTGATTGTCACAATCACAGAACACCGGTGTCCTGTATTATGATGCTCAACTTAGGGAGAAACCAATCTGAGAGAGGTTACCTCGCTTCTCTCAAGGAAAATTGGGAGTTGAACACAGGGCAGGAAGTAGGATTGGCCACGTTTAGCTCCAGATTTTCCTCCTGGCTTTATTTCCTCACTTCTAGAAAGATCACTAATGGTCTAATGGAGCAAGTACCGGTACTATACTACTAACCCCTATTGGGGCTTTTACTTGAGGCTAATTTTTTATTTACATTGTGCGAGATAAGAGTTCTGCAAAAGATGACCTTCATACTTGGCCCTCTAGGTGTACTTACTGGAGTTAATTGCTTGTGGCTGACCTGAATGCTTTTCATGTAGCTTGTATAATTGGTTCATTTCATGTGATTCTTGACATGTTTATTTCTACCCTTAATGCAATGAAGTATTTCACTAATAAAAAAACTTACATGACATTGCACTGGAAATTTTATGTCATGTCATCAGATATACAGTTGTCCATGGGCTTTTGTTTGAAAGACACTCTTTGCCCTCTTGTCCAACACAGGCCTGAGTCCCACTCCTCGGGCCACCTCTGATTTCATCTCAACTGAGGTGGACAGTTATAGGCAGCCAGACAAGTGTGCTTTTCCGCCTCAGGGCTTTCTCCAGAGCGATGGAAGCCCCTCGAAAGCTTGGGGAATTAATACCCCCCCGGGACACACTCAACCAAAGGGGGCAGGGGTGAGCTGATAAACGTTCCAGTCCTCAGAGGGACAGTCAGTGCTCAGGCTCCTTCTACAGGGTTCAACTACGATTGCCCATAGTGTGAACTGCTTCCTGCTATCACTTCTGCATTCCACACCTCACACTCCTCACCGCCTCACTGCTGCTTCCTTCCAAGTAATCTACCTGCACTCACACCCTTATTCAGGCTTGCTTCCACGTAATTCCGGATTCCGCTCTAGTTTTTCTACCTCTGGCCACCTCTTGTGAATACTGGCGCTCAGCTGCAATCTCTTCTCACTTGATACTCCCTCTCTGACAATCCTATGTCACGTGCTCTATTCACCTTCAGCCTCACGTTTCCAAACCACCTGATGGATATCCTCAGCCAGAATGTCTTCAAGACCAGCAAGTGAAGAAAGGAACTCTTTTTTTCTTGTCTTCTTCCCAAATTCCCATGGCTGGGGAATGGCATCACAACTTACCCAGCTGTCCACGCCAGAAACCAGGGACTTTTGCTACACACCTCCTTCCCCTTCCCTCCATATCCAGTCGGTCAAGTGCTTCGTATGCTTCTCACCCTAATGTATCAGAGCTCTCAGTGGGACTCCTGCAGTTACCACTATAAGCATCATTTAATTTTCTGCATAAAAGGGATTTATAATGGAAAGTCTCCCTCCACCCATCTCCTAGCCACTCAATTCATCTTCCCAAAAGCCATATTACTCATTTTTTAAAATATACCTTTCCAACCCTAGCTGGCTTGGCTCAGTGTATAGCGCGTCAGCCTGCGGACTGAAAGGTCCCAGGTTCGATTCTGGTCAAGGGCACATGCCTGGGTTGCGGGCTTGATTCCCAGTAGGGGGTGTGCAGGAGGCAGCCTATCAATGATTCTCTCTCATCATTGATGTTTCTATCTCTCTCTCTCCCTCTCTTCCTCTCTGAAATCAATAAAAATATATATTTTTTTAAAAAATTCATCACTAATATATATATTTCTAGGAATATTTTATACCAGTATGTGTATTATATATTCTAGCCCTCCTTCCCCCTCAACCTAAATTGCAGCATGCCAATGCAATGTTCTAAATTGTCTTCCCTGTAACTTCAGTTCCAGTTTCTTGTCTGAATAGTATTCCTTTGTATACATTTAACTATTTAAGCCGGCTGTTTGTTTCCGGTAATTTGTTTGATAAACAATGCCGTCATGCATAACCTTGTATTCCATAATCTTGCCAAATCATTTATAAGATAACGTTTGGAGGTCCAAGGGCATTTGTAATTTTAATAGCTACAATGGCTTTTTGTTGTTTTCACTTTTATTAAAGTTATACAGGCACACACATCAAGTAATTCTACAAGGTTTGTTACATTAAAAAAAAAAAAAAAAAAAAAAGCCAAAACCGGTTTGGCTCAGTGGACAGAGCGACGGCCTAAGGACTGAAAGGTCCCAGGTTCGATTCCGGTAAAGGGCATGTACCTTGGTTGCGGGCACATCCCCGGGAGGGGGTGTGCAGGAGGCAGCTGATCGATGTTTCTGATTCTCTATCCCTCTCTCTTCCTCTCTTTAAAATATCAATAAAATATATTTAAAATAAATAAATAAAAAGCTAGAGAGACATCCTTTTCAGAGGCACCACTTTTAAGCCCCCCACTTTAAAAAATACTCACTCCCAGGACTCTACAAGACACTCAGCTTCCTGGATGTTCAGTCTTAGCATTATCCATCGGCTCCCGCTGTGGAGGGGAGGAACTCGGTTCTCTCCTGCCCGGTCTTCCTTACACACCCTCATGTGCACATCTCTCTCTGCCAAGGGGCCTCCCCGGGGAGGCGGCAGGTTCTGAGCGCCTGGCAGCATCACACCTCGGTTGTGACGCTCACGCCCCCGGAAGTCACCAAGCGCCCGGAAGCCAGCCGGGCGGGGCTTGTCCCCCCGCCCTCAGGGTCCCGCCCCCGAAGCCTCCGCGTTCCGGCCCATAGGTTAACTAGGGCCGGAAAGAGGCGGAACTCCGCGAGCCGGCGGAAGTTTCCCCGCCGGACCGAAAAGCGGAGTGCACCGAATGTCGCGGGAGCTGATTCTCGGTCCCTTGCTCCCGCGACATGGCCTTCAACTTCGGGGCTCCCTCGGGCACCTCGGGCACCGCTGCAGCCACCGCCGCTCCCACGGGTGAGTCATTTCCCCGGACCTTCTCCTGGGGTTGGTCTCGGGGCCGCCTCGGTCCGAGAGACTCTCCGGCTCGGGGTTCCCGGGGTTTCCTGCCGGGGCGGAGACTTCGGGGCTTCGGAAAAGGGCGGGCGGGCGGGCGGCGCGGAGCTGGCCGAGCAGGCTCCCCAGGAGGCTGCGGGGGGACGGAGGCCCGCCCCGGCGCCGGCACGCGGAGCGTGGGTCCCGCTGGACCCTGCCCTCCCGGGGCTCGCTTCCGGCCGCCGGGGAGTTGGAGAGACCGGAGCGGCCCCTCTTCCTTCGAGGAGAACCGCCTTCTCCCCCCAACTCCGCTCCTGTCCCGGCGGGAACCCTGGCGGGGCTCCGGCGCTGCCCGGCGGCTCCTTCGGTCCCAGCCCCGGGGCGGGGGGACGGCGGGAGCCTCGGCCCAGCCCCTTCGGCCCTCGCTAGGGGGGCTTCCCGCTCCCACTCCTCTCTCCTGCCCCCACCTCCGCTTTCTGAATTTACTTGGAGCAAAGTCAAGGTTTGCCTTTTTGTTCACTTCTGTGAAACTTCCTACGGACCTTGCTAATATCCTGTCTTGCTTTCTTTTTTTTTCTTGTTTTTCTTGCCCTCTCCCCTTTTTACATGTTTGTTTCTCTCTTTTGCCTACACGCCTGTCAGGATTTGGTGGGCTTGAGACTGCCAACTCCACCGCCAGTGGGTTTAATTTTGGGGGTTTCGGATTAGCTGCTAACCCCGCGGTGAACTTTAATATTGGGAGTTTCGGTGTTCCTACTACTGCGGCGACGCCGTTCAATTTCGGTAACAGTCTGGCGAGCGCAGGTAGATACTGCGGGTCTGTGTGTGGCGGCCGGATGCTGGGGGCTGGAGTCCAAGAATGGTGTGTGGTCCCGGCGTTTGGGAAGGAACAGCGGCTTGTCTGAGCAAAGAAAAATCTGTCTCCCAATGTCGAATCAGTAACACTTGTAATCAAGTATTTGACTGTATCAAGTTGTAGTCTTGGGAAGTCTTGCAAGTGATCATGTCCCTTTGTTAAAAGTTTGTATTGTTTATATTCAGAATATAATTTCCAAGTAGTTTGGAATTATTATTTGTGGGTAGAATATGTCTTCCAAATTATTACACATTCCTTCCAAAGTCTAAGCTCAGCCAGTCAGGCCCATTTTTTTTCCTGGGATTCTTGGACTCCTGCAGCCACGTTTTTCCATTTTTCCCTGCATCTTTCATTGGGATTTCATCCTATTGTCCTTGAGTTTCCCAAAAGAACATTGTCTTATACGAACAGCGGTGACCTGTTTTGTTTTATAACCTGTATAATAATAATGCTTTTTGTTGTTGTTCAACCCAGCATATTAGTAAACGTTTCTCTAAGATGTGTAATTATAGAAGGAATCCCTAGTTTTTTTCCTGGAAAATTGTAAGAAATTACAAATTATTAAATAATTGTAAGAGGGAATTTAGTTTATTGTCAGCATTGAGTTCTAAAAGATAAGCCAGACATGTTTGCATTCAAAATGATAATTATGAAGATTTTATTACCTAGAGATGGATTGTTTAAAGTTCATTGAAAAATTTACAAAGCACAAACTACATTGTATGTATATATGTATAAATTTAAAATAGGTCTATATAGTTACATACAATGACCCTATAGAAAAGTCTTGTTTCTCAGCTGCTCGTATATGAATCTGTTGTCCATATTTTCTTACATTATGCCACTTATGCCCATGCCAATTATATGCATTTGGTAAACTTTGTATCCTGAAACTTTTTAGTTCTCTAAAACTTATTTGGGAAGTTCTGGTATTTTGTGCAGTCACTTGTCAATGTATCACTTTGATATTTGATTTGAAAACGTGAAGAATACTTAAAATTCCAAAGATAAAATGATCCATTATCATAAAGCTATATTTAAAGATCACATTTACTGTCATTTGGTATGTTTTCTTTTTCCCTGTTTGCTTAAAATTGGCACTGGGTAAAACAGAAACATTATTTTCAAATTTGTGTTTCTGGACAAAACCACCCAGTTGTAATTCACCAACAAGAAACACATCTTTTGTTATTTGCTTGATTTTGTGTTCCTTTGGAGTTATCATTGTTAAATTTTTAGTTGTGATAATATACAATAATTGTGTTTTAACTACTTTTATATACATATGTTTATTAACTTTGCCTTCACCAAAGGGCTGATAAAAATTTTTGTCTACCTTTTAATTTTGTATCCTTGCAGATGGAAGTTAATAATAAACATTTTTGGTATGATGAGATCCTGACTGGTATTTTTTATCATGTAGCCAATTCAGAATATATCTTAGTTTTTCAATGGAAGGGAGAAGTAAGAAAAAAAATTGTTTCCAGTTTACTTGTATGCACTAGACATACAAGTAAATGGAGTGGTTGTGCCTGCATGCAACATGCAGTCTATTATTACTAATTGATTTTTGTTTAGACAGAGAGGAAGGGAGAAGGAGAAGAATCATCTCTGTGAGAACAAAACATAAATTGGCTGCCTCCTGCACACTCCCTCCTGGGGATCCAGCCCCACAACCCAGGCATGTGCCCTGACGGGGAACAGCAACCTTTTGGTGCATGGGACAACACTCAACCAACTGAGCCAACCAGCCAACTGAGCCAAACGGGCCAGGTGACATGCAGTCTATTCTTGAGTAATTTTCCCTATCAAAATTATATGGTGACTATCAAAGGGTTGGAATTTTTTTCTTAATATTTTCTGTGTTACAATATTGATGAATATTTGTCTTAAAAGTCTTTTTTTGCACCACATTAGTATCAGGTAAAAACCAACAATAAAGAAAATACGTAAAACAATTTTAAATTGGTTAGTATTCCATTCTATTCATATGATAAGTTAGCTATAATTAAGAGTGATTTGTCTCTAGACTTATAAAAAAATGAGATTTGTGCATCTGTCAGATTTGCCAAACTCGGCTATCAGAGGCCTGTGATAGCTCTGTTCACTTTCCCTGCCAGTGCCTTCCACTTGTGTATTTTTTCTCTCACTTCTTCCTCAGAGAAACACATTTTTGCTGTATAGAGGTCAGTGTATTGGTATGTTTCCTTTGAAAAGTTGTTTAGTCTCAGTGGAAACTAAGTAGAAATATAAGCTAAACTTGACTATAAATTAATTGATCAAGCCAAGAATGAAAGCTGTCAACACACTCTGCCATTATGATCTATTTGCACACTATTTTTTTAAAAACTTGAATTAGTTGCAAAAATTGGGGTTTAAAATTCTATAAATGTCACATAGAAAAATCTAGATCTCCTATTTATTTGGGGGGGAAATGGGAATATATAACACTGCTACACTACCATTGCTGGAATTTAGGAACTGCTGCTGTTTTTTAAAAAATTGTTTACATTGGCCAAAACCAGCTTGGCTCAGTGGATATAGAGCGTTGGCCTGCAGACTGAGAGGTCCCAGGTTCGATTCCAGTCAAGGGCATGTGACTTGGTTGTGGGCACATCCCCGGTGGGGGGTGTGTAGGAGGCAACTGATCCATGTTTCTGACTCTCTATCCCTCTCTCTTCCTCTCTGTAAAAAATCAATAAAATATATTAAAAAAATTTTTTTTAATTGTTTACGTTGAATAGTTCCACTATTCATTAATGTTATCAGCCTAAATCTTCTAGGTGTTTGAATTTGCATTTTCTATTCTAAAAGTACATACATAGTCGTTTTAGTGTTTGTTAAACATAATGGCTGTGGGCTTAATATGTTTTATCAGCTATAACTTAATCATTCCTTTAGTTGAAAGGTATAGATTGCATTGAGGTATTCTAGTTTAAATACTTCTATGGCTTATTTCTTACAACATACTGATTTCTTGATTAGTAGAACTGTGTTGTTCTTTTTTTAATGAAATTAAAAGTAGTGAAAGAAAAACTAGATTAATATATTTTGTCTTTATACATAGCAATTACTTATAAAATAACTTGAACAAGAAATTACCTCTTATATCCAAAAGAGTCTTCCTTTCCATTTTATTTATCCCCTTATAATTAGGTGGGTTCGGAGGATTTGGGACAACATCTACAACTGCAGGCTCTGCATTCAGCTTTTCTGCTCCAACTAACACAGGCACTACTGGTAAGAGGACAATCTTAAGTCATTTGTAGAAGTGAGCTAAAGCTCAGATTTTTTTAACTTATGCAATTTCAATTTTTCATTAAAAGGACTCTTCGGTGGTACTCAGAACAAAGGTTTTGGATTTGGTACTGGTTTTGGCACAACTGGAACTAGTACTGGTTTAGGTACTGGTTTGGGAACTGGATTGGGATTTGGAGGATTTAATACACAGCAGCAGCAGCAACAACAAACTAGTAAGTATGACGTTTTCATCTTATTTCCAATATAAAATTATAACATAGCTAACATTATTGAATGCACTGTTTAAAATACATTAGTGGATAACTTTTTAAAAAATTATAAATATTCCACAGGATTTCAAAAGCTACTTCTTATGTTTATATATAACTAGAGGCCTGGTGCACAGATTTGTGTATATGTGGTGTCCCTGGCCCTGGCCTGTGGGGATGGGGCTGAAACCGGCTCTCTACCATCCCTCCAGGGTCCTGGATTGCGAGAGGGCAGTTCTCAGGTGAGGCACCTGGAATCCGGCTCCCTCCTCTCTGGTTCCGGGTGCGTCACCTGAGGACTGCAGCTGCCAAGTCACTGCAGCTCAGAGTGGCCATTGTGCGTCATAGCTACCGGTCAGACGATCACTAAGGCTTTTATGTAGAATAAATAATAACTTGGGAGAAGTCTAATTGACATTAGGATTATAAGTTTTTTGTATCATTTTAATTTTTTTGTTGCTAAAAAAAATAACAAAAATATAGAAAACTGCACACAAGTACTGTTTAATGAATTATATATAAAGTGAACACCCTGGTGACCACTGCCCAGGTCAGAAGATGGACCTGGCCAGTCTCTTCAGAAGCTCTTTACATTGTCCTCCTACTCATTTCTCCATGAAAGGAACTTCATGTCGTTTATTATATTCAATTCCTTTTATAGTTTTGTCACTCAAGTGTGTAAACAATATTGCTTTATTTGTCTTAAACCTCTAAGTTCCTCTTTTAGCTCTCTTTTTTCAATTTATTTAAAAAATCAGCTAATTTGTCCTATGGAGTTTTTCAGGCAGGTCTTTGCTGATTGCATTCCTGTAGTATAATTTAACATGTTCCTTTGCCCATCCTCTGTATTTTTTTCCTGTAAAAGGAAAACCAGTGTAATTTGCTATAAAGAAAAGATAATCAAAATTTAAGCACAAAGAAAATATAATAGTATTAATAAATTCTAGCCAGACACCTTTGTGCCTTAAGCTCTGAGTCTTAGACACCTTCAACCCTTTGTTAAAAAATGAGATAAGCCTAAACCGGTTTGGCTCAGTGGATAGAGCTTCGGTCTGTGGACTGAAGGGTCCCAGGTTCGATTCCTGTCAAGGGCATGTACCTGAGTTGTGGGCACATCCTCAGTAGGGGGTGTGCAAGAGGCAGCTGGTCGATGTTTCTCTCTCATCGACATTTCTAGCTCTCTATATCTCTCCCTTCCTTTCTGTAAAAAATCAATAAAATATATTTAAATTTAAAAAAATATTGAGATAAGCCCGGTCGTGTGGCACCAACAGATCACCCATCCCTGGTCAGGGCACATGCCTGAATTTCAGGCTCAATCCCTAGTAGGGGGCGTGTGGGAGGCAACTGATAGATGTTTCTGTTTCTCCCTTCTTCTTCCTCTAAAATCAAAACATTTTTTTTTAAGTGAGATAAGAAAGTCATGAAACATTAAAGGCATACTGGCACCAAACAAACTTTTCTAAAAGATATCTCCTCTTCCTTGTTATCCTTCTTTCCCTACCCCCTCTTTCCCCTCCTCCTTCTCTTTCCCCCCTTCCTCTTCTTCCTCCCCCTCTTAGAAAAGCAAGCAAGAATTTATTGACAACAGTAAAAACACACAGGATGGTGAAACAAGGAAGGGCATAGAAGCAGCAACAGGAGAACCTAGGCTGGGCTTATAGGGAGTCAGAGTAAAGGGGGCCTTGGAGACAGGTTCATGGGGTTAGTTCGGGACGAGTTGCTGCTGCCCATTGCTCCCCTGGTTACAGGTCTTCTGGGGTCCCTTGGAGTTTAGGAAATAAGTGCCTTTGGAGGGAAGGGAATGGCATCGGAGTGCCCAAAGAGATTTTTTTTTAACCCTCACCCATGTATATTTTTCCATTGATTTTTTGTGAGAGAGGAAGAGAGAGGAAAAGACAGAAATACTGATGTGAGAGAAACACATTGATTGGTTGCCTCCTGCATGTGCCCTTGACTGGGACTGAACCCAGAGCCCTTCGGCCCACAGGCCGGCACTCAGCCACTGAGCCAAACGGGCTGTTTTCTTACAGGAATTGGTCCATTTGGTAACCCAGCTGTTGCTTGACAGCTGTATCATACCAGGGTACTTTATCTTGCACTTTGGAAATATTGATCCGATCTAACATCTTTGCCCTTCTTACTATTGGAAAGTTGTAGCACATAGAGATTAAGTAACTTTCCCACAGCCAGCTAAAGCTTTATCCTAGAATATTGATGGTTAGTTCATTTGTTCTTTTCACTATATTTTTCTTGTTAATAAGAGAAGGAAAAGTGTTTATTAATCCTATCAGGCCTGAAGCCCTGAAGCTAACTGTCCCCTATACCTGGGCTCTTTAGCATTAAAGAGAAAAAAATCAATCATAGAAAAATGTTAGTTACATGCAAACAAGTGGTTAGAATAAGATGGAACTTAGAGACATTGTAGAAAATAGGTCTAGGCCAAGTACCAAAAATGAGGTACAGCGGTATAGCGGCAGATTCAGAAATTACCGAAAAATTGGTACAGCGGTCTGGTAGAGTTAAGCTGTTATTGATAAACATTGATATAATGATCCCTATTGCTGATTTTTTATCTTTCAATTTGTATTTATTATACAAATATAACAACAAAAAATGTTGTTTAAGAGATAACTTTGCAACTTCACAGAATTTACTTTTTTTTAATTTTATTTTATTGATTTTGTGCAGAGAGGGAGGGAGAGAGAGAGTTAAAAACATCGATGAGAGAGAATCATCAATCAGCTGCCTCTTGCATACCCCCTACTGGGGATATGCCCGCAACCAAGGTACATGCCCTTGACTGGAATTGAACCCAGGACCCTTCAGTCCCCAAGCTGACGCTCTATCCATTGAGCCAAACCTGTCTCGGCAGAATTAACTTTTTCATATCTTTGTCCTTTTTTTTATTTTTGTATGTGGGTCTAATATGGATCTAAATTTGTGTTCTAGTAATAGAGTTAATTGTATTAAGATTATATCATTAGAGAAATAAGTTTAACATTATGAGGATTGTTATTAGTTTCTTTTCTTTTTTAAAGAATATTTTTTGCCCTGACTGGTTTGGCTCCTTGGATAGCATGTCAGCCTGCCCCCTCTCACAGTCCGGGAGCCTTCAGGGGCAGGAGGCAACCCTGCGATCAGGGGAAAGTGATGCCCCCATCACACCTCTGCTGCTGCCACTGCTGGCAGCACAAGCCTTGGCCAGCCCTGGTTCCCTGAGCTTCTGGTCGGCCTTGAGGGGCTGAGGGCGGGTCCAAGCGCACCTAGCACCTGCCTCCCTCCTCTCCACCTCCTCCTTCCTCCCCTTGGGGCTGAAAGGACTGGGGGACTCTGGCAGGGCTGAGGGGACTGGGCACCGCCATCTTCTGGCTATGGGTGCCACACTCTGTGAGGGTGTGATGGTCAATTTGCATATTCTCTTTTATTAGATAGGATTTTACTTTGATGTTGACTTCCCTCTATGATTTATGTTGAGTTCCTCCTGATAATATAGGATAATCCCAGTTTAATCTCATAATCACATTTTGTAAGGTAACATATTTACAAATTATGGAGATTATGATACGGGCACCTTTGTGTGTACGGCACCTTTGTGTGTAGGGATCATTAGTCTGCCTACCATACTTAGGCTCTGAATTGTGTGTTTAAAAAAAAAATACTAATTTTGGGATATGTTTTTAGCATTAGGTGGTCTCTTTGGTCAGCCTACACAGGCTCCTGCTCAGTCCAACCAACTGATAAACACTGCAAGTGCTCTTTCTGCTCCAACGCTGTTAGGAGATGAGAGAGATGCTATTTTGGCAAAATGGAATCAACTGCAGGCCTTTTGGGGAACCGGAAAAGGATATTTCAACAATAACATACCACCGGTGGAATTCACACAAGAAAATCCCTTTTGCCGATTTAAGGTATTAATGCTTTTGATCTTCACTTGAAGGGTGTGTATAAAACAGAATATAGTATTTGGGTTAGGATAATACCAATAAAACAGTTGCTTGGTTTTTTTCCGGTACTCCCTAAACATGGTACAATTATATTTTTATTTTTTATTTTTATTTTTTTAATATATTTTATTGATTTTGTACAGAGAGAAAGGGAGAGAGATAGAGAGTTAAAAATATTGATGAGAGAGAGTCATCAATCAGTTGCCTCTTGCACACCCCCTACTGGGGATATGTCCGCAATCAAGGTACATGCCCTTGACCGGAATCGAACCCGGGTCCCTTCAGTCCCCAAGCCGACGCTCTATCCATTGAGCTAAACCGGTCCCGGCGGTACAATTATATTTTTATTTTAAAAATACAAAAATTATAAAATTGAGGTGATTTCATACATGTGTGTTTGAAGGTGCACAGAATATGACTGAAAGATGTGACTAATTTATAACTGAGGGGGAAAAATGTTAACAAAAGGGGAATGGTCTGCTTGGCATCCAGGGAGATGTAAAAGTAGAATTTAGTGGTATTTATCTAGCATTGTCCAGGAATGTATACCTTACCCACTCAGAGTATCTTATTGTCACTATTATTGCTGGATGCCAAGGTCATTAAAACAGTGTAGTCTATTTTCAGTGTTGATTCCATGCTTATCAAGCAACCTGCTCATATGAATTTGACTTCTCAGATTTTGTTCATTAGCCAGTTAGAGTATATAGGTCAATTTGTAGTGTATTTTTTATAACAAATTAATAAATTATAATCCATGGTAGAATCAACATCATCAAAATGTCCATACTTCCCAAAGCAATCTATAGGTTCAATGCACTCCCCATTAAAATACAACGGCATATTTCACTAACCTAGAAAGAACTCTCCAAAAGTTCATTTGGAACAATAAAAGACCCCAAATAGCCATAGCAATTCTGAGAAAGAAGAATAAAGTAGGAGGGATCTCAATACCAGATTTCAAGCTGTATTACAAAGCCACTGTTCTCAAAACAGCCTACTACTGGCACAAGAACAGATATAGATCAATGGGATAGAATCGAGAACCCAGATAACCCAAATCACTATGCTCAATTAATATTTGACAAATGAGGCAAGAATATACAATGGAGTCAAGACAGTCTCTTCAATAAATGGTGTTGGGAAAATTAGACAGATACATGCAAAAGAATGAAACTAGATCATCAACTTACACCATACACAAAAATAAACTTAAAATGGATACAGGATTTAAACATAAGACGGGAAACCATAAAAAATACTAGAGGCATCCACAGGCAGCAAAATCTCAGACATATGCCAAAAGAACTTCTTCACTGATACTGCCCCTAGGGCAATGGAAGCTAAAGAGAAAATAAACAAATGGGACTACATCAAAATAAAAAGCTTTTTTACAGCAAAAGAAACTATCAACAAAACAACAAGAAAGCCCATGGTGTGGGAGAACATATTTGCAAATGTTCCCACTGATAAAAGTTTAATCTCCAACATCTACAGACAGCTTATACAACGAAATAAAAGGAAAATGAATGATCCAATTAAAAAATGGGCAATGGACCTAAATAGAATATTTTCAAAAGAAGACAGAAGGAAGGCCAAGAGGCACATGAAAACATGCTCAAAGTCACTAATTTCTGAGAGATGCAAATCAAAACAATAATGCGGTACCATCTCACACCTGTCAGAATGGCCAACATCAACAAACGACAAGTGTGGCGAGGTTGCGGAGAAAAAGGAACCCTCGTGCACTGTTGGTGGGAATGCAGACTGGTGCAAACAGTGTGGAGTTTCCTCATAAAACTGAAAATGGAACTCCCATTTGACCCAGTAATCCCACTCCTAGGAATATATCCCAAGAAACTAGAAACACCTATCAGAAAGGATATATGCACCCCTATGTTCATAGCAGCACTATCTACAATAGCTAGAATTTGGAAACAGCCTAGGTGCCCGTCAGCAGATGATTGGATCAAAAAACCATGGTACATCTACACAATGGAATACTATGCTGCCATAAAAAAGAAGGAATTTTCATCATTTGCAGCAACCTGGATGGAATTGGAGAACATCATGCTGAGTGAAATAAGCCAGTCAATGAAAGAGAAACACCACATGACCTCATTTATGGATAATAAAGAACATTATAAACTGATGAACCAAAAGGTAGATACAGAGACAGCAAAGCAACAAGCAGACTGTCAAATTACAGTGGGGAGGGTAGGGAGATCTGGGGGAGATAAGAGATCAATTGAAGGACTTGTATACATGCATATAAGTACAACCAGTGGACACAAAACTGGGGAGGGAGGGTATGTATTGGGGGGGACAATGGTAAAATATGTACACAGATAATTTAATAAAAAAATAAAATTAAAAAAACAACAACAACAAATGGAGGGTTCAACAATAAAGATTTTTAAAAAACAACACAAAAACAAGTGGAGGAGGGCTCAGTCATCCCATTTTAACAGCTGAGACTGTCCTTACCCAGCCAGTTTGTAGCTGACTAGTCTGAGGAGTGAGCCCGGCCAAAATGAGCATATGCCCACAAATGTACTCAGGATCGACAATCAAGTATCATGGTTTTATGGCAGCGTTTCAGGAGTGGTTTGCTAGTAAGCATTTCTGACTGATAACAACCAACAGATTGCCAACATTTTGCATTTGATTGCAACAGTTTGAGTACAAAGAAGGGGTTGAGTCTTTATTTCCTCCCAGTTATCAGGCTGTGTAGATCTAAATGCTTGAACAAAGTTCTTTCAGACACAAGGCTCTGTCTCTACCAGTGTTATATGTTGCTCTAAAACTGTTGCCCTCACGGACCTTGTATTTTCTATGTAATTTAATAAAGCTGTGACCTCCTAAATAAATAAATAAATAAATAAATAAATAAATATCCAGTTTACTTAAGCCTCTTTTGAGTTTTATTGTTGTCTATTAGTCTCTTAAAACTAATCAATGTGTACATAAGCCTCGTGTTTAGGTCTACGAAGCTTAGAATCAGACCCTTGAACAACAAAAAGGAAGTAGTTTTTTTATTAGATAGTATGTTGAAATTTTAATATCTTTATTTAATGACTAAGATTTATGCAGTAGATATACATAGACTAAATATAACAATTTGACTTTTTCCTTTTTTAAGTTGATAAATAACATGCATATGGTATAATAAAATGCATAACAAACTATAGTGAATTTAAATTTTTCAAAAACGTGACAAACAAAAAAAGTCTTCTATCTAAAAGAGTAATTCTCTAAAGATATAGTTTATCATGTCTAAAACCTAAGATTCTGTGAGTCTAGTATATAGTAAAATGACTTACATTTTGGTCCATGACTTTTGCTGTCATTTTTATGACATTCAGAGTTGTTTCAATTGTAGAAGCAACCAACAAATGTGGATATCAATGTTTTTCAGAGGCAAAAGTTACTTAATTACTCTTTTGAAAAGGCATTTTTAATTTCATTCTATGAGTGTTATTCTGGGATAAAGTAATTTCTTTAAAATGTGTAACCTCCTAGGGCACAAGGAGGTGAGAATCATTACTTCCTTTGCTACCAGACATTAAACGGTTTCCCCATTTTAGCAGATATGAAGCTATTAATATCAAATACTGAATTTAAAATCTGTACATATTTCTAATAATGTTTATTTTGTCATTCCACAGGCAGTAGGTTATAGTTGTATGCCCAATAATAAAGATGAAGATGGGCTTGTGGTTTTAGTTTTCAACAAAAAAGAAACAGATATTCGAAGCCAACAACAGCAGTTGGTAGAATCATTGCATAAAGTTTTGGGAGGAAACCAGACCCTTACAGTAAATGTAGAGGGTATTAAAACATTGCCAGATGATCAGTAAGTACTCAATAAGTATACTATTTATATCTGTATGCCTCGGTCCAGAGAATGATCAAGTGTTTTTGTTGCTAAAATCCCAGTTAAATCTCAGAGCAGAATGTTACTTCTCAGATAGTGATTTTTCAGTATTTATGCAGAGACATTTGAAAACTTTTTTCTTAATCTTGGATTTTTTAACTTACTGGATGCTAGTAATTTTTCAGATTTTTCCCTTAGAAACAGGAATAAATATTAATTGTGACTGTGTGCATATCAAGGACCACAAAGATGTTAATGAAAGTTTTGACTATTATTCATGTTCATTTATGAATAAATATGATTGATTATTGTAACTTCCCTTGTCTGATAATTTTCATACTTAGTAGCAAAACATTTACTTCAAAATATAACTAAAGTCAGAATTTACTTCTTGGTCTTACAGTAAAACAACGTATAAGTTTCAACAGAATCTCCAAAGTACTTCTCAAATCTAAAAAAAATAATAGAACTTTGCTGCTAAACAAACCTTTGACAAATATTATCTTATTTGCCTGTCTTATTTTAACTTTATCATTTAAGTTAATTTATAAGTGAACAGAACATTAAGTAAGAGTATTTTATTTTTCAAGATTTAATTCTAAAATAGTCATTTCTTTTTTTTTTTTCACGTCAGACGGGTCATGTGCCAAAGGTGTAACAAGGTTTATGGGCGGCACATCTCACAGCCGCATGAACACCCAATCATCACGCTTATGAACTCCTAAAGGATCTAAAATTTCTTAATTCAGCTAGTGTCCTTTAAAATCACATGCTGCATTGATATTTGTGACTGAGTTATATGTTTCATGTTTTATAACTTGGTTGTTTTTTCCCAGGACAGAAGTTGTCATTTATGTTATTGAGCGCTCTCCAAATGGTACTTCAAGAAGAGTTCCGGCTACAACACTATATACCCATTTTGAACAAACCAACATAAAAACACAGCTGCAGCAACTTGGTGTAACCCTCTCTATGACCAGAACAGAACTTTCTCCTGCACAGGTCAAACAGCTGTTACAGAATCCCCCTGCTGGTATGTTTCTATACTCAAAGAGTTGAGGAAATGAAAGACTTCGAGATATATGCTTCTTCTATTTTAAAAGGTGTTGGTTGATTATTAATGTTAATAAAACCATTGTTAGCTTATCACATGGCTACCTATTCACATAGATTGGATTTTTAAATTTCATTTATTTGTCTAGGTTTTTTTTTTTTATTATATGGCAAATATGTTTATTAGAAATAGCTAACTAAAGAAAAATCATTTATAATCCATCTACCCAAAGGTAATTTACTATTTTATTTTTTTCAAGTTTATCTCTTGTTTTAACTGAGTCTTCTAGTAAAACCTGAATGTGTTCTTAGTTTTTTTTTTTTTAATATATTGATTTTTTACAGAGAGGAAGAGAGAGGGATAGAGAGTTAGAAACATTGATGGGAGAGAATCATCGATCAGCTGCTTCTTGCACACTTCCTACTGGGGATGTGCCCGCAACCAAGGTACATGCCCTTGATCAGAATCGAACCCAAGACCTTTAAGTCCGCAGACTAACACTATTCACTGAGCCAAACCGGTTTCGGCTGAATGTGTTCTTATCAGAAAAGATGTCCTTTTATCCATTTTCTATTAGATTTTTTTTGGTCTTTCTTTGTGATTTGTAGAAGCTCTATAGTATCTTAATAAGTTGTAGGTGTTTCCTATCCATTTACGCCTTTTGTTTAGCTTTAACTTACAAAATTTTTATTTTTGTAGTGGTCATATTTGACAGTTGAGAAATTCATTACAGTTTATGAGTTTTATGTTTTACTTTGGGAATGCTTTTCATACAAATACCATAAAAATGGAAAATAGTTCTTTTAGAAAAAATATTTTTTCTTTGTGGTAGGTGTTGATCCTATTATCTGGGAACAAGCCAAAGTGGATAACCCTGATTCTGAAAAGTAAGTGCATCTTCATCTTTTTTTCATATAAGAACTAATATTTGCTACTATGGAAGCAAACAAATGCAAACTATTATAATTACTGGGGGCTGTGAGGCTTCGGTGGGCATCGGGACAGGTTTTGGCCCGTCCTCCGCTCCTCCGCTTAGCGCCCCCTGCCGTGGCTCCAGCTCTGTCTGCTGGCAGCCCCTACTTAGTGGCTCCCACATGCTGACAATGCTGGCCCCGGCTTGCACCAGCTGATGGCACAGAGTGATTGGGGCCAGCACCAGCAGCTGGTGGGAGCTGCATCTGCTACCCCAGTCACCCCTTAGGAACAGGGAGGTGGAGAAGCTCTCAGGGGCGATCGGGCAGCAGCCGGTGCAAGCAGCGGCTCTGGCACCAGCTGCAAGCGGTTCTGGCACCGGCAGCAGGTGTGACAGGCGGCTGCTGGCCCAATTGCCCCTCAGGAGCAGGGGGGAGTGGAGAAGCCCTGAGGGGCACTGGCAACACATGCAAGTGCCTGGCAGCACTGTGGCACGTAGGAGCGAAGAATTTTCAGTAACCACCAAAGGCTCACCCTGATGACAATGTCCATCACCTTGCCTTGGTCTGCTGCCCCTGCTCACCTGCTCCATCATTCCACAGTGGCGATGCCCGCCATGTTCCACTGCTGCTGACACCTGCCATGTTCCATGCATGCCCCCCTGCCATGTTCCATGCATACCTGCCATGTTCCATGTTATAAGCATGTTCCATTCATATTATAGTGACCAGTTCGGTCATTTGTTTGTTCCGCCATTTGGTCTTGTTTGCATATTAGGGTTTTATATATATAGATAATCATATTTTAGGTGAGCTTATTTTAATTTCTATTGCTTTTCTAAAAAATTTTTATTGATTGATTTTAGAGAAAGAGGGAGAGAGAGAAATACCATGTTTCCCCAAAAATAAGGCATCCTCCGAAAATAAGACCTAGTGCATGGAAAGATAAGACATCCCCTGAAAATAAGACCTAGCGCAACTTTGGGAGAAAAAATTAATATAAGACACTGTCTTATTTTCCGGGAAACAGGGTATCAATTTGATCTACTTACTTATGTATTCATTGGTTGATTCTTATATGTGTGCTGACTGGGGATTGAACCCGCAACCTTGCCGTATCAATAGCTCGAATCAACTGAGCTACCCAGCCAGGAGGATTTTTATTGCTTTTTAAAGAATGTTGACTATGGTAAGGCAGCATTTTGTGGTAAAGACATTGAAATCTGAACACTAGTAACCTTATAATGTTTGTATTTAATAATGTAACTTTTTCCTAAACTAAATTTTCTCATTTGTAAAATAGAGAGATTGAATTAAGTTTCTATGGTGTGACGTTATTAATTTCATAGTTGTAGATCTGCCTTTAAACTCTAGAAATTTAATGTGAAATTATATGAATGTTATAAAAACCCTTTTTGAATTTTGTAATAGTACACTTAAGGTTTGAAAACTGACCACTTGAATTTCTTCAGGTTAATTCCTGTACCAATGGTGGGTTTCAAAGAACTTCTTCGAAGACTGAAGGTTCAAGATCAGATGACGAAGCAGCATCAGACCAGATTAGATGTAAGCATTTGCCTTCATTCTCTGGCCTTGGGGTCATAGAAATTTTATAGGGAACAATACAGTGTATACTGCAAATTAGCAATTATAATTTTATACAACTTTCCTTATTATAATCTCCAAAATCATGTAAATCTGATTGGTTATACTAGTATTTTAATGGTGAATTTAAAATTGTTGGCTTAGCCAAAGTCGGTTTGGCTCAGTGGTAGAGCGTCGGTCTGCGGACTGAAAGGTTCCAGGTTCCATTCCGGTCAAGGGCATGTACCTTGGTTGCGGGCACATCCCCAGTAGGGGGTGTGCAAGAGGCAGCTGGTCATGTTTCTCTCTCATCGACGTTTCTAGCTCTCTATCTCTCTCCCTTTCTCTCTGTTAAAAATCCATAAAACTATTTAAAAAGTAAAAATAAAAATAAAATAAAATTGTTGGCTTAGCAGATTAGACTTTCATTTTCAATTCCAGCCAGAGAATGCATATAATTTGCTCTATTATAAACACTTTTATTTATGGGGCCTTATAGAAATGAAGGTTTCAATTATGATGATGTTATCATAGTATTTTATAATTGTTGGTTAATAAAGCAAATTTGTTATTGAATGCTTAAATCTACATAATATTTTGTTTTATAAAGTAGACTTTTGTAATCAAATACCTAAATGTAGCCTCCAAATTCTCTAAATGGAATTATTAATGTGCTGTTCATTCCGATTCTGTTTGAGTAATGAAAACCTGCTGTTTTATGAAGCAACCCATTTCACTGTCAGCTAGCTCTAATGAATACAAATTCTCTTTTTACATTGACCCAGTATCTGCCTTGTTATAATTTACACCCATTTTCTCTGGCATTGCTTTGTAAGTACTGACTGTGCTTCCTATGACAGCTCTACAAATATTTAAACATCATAATCATTTATCCTTTTTAGTATTAGTTTCTCTGGATAAAAATTCTAGCATAGTTTTGCATGTGAATGATTTCTTGACCCTTCATTACCTTGGTTTTATTGTTTTTTCATTGACTTTTCTCTGGTTTTGTTTATAACTTCATTAATTTCTGCTCTTAACTATTTCCTTTATTCTGCTTGCTTTGGATTTTTCTCTTTTTCTAGTTTCTTAAGGTAGCATCTTAGGTTATTTGAGACCTTTTATCTTTTCCAATATAAGCATTTAATGCTATTAATTTCCTTCTAAGCATTTTTTCACCTAAATCCCACAAATTTTGATAATGTCCTATTTCCATATTTGACTGTTGGATTTTTTTTTTTACTAATGGTTTATTTTTTAATTAAACTTTTTATTACATTTATTGGGGTGACATTGGTTAATAGGATCATATGACTTGCAGGTGAACATTTCTATAATGCATGATCTGTATACTGCATTGTATCCACTACCAAAGTCAAATCATCTTCCATCACCTGATATTTGGCTCTCTTTACTCTCCTCCTTACACCATTCCCTTCCCTCTGGTAACCACCATCCTGTTGTCTGTGTCTGTAGGTTTCACTTTTATATCCCACATATGAGTGAAATCATATGGTTCTTAGCTTTTTCTGATTGACTTATTTCACTTAGCACAATATTCTCAAAGTCTATCCATAGCGTCTCAAATGGCAGTATTTCATATTTTCCTATGGCTAAGTAGTATTTCAGTGTGTGTGTGTGTGTGTGTGTGTGTGTGTGTGTGTGTGTGTGTGACATATTCTTTAAGCCTGAATTATTTAGAAGAATTTTCATTTACAAGTGTTTGGAGATTTTCCTGATATTTTGTTGTTGATTTCTAGTCTGATTCTTATTGTGGTCAGATAACTTTGTATGACTTCAATTCTTTTAAATTTGTTATGATTTTTAACTATATGCCTTTGAAAAAGATATGTATTCTGATGTCCTTGGGTGTAATTTTCTGTTATCATGAGTGAAATCCAGTTAGTAGACAGTTCAATTCTTATAAAATCTTGTTGATTTTTCTGTTTAAGTAGTTCTGCTATGAGAGGAGAATTGAAGTTTCCAGCTACAATTGTTTCATCTTTTTTCTCTTTTTTGTTCTACCATTGGAAATGAAGAAACCTGATATGATTTTTAATCTTCTTAAATTTACTGAGACTTATTTTGACATCTAACATGTGGTCTGTCCTGGAATAGCATATTGTTTTACAGCAAACTTTGTTAAGTAGAAAGAGAATACTCTAAATAATGATAAAAAGTATAATGTGGTGAATATATAAACCAGTAACATAGTTGTTTATTATCAAGTATGTACTGTACATAAATGATACTTTTATGTTACTGGCAGCCCAATAGGTTTGTTTATACCAGTGTCACCACAAGCACAAGTAATGCATGAGCTATGACCTAGGCTGTGGATTCAGTTCTCCATTGGGAGGCAACCAGTCAATGTTTCTCTCTTCTCTCTCCCTCTTCCTGTCCTTCTCTCTCTCTAAAGTCAATAAACATATTCTTGAATGAAGGTAAAAAACAAATTTTAGATGTACTTTATATTTAGAAATATAAAGACAGATTTAAAAAGGAGTTTATATTTTGAGAGATGAATCTCAGGCTTAGCTTAGAAATTACACTTTGTATATAGGTGAACCTGATAAATAGTTGTGATATATATTCATGATTTACCTTAAACTCTTATAAAAATACAGATTATATCTGAAGATATTGGTGAATTACAGAAGAATCAAACTACAACTATGGCCAAAATTGCACAATATAAGAGGAAACTCATGGATCTTTCCCATAGAACCTTACAGGTGAGCATTCTGGATATTTTTTTCAACATTTATAAGGTTACATAAGTAATAGAAGTGCCAAACATGGGTTTTTTGCAGTAGATAAAAGGTAATAGTCTGAAACTAAAAGTAGCAAACTTTCTCAGTAAAACCTGTAAGTTGGAGGAGTGGCATCTCAAGATTGGGTGAAGAAAATTAAAAATAGTCTAAAATGCACATCTCATTGAGAGGGTCAGGGGGACCAGTAAAGAAAGAAATCATCTTGCCCTGCTCAGTGTGGTGTGGCTTGGTTGGTTGGAGCATTGTCCCATATACACCAAGATCCCTGGCCTGGATGCCTGTGGGAGGCAAATAAATTACAGGATAAATTACAGAATGTGGAAAGATGAATATGTATATATGATAAATACTATTAATAAATACTATTAATGGAAGCAGGAAAATATCCTTTTCACTATGATGAAAAAACTATAAAATACTTAGGAATAAATTCATGAGGAAAATATAAAATCTGAATTAATGTTTACAAATAGAAAGTATGACAGTGGGATTTCAATTTAATAGGTATATTTAACTTAAATAATGGAGTAACTGGCTATCCATCTGGAAAAAATTAAAATTAGACCACTGTATCAGACCATACACAAAAATAAGGTAGATTAAAGACTTAACTCTAAGAAATTTATGAAGCTAGGGATTAGAGAGACTTTTGGCCAGAAAGCCAGAAACTGTAAAACAAAATTGGCTACATAAGAATTGGAAAATTTTGTATAGCAAAAGATACCAGAAAGAAGCTATTTGTCAATAATGTAGTGATAGATTTCAGGGGGAAAAAACACAAATTTGAATTTGAAAATATAGATTTTAGCTATAGTATAAATATCCATATTATACAAAGAGATCATATAAAAGACAAGAAAAAAAAACAATTGAAATATAGACAAATTATGTGAAAAAACAGTTCATAAAGTGGAAATTTTTAAAGAAAAGATGTGTTCCCTTTATACTCATCAGGTGGGAAAAATTCAAATCATCACAACCAATAGCTTACAGGAATGTGAGGGGGAGTATACATAATCACATGTGCCTTGTGAATTTAAATTTGTAGGATCTTTTGGGAAAGCAGTGTAGTGGCTTCTGTTAGACTGAAAACATATACTTTTATTTTTAAATATATTTTTATTGATTTCAGAGAGGAAAGGGGTGAGAGAGAGAAACATCAGTGATGAGGGAGAATCATTGATCAGCTGCCTCCTGCACACCCCCCTCTGGGGATCGAGCCTGCAACCCAGGCATGTATCCTTGACTGGAATTGAACCTAGGACCCCCTGATCTGCAGGCTGATGCTCTATCCACTGTGCCAAACCAGCCAGTGCTGAAAACATACTTTAAAATCCTACACATTCTTGGGGTCTAGATCAGTAAATCAAGATATATGTATATATATATGTGTGTGTGTGTGTGTGTATGTACACATTCTTGGGGTCTAGATCAGTAAATCAAGATATATGTATATATATGTGTGTGTGTGTGTGCATGCATGCATGTGTGTATATATACCCACATGTATACATATATATACACACATATACACACGTGTGTGTATGTGTGTGTGTATATATATATATATACACAAAAAAATATATATGCTCCTCAATAGGGAAATTGAATAAATTATTGGTTAATTCATGAAAAATTATGGCCGTTGAAAATAATGTACTAATGTAACTCAACTAATATAAATGGACAAACATGATTCAAATCTTGAACTAATATTTACACTATATTGTTAGTATATTATTTGGCTGATTTCTTCCAACAACTGATTGTAATAAAATTACTTGCATAACGGAAGAGAGATGATCCTTATTTTCTTTGTATAGGTCCTAATCAAACAGGAAATTCAGAGGAAGAGTGGATATGCCATCCAAGCTGATGAAGAGCAGTTGCGAGTTCAGCTAGACACAATTCAGTGTGAACTAAATGCACCTACTCAGTTTAAGGTAAGCACTTATACAACTACTAGAAGCCTGGTGCGCGAAATTTTCGTGCCAGTGGGGAGGTGGGGCATTCCTCAGCCCAGCCTGCACCCTCTCCCAATCCGGGACCCCTCTAGGGATGTCTGACTGCCGGTTAACTGGCAGTTGAACATCCCTCTCACAAGCGGGGACTGCTGGCTCCCAACCACTTGCCTGCCTGATCACCCTAACAACTCACCTGCCTGCCTGCCTGCCTGATCACCTCTAACCACCTTTGCCTCAGCGTGCCCTCCCCCTCCCCCCAACAAGTTTTGTCGGGAAGGATATTCTGAATGACATCCAGAAGGTCATTTGGCTGTCCGGTCCAATTAGCATATTATACTTTTATTATTATAGATAAAGGTATAATTTGTTTCAGGAGGATCTACAGAAAAATACTACTGTTCTCAAAAATAGGACTTTTGTATACTTGGGGTTTTTTTTTTAAAGTATTTGTTCTCTTTAATCAAAACTTCCTTTCTAAAGTAGACTCATAATCATGGTGTTTTTGTCTTGTATTAACATTTCATATAGTCTACAGAGGGAAAATAAGACATCTTTAATATAGTATCCATCCTTTTAAAAGGAAACATTCTCTTTTAAAAGTGGCTGCTGTTGTTAGCAGTTATAATTTGACTTAGTCTTATTTTTAGGGCCGACTAAATGAACTAATGTCCCAAATCAGGATGCAGAATCATTTTGGAGCAGTCAAATCTGAGGAAAGGTATTACATAGATGCAGATCTGTTACGAGAAATCAAGCAGGTAAGTGTTACACTAGTGTGCACTTTCTTTTTTAATCCCCACCTAAGGATATACTTACTGGTTTTAGAGAGAGGGTAGGGGAGAACATTGATTGGTTGTGGTTGCCTTCCGTATGTGCCTGACAGGATTAAACCTGCAAGCTAGGTGTGTGCCCTGACTGCGAATCAGATCTGAGACCTTCCTGTGCAGTTCATAGGACAATGCTCCAGACAACTGAGCCACTCAGACCAGGGCTTGTGTGTACTTTTAAAAAGGTGATTGATCACCACTTCACATCCATTGGGGTGGCTATTATTAAAAAACAAAAACAATACAGAAAATAGTGTTGATGAGGATGTGAAGAAAATGGAAGACTTGTGTATTGTTGGTGTCAGTGTAAAATGATATAACCACTGTAAAAAATAGTTCCTTAAAAAAATCAAACGTAGAATTACCGTATGACCCAGCAATTCTACTTCTGGGTATATACCTAAAAGAATTGAAACCAGAAACTCAAATATATGTATACTCATGTTCATAGTAGCATTAGTCATTGTACCCAAAATATGGAAGCAGACCAAGTGTCCATAGATGGATGAATGAACAAAATGTGGTATATACATTCAGTGGAATATTCAGCCTTTAAAAAAGGACATTCTAACACACTACAACATGGACGAACCTGGAAGATACTATGCCAAGTGAAATAACTAGTTTAGAAGGACAAACATTTTATGATTCTACTTCAATGAAGTACCTAGAGTGCTCCATCCATTAGAGTAGAAGGGTGGTTGCCAGGGGCTCAGGGAGGGGAAGTGGGGAGTTAGTGTTTAATAGGTACACAACTTCAGAAAAAGTTCTAGAGGCAGATGGTAATGATTGCTTCATAAGGTGAATGCCACTGAATTGTGTACTTAAAAATGGTTAAAATGGGCATGTTTTTGTTATGTATACTTTACCATAATGTAAGTAAATCATTCATTTGCCCAACCCCCCAAAAAATGAACAAGAGGTAATAGAGGCACCAAAGTTCCCTACTTTGTATAGTTGGTTTTAGTTCTGCTATTCAATGTGTTGGCAGCAGCAGCACCTGGGAGGTTATTAAAAATACAATATCTGTCCTTAAACTAGATCTACTTAATACATTAAATGTATTTGAATGTACATTCAAGTTTAGAAATAATTGCTCTATATCACATCTTCCCAATCTGTATGTGGAGTTATCGATCCCCTCAGCCCCCTGGGGTCCTCGGTGAAGGTTGGGGTGGCCAAGACCTCCGTTTATCTAAGGCTCATGTATGAACAAGTTGAAAAGTACTGTTCTAGCTTATTTTCAGTATAAATACAGATTGGTTTTTCTGAAAAACTGTCCAACCACTGACTGTCTAAAGAAAATGTATTCATGTGGTAAACTTTGTGAAGCATTATGTAAGACTGTTAACATGGCCCAGAGGATTTTAGATGTTTTTAAATATCAACAATTCTGATTTTATTATGTGCTTTAAAATGGATATTTCCATTGTATGCAGTTAAAAACTAGTTTGGGTTCTAAGTTCCTGGATAGTGTGCATACATTTCAGCTATATTCCATTGTAAATATTTGCAATAAAATTAACTGAAAGATTCCAGCATATCAGAATAAAGAACTATATTTAAGAATTTATGTATGCAATAAAATGGGAGTAATACAAACACCTACCTAAAATGATGAAAAGTAGTATTGTTTTGGGATTGAATCATGGCTCATCACCTACTTTATGACCTTGAGCAGGTTACTTACCTGCACCTCATTTTCTTTATTTGTAGAGAAGAGAAAGAATTGTACTCGGAAAGTTGCTCAAAAAGATTTTAAATGAGTTAATACTTATGAAACTCTTCAAATTGCCTTAACCCCATTGGAAAGAATCTTAAAAATGTTAGCAATTGTAGTTAGCACCATTATCATCACTATATACTTTGTACTCAAAAAATGTGTGAAAATTCTCAATTTCCATGTTTGCTTTGTTAGGCATCTATATTTGAGTACCTTCTTGCACTGTTTTAATATCATATGCTTTATCAGAGGTAGATTAAAGGTATCTAAAACAAATCTGGAATATTTCTGTTGGAGATATTGCTCATCACATGTTTGACTTTATTGTAGGTCATATAAAAATATTAGCAAAAGATAAGTATGCATGCCCACTATATTTAGAGCATCTACAGAGTTCTGTATTGCTAGTAAAGTAGTCCTTTTTCCTTTGAATAATTTGCAGTTTAATAAAGTAGTGCATTAATGTTTTCTTTAATTCCTTCTAGCATTTGAAACAACAACAAGAAGGCCTTAGCCACTTGATTAGCATAATAAAAGATGATCTAGAAGATATAAAGTTAGTAGAACATGGATTGAATGAAACCATCCACATCAGAGGTGGTGTATTTAGTTGACAGATCACAAACTTGTGTTGAAGGTTCGTGAACTCTATCTTCTTGCTACATCAGGCCTTCCCTAAGAATGAAACTGACCACATGGAGGAAAAGGAAAGAAAATCCTCTGCTTGCTTGGTTTTTGAGAAGGTTACTGACAAATTATTGTTCTTCAGATTTGAAATTAGTCACTTCACAGCTCCTTCAAAGACAGCCTTTGGAAGATATCTAAAAGCTATTATTTAAGAAGTACATAAGTACCAAAAACATACTATTGTACATTTTTACAACAGCGTTTTTCTTAATCAGTGTTTAATGACTATTCTCCATTGAGCCTGTACTCTGCTTTCCATAGCAAGTAAATATGCAATATCTACTTTGCACATAAAATGTATGACTACTTGGCTGTTGGAGATTTGTACTTTAGAATATAAATGTACATCAGTTTTTATATTTGTGAATTCATCTGTGGGAGGAGTAAAGAAAATCCGAGAGTATTTGTTGATTAATGTGATTTTCATTTCATTCTATAAAGATTTGAAAGTATATTTTTATATTTTTTTGCTTATTTGAAATTTACAGAACACGTACGCAATTAGGATATAACAAAATTACATTTTATCATTTTTGCAACTTTTTGTTTTTTTAAAACATTATTTCTAAAAATGATGAAAACAAATAAATCTTGATTGTAATTACTTTTCTACAATTCTGTTTGGTGCTTTATTTAGCTCTGGAAGAATGACCATTCATGTCTATCACAATTCAAAAATTTTAGTCTTGCTTGTTTTAAAGTCTGATTTTTCCCTCCTAAGAAAAATATATCACTCCTGCTTATTTGACATGGCAAAAAAAACCCACAATTTCAGATATCATTTAGAATACAGAATTACCTAGCATATTATTAGTATCTAAAAACCCTAGAAAGTCTGAACATCATGTGAAACTGAATCTTTCATAACCAGGTAACTTTAAACAATTTTTCTTACTACAAATTGCATACCTGGGCTGCATGCAATTGGAAATTGCTTTAACTTTTATTTCTGTGTGATGCATTGGTATGACTCTTGCCATTGTGTTTATTATGAGGATAATGTGGAATGTATACTAAGAGGCCATCCTCTGAAGTCCCACTATAGGAATTTTGGTCCAGCTATAGATTAGGTAACAATTATGTAGGAGACTGAGAACTTTAAAACTGGTTGTTTTATTTCCAAGTTAGTAGTCGTCTGCAGCCACTTTTGCCAACATTATGAGATGGCAAACTTGTTACATCCTATATACCACCCTCTTTCATCATACTTTCCTGCTCATTGTTACAATCCAATGTTAGGAAATTCTTTTCTCCTTGGATCAGAAGATAGCCACTTCTGTCCTCATCCACGGAGCCAGCTGTGGGAGGTATCTGTCCCTCTGCACACCCTTTTACCGTAGGAAGGGTTGTTCATCTGATGAGAATTGTCCCTTACATGAACAAATTACTACTCACACACACCATACTGACTTCTCTAGTCTCATTTTTCGTGTTCTGTTAGGTTCCTAATTTTGCAAGATCAATACCCCTAGATAGGGCCCAGAGCCTACCTTTTAAAGACAGACACACACACATAAACAAGGACAGGTGACTTAACTGGGGACTTACTCATGTGTAAGGCTGACCTGTGGTCCTTGTTCATGTAGCTGGTTAGTTATGACTTGATCTGTACATAATCAAGTTCTAGATTTAGGTGAATAGGAGAAGATAAAGCACACTTGGGCCTCTGCTTGAAGTTGTGTTTTCCAGCGCAGTTTACAGAAGTTCTGTGTTTAGTCTGCAACTGGCTAATGGTTCTTGCAGATAGACTAAAAAGTCTGAACAGGAAGAGTTACATGGTGGAATTAAAGCACATTGAACCCCTAACAGTTTAAATTTTTTTAAAATTTATTTTATTTATTTATTTTTACAGAGAGGAAGAGAGGGATAGAGAGTTAGAAACATTGATGAGAATCATCAATCAGCTGAATCTTGCACACCCCCTACTGGGGATGTGCCCGCAACCAAGGTACATGCCCTTGACCGGAATTGAACCCAGGACCTTTCAGTTCGCAGGCCGACGCTCTACCCACTGAGCCAAACCTGTTTCAGCAACAGTTTAAATTATATGTAGGGTTTTTTGTTTGTTTTTATTTTTCAAATCCTTTTTGAAATATTGGCAACATGTGAACAACTGTCAGTTACCAAAGCCCCTGGCCTAAATCAGTCTCTAGTGAACCACTACAATACCCAGAGGAAAAAGGGTAGTATGCTCTATCACCTCATTTTCCTTTGCTTATTTAGCATACATATACAGTACTATTTTCCTGAGATTCAAATTAGGCACTATGTATGTGAAATACTTGGAAACTTGTGTTTACAGAAATATAAAGTTTATATTTTGAGGGATGATACTATTTGAAGTCAAAAGTCTTTAAGGATAAGTAGATCATCTTTAAAATGTTTTGCAGCAGCATGATGACCTACATTTTTTGCTACATTTTTAAATACAGTGCATTATGCTAAGTGGAATAAGTCAGAGAAAGGCATACCATATGATTTCACTTGTATGATGGAAACACTCATAAAGGTTACCAGAGGGATTGGAGGGGTGGGTAAAAAGGTGATGGGATTAAGATATACTAATTGGTAGGTGCAGGGATGTAAATTACAGCCAGATGAATACTTGAATATGGAGGGGACCACTTTTTAAAGTACACTATTGTTTAACCACTATGCTGTACACCTGAAATTAATATACAGAATACTAAATGTAAACTATAATTTTTATCCATCCCCCCCCGAAAAAAATTCTTATTTATGGATTAAATTCATGTTAACCACTAACATTGGATATTTTCATATTGGCAAGTCTGAAATTATATATAATAATCTTAAATCTTTTATTGAATTCAACCAGAAATAACATTTTTACAATAAGATTAATACACAAATAAGTGAAAATGATTCTACAACATAACTGGACAAACTTTGTAAATTTGAAAAGTGAATAACATATGCAATTCTCATTTTATCAACTGACTTTGGCCAACAAGTGAAAAATATAACATTCATTTTGATCATTTCCTGTGGGATCCCTGTAGTATACTTCAAATAATAAAGAATATAGCTGATTACAGACTAACAAAGAGATATATAGAAGAAGCGCTGATTAAAATGATGATTGCCCCAAATGGTGGAAGGAGCATTTTGCCAGAGGATGCAGAGTGATGGGTTTTGGGACGTGGAGCTGGAGCTGGCACTGGCACTGGCGCTGGTGCTGGAGCTGGAGCTGGAGCTGTTAACAAGAACACATGGTCATTGACACTTGTCATCAAGTTCATCCACCTATTCCATATGTCCTGAATATGTAAACAATTCAAGTTGAGTTAGAAACTAACTTGAAATACTTCCAACCAGGAACAATTTTCAAATAAATATCACTCATTACAGATTTCAGGCTATATTTTCATATATAGGGAGGGGCAAAAGTAGGTTTACAGTTGTATATATGGAATAATACCATAATTAATAGGTATATAGACAAGATAATTTTTATTCAAATTCTCTAGAATTAGCTATTTTCCATTTTCATTTTTTGTATACATAGGCAGGGGTAGGTTAATTTTGTTTCTTTTCTATTTCAAGTAAAGTATATTTTATATGCATATACTCACAGCTACCAATATACAACTGAATATCGCTGCATTTTTAAATACTAAGCCCTGCAAGCTCATTAAAAAAAATTTCCCCTCGTACAAACAGCTTTCTGCTTTGGAGAAAACTGCTTCCCGATCATCTAAACTAGAGGAGAGAAACAGTGGAGTCCACCCATCTCAGGATCTGTTTGATACTACCCTTAACTCACATCCCTGACTTCTGGCTGTGTTCTGGCTTAGACTGTACAAGGGAGGATTGACTAGAAGCATCCAAATGGAATCACCACTCAGGATTTATAAGTGAGGCCAAGAAACAGTAAATTTTATAAAAGCTTTCAACTCATTTTGTCAATTTACTTGCCATAATTACAGACATGCAGTTACATGTACACAGATGGGGAAGTGGGCTGGCAGATGAATTCTTGCATTACTTTGTTACTATAGAGCAGTGCTTCTCAAGGGGCAGTACTGCCCTCTAAGAGACAGTCGGAAATTTGTCCGGGTATATATTTTTTTAATGTTTTAATTTATTTCAGAGAGGAAGAGAGAGAGGGATAAAAATGATGAATTATTGATTTGCCTCCTGCATGCCCCCTACTGGGGTCCAAACCTGAAACCCAGGCATATGCCCTGACTGGAATCGAACCATGACCTCCGGTTCATGGGTAGACTCTCTGTCAGGGTATTTATTGTCACAAGGATAGGGTAGAAGGGCTAGTTTTGCACCAAGAAAAATCGACCTACACAAATTTCAAATGCACTGCTAGACATATACATTAGTTAAAAACCTATATATAATTAAAAACCTAATCGTTAAAAAAACAGAACTTAAAGTCAGTTTTATATATAAAATAATTTTAGTTTTCATAAACAGTTCTATCCGGGACCCACTGTATTCACTGTCATTTTTTTATAGTCACATAGAGTAGTTTCAGTCTTCTCTTAAATCCAAATTTATTTGCATAAGGGAATATAATCATCTGCATTATGTCTTCTAATCTAGGCATTTACATATAAAAATGCATATATTCAATAATTTGTTATAAATTATAGTTAGGATATAATTTTTTTAATGGGAAAAGGTAGGTCTTATCTATGAATCTTATTTCAGGATAGTATAAGGGCTTTATAAAATATTTTTCAGAAAATGGGAGAATTGGGTTGACAGGATTGAGAACAACTGCTCTAAACAGTAGACTACACAAAGCAAATGACTGCTCAAGAAACTTCAAGGTGGTCCGCCATGTACACAAACATTTGGACATGACATCATATTGTTTTAATGCCTTAAATTCTTGAAACTGTCCTTTCCAGAAAAAAAAATTTTTTTCTCACTTTTTCTGTATTGCAGATTAAACATTTATCAGCTAAGGAAATGAGATATTTCTTACTAGGTTTATTGATGTCTTCTTGACTTTTATATTCTAAAATACAAACATTTGAGTTAATTGCATTGTAAACCTATTTATCCAGAGAGAAAAAGCTAATTAAATGATTAAGCAAACTTGCTTATTCCTGGGAATGGGCCTCAGGAACGGGGTATTAGTTTTAGAGGTATGTGTGAGCCTGGGGGAAGGGCTTAATTGTTACTTACACTCTGGATTTTTTAATTATTTTTAACCAAGGAAGTGTTGCCATTAAAAGAATATTTAAAATTTTAATTTAAAAAAGTGCTTTTTTAATATACTGGATTTAGATTCCCAAATTCAAAATTAATACTATATGTAATTCATTGTACAAATGCTTTAGTATATTGCCACCTTTATTTCTTACAGTCCTAGAAGGTAGGTATAGTTTTCCATGTTATACAGATGTTCCTCAAAACAAAATCAGAGGTAATCAGTGGTAGTAATTTCAAAGCCTCTGATTTCAAAGCCTCCGCTCCTCTTTACTGTGCTATACTACTTCTAAATGTGTGCCTAGCACTTAAGTATTAACACTGCCATATTTTGAAAACTTTGAAGCCAAATGCCAATTCTAAAAGCCCAGGATAGAGTATTTTTTATAACAAATCTGGGTGAAAGACAAGTGTTGTGTGACAGAAAGTGAACAAAACTTGAAAAGTTTGAGTCCTGGTTGTCTCTACCCTTTAACAGGTTCCTTAACCTTCCAATATTTCGTGTCCTCATCTCTGAAATGGCAAAAACAGTATTTATCTTAGATTAAATGAGATTCAGTGTAAATGTTTTCACAAAAAAAGCATGCACTACACACAGCTTTCCAGGAGAGGGCACAATACAAAACAGTCCCTGCAAACCTATTCGTTGTAGACTCATGTCAGAAGCTGTTCAGCTCAGGTGTTCTCCCCAGACTCCTTGAGATTAACCTAACTCCGTGGTCCGAAAACTGCGGCTCTCAAACCACATGTGGCTCTTTGCCCCCTTGAGTGTGGCTCTTCCACAAAATACCAGGGCCTGGGCGAGTCTATTTTGAAGAAGTGGCGTTAGAAGAAGTTTAAAAAATTTGCCTCTCAAATTTCAATTGTTGTACTGTTGATATTTGGCTCTGTTGACTAATGACTTTGCCGACCACTGACCTAACTAAATGCTTACAGTAAAGGAATCAGAACCCCTTTGCTTCACTCCCAATAAAATATTTACTATTAGGTTTTTATCTGGTTTTACCACTTTTATTCCTAAATGAGAAAAGAGTTTCAGATAATAATACAGACAGCTACCATTTACTACTATTTAAAACTATTCATTTGCCAGTACTTTGTCTCATTAGGACTTTAGTCAATCCTGCGAGACAGAAGTTTTCTTCATTGTACGGATTGTGGCAGGAGAGGTGCAAAAAAGTGAACTTAATACAATTAAGTTACCTAGAAGAAACTTCCGGTCCAGATGGCAGCATAGGTAATAAACACAGTGTTTGAATCCTCCCACAACCACATCAAAAATTACGAGGAAACTACAGAACAACCATTATTCAGAACCACCTGAAATCTGGCTGAATGGAAGTCCTACAACTAGGAAATTAAAGAAGAAGCCACTTTGAAACTGATCGGAGGAGTGGAGATGTGGAGAAGGCTGGTCCCACAACCACATGTGGCAGATAAAAATTGGGAGGGTTATCTCTGGGCCTCTGTTTGTACTTCAGGTAATTAAGTATGAATATGCTGGTTCTGTACATTGCATGAAGTTTCCACGGCAACATTAGGCAAGGCAGAGCATTGTGTAGATGGATACAATTCAGTGAATGCCAAAAATCTATTTTTTAAAAAATTCCTTAATGGATAGGGACTTACACCCTGAGATTTTGTGTTTTTACAGTCCTTTCAGCTATCCCCATAAGATAAACATGACAAGTGTTAGCCAGGTTTGACAATTCTGAGGCACAGAGAAGTGTTATTACTGTCCACAGCTCTCTGGTTAAATGTTATGCCCATTTATGTTATTTACTTCTTGTCTCAGGAAAAATTAAGTTTGAGAGCCTTTTTTATTTTTGCCTTCCCTGTAAGCCTACACTCTGAAGCCCTTCTCAGAAACCTGACAGGAGTCACTATTCATTTTCTCTGGCCACAGAAACTCAAGGCCCCTTAATGGTTTTGCCCTTAGTTACAGCCTCATATATTTTAAATACGCATGAAATGGTTATGTCTTAATGGTAGGTTAAATCTTCCATGGTAAATATACTGGAAAAACATACTTAAAAAACGGCAAATCTGAGGGAATGTGTATTTGGTCATAAGAGACTTGGGGCCTTCACTCACTTATGTGATCCTGTGTAAAGTGCTTTGGTTTCCCTGCATGCCTAATGTTGACAGTTATGTCATCCCCCCACAGCCAAATTGGCACATTCCTCTCTGGCGATCCTACCATTGCTTACCAGGTAATGGAAAAGGTTCTGAAATTTCCACTGTTAAATGAAAAAGAAACTTGCAGTTTGCTCCAGTGAGTACAATTTCCACACTTTTGTTCAATGAGATACAAGTGTCAAAGATCTCACTGCACTGAGTTCCTGGCTTTTTATTTTTTTAAAGTTCTGCCTACATAAACCCTCACTGTGCAAAGCCACACTGAGCTTAGAGGCGCCTTCTGCCATGGCACCTCACTGAGTCTATCTCTATGAAAAAAGAGTACTGTGTTACCTGGCGATCCTAGATGCTGAAATGTTAGCCAAAAGCTACCAATCAGCTTTTGGGTGAAGTTGAAGTTTCTATTGAGTAACGTTAGCTGTAGAACCTAGAAGGTGCTAGGCTGCATGCATCAAGGTGCCTGCTGCCTTGCCCTTCAGCACTCCTCTCCCCCCCCCCCCCCCAAAGGAGCTAAGATTCCTGCTCCAGGAACAGGGATAAAGGTACTTTCTGACTGACAGATAGCTGTAAAAGAAATATTAATGAATAACAATAGCCTCATGACAATAGTCTCTATAATGCCAAGGCGAATTCTTTTCAGCTCATACTTGGGCCCAGAGAGCGAAATCTGTCTTACCAGGCATTTGGATGGGTTCATGGCTCTTCATACCTAAAAACAGAAATGAGTATTGGTTACTGTTAATCAATTATCTTGCATTGTCCATGCTTCCTTTTTTTCTATACATCCGCCATCTCCAGCCCTTTAAAAAAGGGAAAATAGTAACAACAAAAACACCTTTCAATGGCTCTTCATTCTCTAACTGGACAAAGCCCAAACTCCTTAACTTGAACTACAAGAACTTCATGATCTGACCCATAGGACTCCAACCTATCTTCATCAGGCAGTCCTAGTACAAAAGCTTTAAAATGAAACAGTACTAGGTGTAAGACTCTTCTTGGTTTGTTTCTATTGTCATTATAGTTATTAGCTCTGATTGCTCAGCCTTCTTCATCCCTCTGACCTTATTTATGTGAAGAAAATCCTTACCTAGCAGGTTTGTATAAGTGATGATTAAAGGAGACATATTATGGAAGTGCTTAATACACTGCATGAAACATAATAAGCACTCAATAAATGGAGTCCCTCTATTCTGGCTTAACTCGTTTCTCAGACTCTCCGAGTCCCAGGAGTCCTTGTGTCTGCTCCTACCCTTGTACCTAGCCTCAAAAAGTAAGTAAAAAGTTTACCTACCAGGTGAGACAGTGGACTCCCGGCTTTTCATTCCTAAAGAGCATAGAACTATTTAGTGGAAATGCACTTAGCTTGAAAGTTAATTAAACTTATATTTACATGGCTATTTGTATAGTGGAAAGCTCTAAAAGATTTGCAAGATGGCAGGGGACAGAGTAAAGGAGAGAAGATTTAACCCACTGGAGTCTGACTGACTTCTGGTCAGAATAATGGCTAGTAAAACCAGGATCTCTCCCAGATTAAGCTCCTATTGTTGTTGTTCTTGTTTTAGATTCAGGCCTAAGACTTCCAACCTACATTTTTCATGATGTATTTTTAAAAAATAAAATGTATTGATTATATAAGTCATACATTATAATTACAGATCATTTAGAAAATATTAAAAATTACTCTTATCCTAAACCTCAGAGTTACTCATTCTTAACATTTTTTGGCATATTTCCTTTCAATCTCTTTGCTATGCATACATTCCCCATTTCCAGCCCTTTAAAAACATATATTTTTAGCATATTTTCCAGTGTTATTGAGATGTAACTGACACACAGCACTGTATAAGTTTAAGGTAACATTATGATTTAACTTACATATATTGTGCAATCATTACCACAATAAGTTTAACATCTGTCTTACAGAAAAAGATCAGATACAAAAAGAGAAATTTTTTTTCCTTGTGGTAAGAACTTTTAGGATCCACTCCCTTAGGAACTGTCAAATACAGGAATTGTATATTGCATCCCCAGTCCTTATTTATCCTGTAATTGGAAATTTTTACTTTTTCACATTTTTTAATAAAACTGATATTAGACTCTACATGCCACTTTATATCCAACTAGAGGCTGCACAAAAATTCATGCAAGAGTAGGCCGGCCTTCCCCCTGCTGCCGGCACTGGCTTCCCTCCAGCACCCGAGACCTGGGCTGCTTCCCTCCAGCCATTGGCAGGCAGCACCCAGGACCTGGGCTTTGCTCTGGCCCCAGCTTCATCCGGAAGGATGTCCGGAGTGATGCCCAGAAGAACATCCGTCTAATTAGCATATTACCCTTTTATTATTATAGATTTTTATTTGCCATTGTATATAAGCACTATTTCATATTCTTAAAATATTTTTAAGCTTAGTGTTTCATAATATGGGTGTAATTGTATTTAATATTACCCATCTATTGGACACTAAGGTTATTTATAAATTTTGACTACCATAACACTATGTAAATATTTTTGTTCACATTTTATACACAAATCTTATGATGATTTCCTTGGGACAAATATCTAAAAGTATTATAACTAGATTAAAAAGTATGAACATTTTTAAAGCTAGTAATACATACTATCAAACTGTCTTCCAAAAAAGTTCTAATTTATAATCTCACCAGTAATTTATGAAAATATCCCTATCTCAGCATTCTTGAGGAGATTTGAATACAATCACTTAAATAATGCCATTTTTAATGCCCCTGCCCAACATCCTAGGTCCTAAGAGTTTGTGGAATACTAGTCACAACTTCCTCAATCCATGTAACTGCTAGCACAGAGCAGAAAATAATGTTTTCAACTACTTCTTCAACTTCTTTACTGGGATGATCTATTAGATAAAAGACATAAAAAGAGCTGCTGTGTCATCTTTATAAAGAAGTCTATCCGAAAAACTCGGGAAGTTCTCTGATACACCAAACTAGTAAGCTAAACTAGTTCTCTTCCTACTGTCCCTTACCATGCCATGCTCATTATCTCCCATGTAAAACCCAGAGTTTATGAAAATATCTTACCAGGGTCTTCAAGCTCCTGTTTCTGATCACCTAAGTTACAAAAAGACTTTTCATTTTAATGACAGAATAAAATCATTGGAATTTACTGTAGTTATAACAAAACTATTTTCGGGTATTATGGCCATAAAGAACCATTTGGTAAATCCAGTAAATTAATGCTATTAAATTTAAGTGTTAATCAGAATCTAAATGCACCTTGGCTAATTGGACTGGAACCTTCCTCTGGCACCTCAAGAAAAACCATCACAACTGGACGGTGCAGCTCAGTGGTTGAGCACAGACCCATGAACCAGGTCAGGGTTCAATTCCTGGTCAGGGCACATGCCCAGGTTGTGAGCTCAATCCCCACTAAGGAGCGTGCAGGAGGCAGCTGATTGATGATTCTCTCTCACTGATGTTTCTATTTCTCTCTCTCTGCCTCCCTCTCTTTGGAATCAATAAAAATATATTTTTTAAAAAAAGGAAAATCCAGGGGGATCTCAATGAGCTAGACAAATGTCTGTCTGGAAGAGTTAGCTAAGGTCTCTGTGAAGTGATCATAAAATTTGGCTGCAATATGGGCTAATAAGAAGTGTTGCCAAGCAAGTCCTCAGAAATATGATATGCTTCACATCAGTACAGGAAATTATTTTCCAAAACATCAAGTAAATTGCATACCTAAGGGAAGGCCAGATACCTTTTTCTCTTCAATAAAGAAAATCTTATGGTAACTATATGGGCCAAACACATAATAAGAAACTTAAATGCACAGAAATGATTTGGGCTACTAAACTCAGGGGAGAAAAATATCTAATCACCTAGATATTTAGTCAAATTATACCAAACATTAGCATATTTGAAAGGTGCAAATGACTGACTTTCCTACTTTCAGCTAAATGGTATCAGATTAATCTCAATGACTGAATACAGACATTCAGATCTCTCAAGACTGACTTCAGGTCTCACCAACTTTATCCCCTAGAATGTTTCCATATTGTTCAGTTCTCCAGATTGCCAACCCTCTCATTTATAGAGAGGCAAATTTCCCCAGAATAGAGTCTGTCTCCTCCCTCTCCCCCACTTATATCTAACAAGTTATTCCTTCATATCTGCAAAATACTCTTTTTCTTCAGCTAAGAATTGAATTTGTTAAATAAGAAAGAGCTACTAAATATCCATATAAGGATTATTTTTAAACATGAGAGCATACTTACCAGGGCTGGCAACATTGATAGGTAGAGAATATTCTGAAATACAAACATGTTTTCATTATATAGTACTATGCTCAGACATTAATGTCAGATTTATTAATGATAAAAATCTGAGTTGGCTTACATTTTAAGATACATACAAAATATGGGTGAGATGAGAAATATAAAAATTTTAGTCTCAAAAACAAATGGATGAGGATTGATTTTAATTACATGAAAAAGAATTAATAGAAAAACTAGCTAGAAAGACAGCTAAAAATGTACCCGGATTTTCAAACTTTTTAATAAAGAAATTTTTTAAAAATTCTACTTAATGCATGCATCAATCCAGGATATTTTCTGCAACTGATTCAAATCTGTTGGGCCTATCGGATAATGCTATTCTTTAACACTCTTAGAATTCCTGTTTACCTTCCCAAAGCTTTCCCATGATCCTCTAAGGACGATTATCTTTTGTTACATCCTCCTATCTTTCCCTGAGGAAGCTGAGACAGACTGTATTACCATTCTGACCCTCCAGGCTCTCACCTTGAGCTATAGCCACTTTATTCCTTCATTAGTATCCCAAAAGTTATTTCCTAAAATATCAAAACATAGGGTTATAAGTCTAGCTCTGTCAAGTAGGGGCATTGAGGAGTCCTTACACTCACACTCCTGTAAGGATAAACTAGGTGAGAGTGGAATGGTACTACATGCCCGAGATAAATGCAGTGTTTGAAAGAACAGCCACAGGCAAGGCTATGGGTGCGGACAGGGAAGGGATGCAACCAGCAGAGTCTCCTGAGCCCTCCACCGCAAAAACGTAGTAGCAGTAGCACAATTTTGCCCTGAGAAATGAATGATGGCTGGCAACGTGACAATGTGGTCAGATGGCTCTGACCTGTACCTATGAGGAAGAACACTGATATAATTCCCATTATAGAGATAATACTTTAAAGCATATCTTACCTGTTTTCTCAACACAATTTGCCATTTTTAGTCCTGAAACATGAAGATAAAGTTTTATTAGTTAGACCCAATTTACCCTGCAGAGCCACTGGTGTATGGCTATTAGTAATTAATCTTTCAGCTCCTAGTCTATCAGACCCATAACTTAGTGGGATGCAAACTGTAGAACAATTACATATTGATATTCAAATTATAGCCATCAAATACAATAGCAGTATGATCTTTGATAAAACATCTAACATTTCTGGAATTCATCTTCTTTATCTGGTTCTTTTTGTGGGAGATTGCTTCAAATGACTTCCAAAGGCCCATTCAAAGCTAACTTAATGATTCCATCCTATGATTAGTCTGAAAAAGTTAGGAGAAAATTTAAGTATTTTTTAAACTAATCCTCTCTTCAGATATTAAATGTCCTCAACAGCAGCCAAAACCGGTTTGGCTCAGTGGTAGAGCGTCAGTCTGTGGACTGAAAGGTCCCGGGTTCGATTCTGGTCAAGGGCATGTACCTTAGTTGCGGGCACATCCCCGGTAGGGAGTGTGCAGGAGGCAGCTGGTCAATGTTTCTCTCTCATCGATGTTTTTAACTCTCTATCTCTCTCCCTTCCTCTCTGTAAAAAAAATAATAATAATAATAATTTAAAAAAAATCAATAAAAAAAAAGAATATTTATAAATGTCCTCATCAACAAACCTATCCTTTTACTGTGACAGTTTCTATCCACTGGAGAAAAAGAACTTCAGTCAGAGCTTCAAGATCTTTGAATATATGAACAAAGATCCTTCACATGCATATGGAGAAACCAATTTGGTCTGCTCCTGAACACTGATCTGTATGTAAGGAGATACACAGTTTTTGGAGAGCAGGAACATGGCATCTAATAGTATACTTTTATACCTTCTTGCCAGTGATGCCTTGCAAAAATCATCAGTGCAGCAGTGATTCCTCTGAGACTTGACATAAAGGGGAATCTGCAGGCCTGCCCAACAGCAGTTAAGGCAAGAAGATCAGTGAGAGGGTGTTTAGATTTGATGCCAGCGTGAGCCATGGAGGGTTTCCCAGAATGTCACAATTAGGTCTAGATGTCCTATGGTCTCTTCCCCATGGCTGGCTACTGGCTAAATCACTGATCTAATCAAATTCAGTTATCTGTGGAGAAACCTCTCAGTCTAAGATGGGGACATTTCCTTGAGTCCTGGTTTCACTATGAGATGTCAAATCCTGCTCCACTTATGGAGGTTGAACCAAGACTCCAGGTGACTTGCTGACCCAGAAATTAGTCAGATTTGTTAGAATCTGATGGTGCCCTGAGGCTAAACTCGGGTGTCTGGCTAGACTAGAAATTTAAAAAACAGTTCGACAATTACAAAATGTTGCCTCAGCAGAAGATGAGTGGGTGCAAGCCTTATGAAGAGGCTTAGTTGAGGGTTAGGTAAAGGTGAGGGAAATTGTGGATGACAAAGCTACAGATATGATAGATTTGGTCTGGGGACTCAAAAGCCTTTGTCTTTTGACTGTAGCACAAATTAGAACATGTTTCTCAAAGGGTAGTCTTCCAATCACATTCTTCAGAATCAGTTGAGTGCTTATTAAAATTGAAAACTGCAGGACTCTACCGAAGACTACTGATATAGAACTTCTGGTGGTGGCACCTTATAATCTGCTTTTTTTTTTTTAAATATATTTTATTGATTTTTTACAGAGAGGAAAGGAGAGAGAGAGCCAGAAACGTCAATGAGAGAGAAACATCGACCAGCTGCCTCTTGCACACCCCCTACTAGGGATGTGCCCGCAACCAACGTACATGCCCCTGACCGGAATCGAACCTGGGAACTTTCAGTCTGCAGACCGATGCTCTATCCACTGAGCCAAACCGGTTTCAGCATAATCTGCATTTTAAACAAGCACTCCAAGTGATTTTTATGCAGGCAAGGAGAACATCTACGTTTATGTACACTCATGTGCCAACACCACTGTCCTAGCTATATGATCATGCCACTGAGACACTCAGGATTGAATTACTAAAGATAAAGCCAATGCAGGCCTCTCTATGGAAATAAATGCACTAAATACAAGTCCTGAACTCAATCTTTATGTTACACACAAATATGCCCATATGAAGTGACTCCTTATAAAAAAAAAAAAGCCTCTGGAGACCAACAAAGCAAATCAAGCATCTGCCTCCATTGTCTATAACCTACCACACAATAAGAGAATCATTATAAAGGACTAGGACTTCAAATGAAAATTTCTACCAGCCTCCCCAGGACTGACAGGTCTGGCTATCTTCAGCTATTAACAAGTTGCCTACAATCTTGCTAACCTCTGCCTTGACTGAGTTCCCAAACACCAACAAATTAGGAGCTGGAGAATGAAAGGAATTGGAGGAAGAATATATTCCTCTCCTTTTGCATGGGTGTGCTTGCTCTGACTGATGTGGGTAGATATTCATAAAATACCAACTTTTACCTCAGTACATGAATATATATTTCATATGACCTCAGTAAACAGACTGATCATATTACTTAAAAAAACACACCAGTATATGAAACTGGTAGCTGATTTTGCTTCCAGTGGTTCTATAGCTACTCTCTTCTGTCTGCAGAAGTCATCACGAGAACTCATCATTATGAAAAGGACAGCTGATTTGAATCATCCCCTAGGGGAGGTGACAGACTATACTGGGTTGGGATTGGCTCCCCAAATCCTGTCTCCTAATATTCACACCCTTATGCAATCTCTCCTCTTGAGATGTCACTTCCATGACTGCAAAAGACTGACTTGCTGGCGCTGTTTCCTGCTTTCTCTTGCTCACTCTGGGGAAGCAAGCTGCGTCACGTTTAAAGATAAAGAATGTAGCCTAATTACACAGCTAACACTCCACCTTTATCAATTTTCTAGAACAGTATAGAACAGTGGCCGCCAACTGGTGGTCCAAGGACCATTGGTGTTCCGTGTGGTCTGAAAGATTGGCGATCGCTGGGATAGAAAGTTAACCTGTAATGATTCTCATTCTCCTATGAGGAAGAATAAAGGTTTTTATTACCACAATTCACTCCTATAATTTTGAATGAATACCAAGTTTAGTATCTTTCACCACCAGGAATTGTATTATCTAGTGGGACTTCAGTATTCTCTCCACTTCCTAACCAACAGAACTATTATTTTTTTTTTTTTTTTAGCTAATTAGTTTCTGTAAGGCCCACAACATATTTTTATCTTGGAAATCATAAGCAAGTTCAGAACAGTAGCACAGGATTGTGTTAGCATAAATTTAGTACAATATAACTTTTTAATCCCTTTTAGAAATATTGTCTTTTTTCATCCAAAATTACAGTTAGTCACAATGGGACAAAGTTCTGATTATATCTTCCTGGCTTATTTCTAAGAAAGCTCTGGTGTCCTAGCTGGTTTGGCTCTGTGGTTAGAGTGTTGGCCTGCGGATTGAAGGGTCTTGGGTTCAATTCCGGTCAAGGGCACAAACCTCTGTTGCACTCTCCATCCCCCGCCCTGGGTCGGGGTGCGTGCAGGAGGCAATCAGCCCAATGTAAATGTCTCTCTTACATCGATGTTTCTTTTTCTCTCTCTCTCCTTCTCTCTCACTTGCTCGCTCGCTCCCTCCCTCCCTCTCCTTCCCTTTCCCCTTCCCTCTTTCTTTTCCACTCTCTCTAAAAACCAGTGGAAAAAACATCCTTGGGTGAGGATTATTAACAAACTAACAAAAGTGCTGGTTATTGTTCTTCATGGTGTTTCAAAAATCCTAGCTTCAATGATCTAGATTTGAGCCTAGGTTCCCATTAGTTATCTCTAGATGGCAGCAGAAGACATTAGTTAGACTTCAGTTTGGAATTAAATCAACACAATCAAGTGCATGGTCTGACTTTGTCAGAGCTCTCCAAATAGTACATGTGAGACTCCACAAAGATCTGCCTTTGTGGCTGGTTTGAACATTAACCTGCTGTGTAGCCTCTGTTTGATCTTGTGGGCTGGCTCACAGAGGTGTGCTTTCCACTTTCCCTTTCTCACGTGGTGCTCACAACCCACTAGCCCATGCAGGTCTAAGCTCCTCCTCATTCTGAATCCACCCAATGGCTCCACCCTTCTTATTCATCATTATCCCATTCACAAACATGGATTCTGCGGGCTGTTAATCAACCACATACCAGTGATTTATTTGGCCTGTAGCTACTGCAGCCAGGATTTCTGTAGAACCAATTCCTCTACAAATGGCATGTGGCTAAATGCATCAGGAGCACCAACATGGCATTGTTTTGACAGACCAGAAGCAACTGGATTTCCGGCTGTGATGTGCTAGTAAAGTTGAACAAGTTCTGCAGTGGGGATTAGGGAGTCCTGATTTGTAGTATTTGCTGATTTCTATGGTATAACTCTCAACCATGGCCAATTTCAAGCTACTGTGATATAGGAACTGGGAAGACATACATGCCCACAATCAGTTCCATAAACTGGTATGAGCTGTCTTCAACCTACTTGGTTTTTGGTTAGGTCTAATGTAGGGTTAATAAGGAGAATGAGTATCTTTCCTCTCTATACAAATTTACTCACTCCAATCATCATCTGCCCCTCCAGGTGAACAATTAGTCTCATTTACTTGCAACTAAGGGCCAGGACTAGGGTGAGGCAAATGAGGTGCCAAGTGCAAACTCTAAGAGATGCTCACTTTTAGGGTCATGCAAATGCAGATGCTGCAAGTGTACAACCCTGAAACTGGGGATCTCCTTAAATTTTGTGTCCCAAGTACCTCAATGGCTACATAGGTTCTGCCATTCATTGTAAGTGAATCAGCCCTCTAACTAGGCATGATGTTTCATTGGCACTTACCCACCCTGTTCTTTTTTTATCTCATATACCTTGGTCACAGTCAAATCTAAATGTCCATCCCACTTCTGAGGTCCTACTGCAATACTCATTTTGCATGACCAGCAGCTGTGGTTTTGGGTTTAGAAAATAATCACACTCGTAAGACCCCAAAAGGCCAGCATCTCAGCAGATTTGCAGAAGAATGCAAGGCAGGGAACATGGCATACTATTTAGCAATGGACATCATGATATAGATCTCTTCAATGCAAGTCCTTACAGAAGTCCAGGGCTATTAGCCCCCAAAATGATGCTCAGTTACAAGGAAACAAGAGTACACAAATGGGTGCAGGAACTATCCTAACTTAGTAGCCTCATGCCACATATCTGTCACAGAAGAGAGTATCTCTTATATCAGCCTAGGAGTGTACTTCCATGACACAGCAAGAAGAACACCTAGGTATGTCACAATACATTCAGGAATGCTCAATACTATAACTTTCCCCAAAGTATTTACAGTTCATTCATAATCCAAGCAGATAAGATTATGTTTACAATTAGGCAGTTTACCATTTGTCATTTCTACCTTTAGTAGATTTCAGAGAAAAGGTGCTAGGAGTTCAACTGGAGGCCATTTTCATAGAAAGAAGTAGAAAGAATTTTGTTAACTCTTTACTCACATACACCAAGGCACAAAATCATAAAATTTCAGAATGTTATGGATATATTGATAGAAAACATCATAAAACTTTTCAGAGAAAAAAAGTAGGTCTCATTCAGATTTAGTACTCAGAATGGCTTCATACTTTTTTATTGCAGCACCAGAAACTAGAAGCCAGTGGAGGAAGATCTTTAAAATTCCTAGGAAAACAATTTCTGAAACAGAAATATCAATCTATACATACTATTATCCAAGCCTAAAGATATATTTTTCAGACATGCAGTCTTAAAACATTTGCCTCAATGTCCTTTTTCTCAGAAAAATTTCAGAGAACCATTACCCCATCAAACAAAGAAGGATTCAAGGAAGAGGAAGAAATCCAAGATACAGTGGATTCTTCATAGGGGAGAAGCAAAAGAAAATCTCAGAATAGTAGTAAAGAGAGATGTCAGGATATTCAACAAGCCTAGAGAGCACAGCATACAGCAGGATGATGGGGGAATACAAAAGTATAACCAGAAAAGAAAGAGAAAGAGATAGTATCTGAATGTATTAAGAGGAGACTGATATTTCTAAGGATTTGGAGGTAAAATATTGGTAGTATATAAAAAACTAAGGAAACAAACAAAAAAATCATACTACTAATAATCCTAGGGTAAAAGAGGTAATTAAAAAGGTACTAGTCTTTACTACACATGGAGAATGGAAAAAAGGAAATGCATAAATACTGAGGGTGGTGATTACCAGAAACTTTTAGTTTATTGACCTACCAGCTATTTCTAATTCCTTTTCCCTTACCTCCCTGGAGTATAGAGACTGGAAATGCTAATTACCCCCTTTCCAAGCTTTTCTTATTGTTATGAATGACCAAGTGGCTGTTACAGTCAATGATAATTAGAAATCTAAGCGTTTCTAGGAAAATGTTTACATTCCTGATTAAATAGGCAGATTTGGCTGCCATTCTTCTTTTCGGTCATTTTGTCTTAAACATGAATTGATGTCTACAGTTACAACATACTGCAAATATGAATCAACAAACCAACATGCTCAGATTGGTGGGACAGAAAGAATCTATGTTACTGATGAAATAGTTGAGACACTGTACCAACTCTGGACAGCCTACTCTAGGCTTATTAAAAGAGAGCTATCAGATAGGTTCTCTGTTAAAGATGAATGCAATAAAGAATTCCTAACTAATTATGGAATATGAGAGCTAAATATTCATTCTCTATACTGTGAATTAAACAGATAAAAATCAAGAGTTAACATGCTGAAGCATTTTATTTACTTAGAACCATGACAATAAGTACCTGAAAGAGTAGCTAAAAAACAAACAACAACAAAAAATGGAGGCCACAAGGAGTGGCAAATGGGAATGGGAATGGGTGGGAAGGGGGCTGCTACTTTTCAGTGTAAGCCTTATAGTAGTATTTTGGCCCAGGTACTTCTCTGTTGTGGGGGGTTGTTCAATGCAGTTTAATAGTGTCCTTGGACTCTACTCAGTAGATACTAGTAGCAACTAGGGATAGTGTAACAACTAAAAATGTTTCCAGCCTTTGCCAAATGATCCTGAAGGTCAAACTGCTCCTGTTTGAAAACGATGGCCTCATAGTACTATTTTTTTTAAAACTTTCAATAATATTGCAAATGTATTACTTTGATAAAACTAATTTTGGGGGAAGGTGGGAGGTTGAAACAGTATGAAAAGAGCTAGACTAGAGACCACCAATGTCATTTCTTCTTTCAAACACCTCTCAATTTCCTTCCTAATCTCTCCCTGGTTCTAAGAATGCTTCTCCTCCCCTCCGAGACAAGCACAGACAGAACGAGATACATACCTCCTAGAAATGCACACTCATAATGGCTGCAGGTCTTATTTGTGCTTCGAAGGATAAGATTATTGCTAGTCCCATCCTTTGACACATGAAAAATCTCATTCAGAGGTATTATAATGATTCTTCCACTTTCGTTTTCTTTATCAAAAAATTTTCCAATGGCAACCCCAAAGCATGTGTGAATGGTTAACAGAATGTGTTCGTCACTTGCTGCTTGAGGTTTGTCTGAATGTGCCAAGGTGAAATGGCCAAATCTGGCTTGGTTTAGCCCTCCGAAGGTAAATGAAGTACCCTGGATTGTGCTATACACCACATCTTTGTAGCTATCCTCACAATGTCTTCTCAGCAATTGCAGGGCTTTGGTCAGGTAAAAATGAAAAGCTTTGAATTGGAAGCCATAGATATAATCTTTTCGAGATTGGCCAGCCATCTTCACAGCTTTATTGAACAGATGGTAAAAGGAAGTTTGCTCTTGAGCTTCAGAAATATATGCCATCAGGGCTATTCCATGGTTATCCTTAAACGTCATAGGGAGAGAGAGCTGAGTCTTCTGAGCTTCCCATTTGGTTTTTGCATTTTCCCACACATCCTCAAAGAGCTGATGGCTTGCTTTTTCTTCCTTGAGCAGTTGGGGAACAAATTTGAATTCCATCCTCTCAGTACATTTCTGGTATTCATCATCAAATGCATTATCTGCCATGTCTAACATATTAGCCTTTACCTTCAAAAGAAAAGGAAATTAATATTCTTGAAACAAGATATTTGGTGTGTCTTTTTCTCTCACACTACTACCTCCACACTCTCATACCCTGCCAAGACTCTCTCCCTTGCTTACAACCAAATTTGGATTTTTTTTTTTCTTAAGAAAGAAAGGGGGGAGGGGGGGAGAGAGAAATTGGCGGCCTCCTGCACACCCCCTATTGGGGATCAAGCTCACATCCTGGACATGTGCCCTGACTGGGAATTGAGCTTTGATCTCCTGGTTCATAAGTCAATAGTTAACCACTGAGCCACACTGGCTGGGCTGGATATGTTTTTTTATGTAGAAAGTATATCCTATTGCTATTGATAATTTTTCTCAGCTATGCCCTATTTGTGTGAAAGAGTAAATGTTAGTGGGTAAGATATGGGTATGATTATACCTGTAACTCATTTATTTGAACCTTGTGGTATATAAGAAAAACCATTGAGTATAAAAGTTGAAGAAATTGGTGGCAATCCTGGCTTTGAAAATATACTTAGCCAGATTTCCTCAATTCCTCAAAACTGTTGAGTGAACATAAAATTATAATGCATAATAAATACATAATAGTAATATCACCCTCTTCTTTTTTAGGACATTCCCTTGTCCATGTGATTTGGATAGGACTGATTCTGTACCTTCAGCCCCAGTAATAAGCAATAAATCAGGCTTAAAAACCAGAGCACTCTTTCTTTTTCTACAATCACAAGCTCTAATGATAATATTGACTTGGGAAAGCCCATAGTTATCCTTTTAATTCCATGGAAAAGCCTATCTTTAAATAAAACCAATAACGAAGCCCCAATAACATTATTTAGGCCTTGGGTCTAGCTATCTGAAGGCTGTATTTTATCTTAGTCATAAGAAGCAACAAATGCCTATTTGCTTTGAGCATGTTTGCATTGTTTCTGCTATGTATAAATGAAAAAGGCCCAATCCACCTTTAAATGATACATATGAGAAACAGGGTGGTGTAATATAATTAACACTAGCTTAGGGTCAGAAAGGTGTGGGTTCAAATTCCATTTCTGTTACTAACTAGGTACTAATCAAGTATGGGAAAGTTATTTGACATTTCTGAGCTTCAATCTTTTCATATAAACATGAGGCTAAGGTAAGGAAACATGCGTTAATTGGAATTCTGTTGTAAGGATTAAATGATATAATGAATAAATGCAAAGTCTTAGCTCCATGCCTGGCACATGTCAAGCCTTCACCAAACTGTGATTATTTTTATTTCATTATAGAAATATATTTATTATACTGTAAATTATTCAAGGATAGGATCTGTACTATATTTCTCTTTTGAAGTCCAAGCATCTATACATTGAAGTTAATTATATAAAACACTGCACTCTGACCTACTGATCATAAAACAGGATGAACAAATCTGCCCAGGGATACCATTTAAGGGTTTCTACAAATGAAAAGATAATGCCCTCCACATCATTCTCTCTTTCCACTATTCTATACTACTTCTATGGCACACTGGTTGCATAAGCTATACTCTCAGTTGGAGACCTTAGTTAGAGACTTTATAGACACAGATTGAGTAACTTGTCTAGAACTGAAATTTGAACCTGAGCAACCTAGTTCCAGAGTTTGTCCCCTTAATTAAAATGTTATTTCCAGTGATGAAGACCATTGGAATTTATGTAGCACTTCTAAAAGGGTTTAATTTGTTCTCATAGAAACCCATATGAAAGGTTGGGAAGACGATTCATAACACCATTTTACAAATGAAGCAATTATACTGGCATCAGAAACTAATTTTTCTTGATTACCTGCCACAGAATATTCTTCTGTGAAACACCCCTGTACTCCTGGGTCTGTAGGTCAGTTTCTTGAAGTGGGAATTTGAGCTTCAGGAGACTAATTCCCTGCTATCTTCTAGCCAAGAAATTCACTTTCCTCTGCAGCACAGAATGTACCAGAGGATAGCCTGGTCTCCAATGACTGTTTTATCTTTAAGTCTTAAGACTTCAACATATTACAAGACATCATACCCTGAAACTACCACCTCCTACACTCCTCCATATCACATCCAAGTTGATCCAATTTGTTCCTGTCTGCTCTATGCCTCTAACCAGTCTCCACCAGTCTAATTTTAGGCATCAAGTCTTTCTGGACCAAGGCCACAGTTGATTGTGTGTTCTGTACAACGAGTGCCTGGAACAGTGAAAAAGTTCACAAATGCCGCCACTGTCCAGGGACCAGGGGATGGACATTAAAGGTACAGATACAAAAGGCTAGGTGAACACACTGGTTATATATTATCTTCCTCTGATTTATCCATTGAAACAAAGGCCAATGCTGGTGAAATTAAATTACCAAAAATTTATTACAAAAATGTAGAAATGATCTAAATGTTCAGAAAAGAAATTATAGAAATGCGTAGAAAAACCCTTTAAACTTTTGTTGCAAAAGAATATTAAAAATGTAAATAAAAATCAGTGAATATTAAAAATGTAAATATTTGTTGCAAAAGAATATTAAAAATGTAAATAAAACTACTTCATATAGCCAAGACCGGTTTGGCTCAATGGATAGAGCATCAGCTTGGGGACTGAAGGGTCCTGGGTTCGATTCCGGTCAAGGGCATGTACCTTGGTTGCAGGCATATCCCCAGTAGGGGATGTGCAAGAGGCAGCTGATCGATGACTCTCTCTCATTGATGTTTCTAACTCTCTATCTCTCTCCCTTCCTCTCTGTACAAAATCAATAAAATATATTTAAAAAAAAACTACTTCATATAATTTAGGGTGGCTATTTTAATAAGAAAAAAAGAATTTGTGTTGGCCAGGATGTAGAAAAATTAAAGCGTCATTGCTGATGGGAATGTAAGAAGCAGCCACTATGGAAAACAGTTAAACAGTTCCTCAAAATGTTACATATACAGTTACCATCTGACCCAGCAATACTATTCCTAGGTATATACCCAAGATAATTAAAAATATATGTTCACACAAAAACATATACATGAAAGTTCATAGCAGCAGTACTTATGCATAAGAACAAAAAGTGGGAACAACCCAAATATCCATAAATTGATTCATGGATAAACAGAATGTGAATAATCATACAATGGAATATTATTCAGCTATGAAATGAAGTACTAATATATGCTACAACATAGATGAACCTTAAAAACTTTATGCTCAATGAAAGAGGCCATACAAAAGGACAGACATTGCTTGATTCCATTCAGATGAAATGTACAAAATGTCCAGAATAGGCACATCCATAGTCACAGAAAGCAGATAGGTGGGATAGCCAGGGGATGCAGGGAAGCAGGAATTGGAGCTGAATGCTAATAGCTATAGGGCTTCTTTTTAGGTTGATGAAATAATTTATATTGAGACAGTAGTGAAACTATGCACAACATGGTGAATCTACAAAAACCACTGAATTGTGAATTGTTATATGTAAAGTATATCTCAGTTAAAAATCACACTACAGTACAGGCAACAGAATATATAATCATTCTATAGACAATGTATCAGAATATAAATTAAAAAATAGATAAATTTTAAGAATTCAAGATTTTTTTAAGGAGGTACCTCAAGTCAATGGACAAATAATCAGTGGTGACATGACAGATAACAATGTGAGGGGAGGAGTTATGTAAGATACCTGAGTCATATTTTACATAAAAATATGTTACAGAATGTGTAAGGATTCAACTTCAAAAAAATAATAATAAAAGTTCTATCAGAAAAAAATATGTGGTCAAAATAGTGAAAATGGTAATTATATAGTAGTTTAATAAAAAACATGTAACCAAATACTGCAGTGTCATCTTATTTGAAAAAAAAAATACATATTTCCAGAATATTTAGTGACCCAGAGATACATTTATAGCACAGCATTTACTTAAAAAGGCAAAAAACATATGTACTGTGAACCCATTTTGTAAATTAAACACAGAGAAAGAGAAGCCAAGAAGACTATATTAATCAACAAATTAAATTTCCCCATTGAGTAGAGAGACTGTGGATGATTTTTACTCTCCTCTTTTTGTTTAATTTCAATTTTTTCAAACTTCTATAATTAAAATGTATAAAATGTATAAAATGAAAAGATGAAAACTTCTTGAAAAACTGATTTATCTATTCTCTCTGCTCCCATTTACATTATGAACCACACAGATGCCTTAGGTAATGTTACATCAAGAGTTTCTAGCTCAATGACCATGTACTTCCCATTTCCAACATTACCTGGAAGATATTCATTAGAATCATAGCTGACAGCAGCATGGTGACCATTTCAAAATTTCCTGTCTTCATTTTTCTCTTCTAAATTAAAATGAAGAAATTTTAAATTAATAGACTTGAGACTTACGGAAGTAGAGCACTATACACTATATATATTTTTATTCTGGGTGGAAGTAGGTATCATGAAGGTCAGGAAGTGATTACCAATAAATTCCAATGTCTGCTTGTCTAACACCCCCATTCTATAGATGAGAAAACAAAAACTCAGAGAACTTCAGCAATTTGCTCAAGATTAAATCTATCCATTTCCATTCTCGTCTAGATACGTTGTCTCTCCCACCATAGTCATGTTTTCTTATCACATCTCTCCTCAGCATACTCAGAAAATTAACACTAACAAAAACAAAAACGTTTCAAAATTGGTCTCCCAACTCCCAGTTTCTAAGAATTCTCCAGGAGTTAGAGACCATGTACATCATCTACTCTTCTTTCCTTGTTGCAAACCAAGTCATGCCCATTTGGGTGTAATGGAGATGATGAAGCCAGTAATGGTACAAAGCAGGTTTCCAAGGGTACCTCCTTCCCGCTCAATATTCACATTCAAGAGAAGCCCACGGATAAAGTGTCTTGCATAACTTTTTGAAGGCAGGAATGAGAATAATAAGGAACTGGGTAGGCAGCAATTCTAATAAGATTATACAACTCTGCTGGCTGAATGCCCAATATTCATCACAGTGTTTATGAGACTGAAAGGGGTAAGTAGGAGGGTAAGAGGCCCAAAGGGCTGAAGCTGTCCCAGAGTCAATAAATGACTCGTTAAAGGTGGTCTACAGTTCTTTCCACATACTTACGATACAGTTAACATTACTGAAACTGAACTAAAAATCTGTTTTATCATACCAATCACCATATTCTGGCATCTGAACATGGAATGAAAGCATAGAGAAAAGAAGACAGTCTTCCTTTTGGGCTTAGGTCCCTGCCTTTATTTAGGAGCTATTTGTTTTACTAAAGATATTAAAATATACTATCAAACATGCCACTTTTGTGTCAAACTTCCATTTCCAAAAAAGATTCGGTCTGTAAGACTTGGCAAATAACTGTCACAAAGCAGTGTGTGCCAAGAAAACTAGGAAACCAGGTTTTGTTTTAATTCTTCACTGCTGTAGTCTGAGTGTAAATAAGTAAAAATGTTTACCTGGCTTTTCTGCTTGTGGAGATTTAAATGATGCTAGGTCTCAAACTGTGTCCCCACTTTCTCTGTTGTGAGCGTGTCTTCAGAATGGGAGGTTGTTGACAGTGAGAGCTGAGACGGGAATGCTTTTCTTTTTATAAACACCCCCAGCAGTAGCTTGGCAGAGGCACATTACCCCATTTGTGTCCTGCTATTTATATCTGGCCCCCACACTATCCCTTGGAATCACTGCTGTTAACACATGAAATATCCAAGAGGCTTGTAAAGCCACAGCAATTCCTTCTAACCACACAGCGTGTTCGGTTCTGAGCCTTTAGTGTTAGGCTTCTCAGAGAGTGATCACTTCCCATTCCTAACCCTTTGACTCTGAGACGTCAAACTAAAGCAAGACTTTACCCTAGCTAGATGGTTCACATAACTAAAGGGACTTGCTGTGTTAATTGCTGGCAATGACTATGGTTATCACCATTCATTCAACCAGCTCACTGCATTTCAGGTACTGTGCCAGATGCTGGGATACACAAGCAAGCAAAACAAAGTTCTGAGAAGCATTCACAATTCATATCTTTTATATGAATATATATACTTAATCAGAATACATGTTAAGAATCTTAAGTATAAAAGGTTTATAAAAAATAAATAAATTTAAAAAATAAAATAAATAAAATAAAAACCTGTGGTACATCTACACAATGGAATACTATGCTGCCATAAAAAAGAAGGAACTCTTACCATTTGCAACAGCATGGATGGACCTGGAGAGCATTATGCTAAGTGAAATAAGCCAGTCAGAGAAAGATAAATATCATATGATCTCACTCATTTGTGGAATATAATGAACAACATAAACTGATGAACAAAAATAGATCCAGAGACATAGAAGCATTGAACAGACCATCTAACCTCAGAGGGAAGGCAGGCGAGGGGGGGGGGGGGGGAACTGGTATAAAAGACCAACCAAAGGACATGTATGCATGCATATAAGCATAACCCATGGACACAAACAGTAGGGGCATGAGGGCATGTGCTGGGGGTTCGAAACAGGTGGGGAGAGGTCAATGGGGGACAAAGGAGACATATGTAATACTTTAAACAATAAAGAATTTTAAAAAGGAACAAACCAAAAAAAAAAAAAAAAGAATCTTAAGTATAGCCAAAACTGGTTTGGCTCAGTGGATAGAGCGTCAGCCTGTGGACTGAAGGGTCCTGGGTTCGATTCCGGTCAAGGGCATGTACCTTAGTGGGGGGTGTGCAAGAGACAGTTGATCGATGTTTCTAACTCTCTATCCCTCTCTCTTCCTCTCTGTAAAGACTCAAAATATATTAAAAAAAAAGAAAAGAAAAAAAAAGAATCAAGTATAGACAAGTTTAGTGATAGCACTAAGAAGGGAAGGATTTGGTAACAATATCTGCAACTGTAACTCTCATCTGAGTGAAGTACACATAGTGAATATATTGACTACATGCTGAAGAACACTTAGAGTTCACTGACTGGATAAAAAAAATAATTGAGTGTCCTAGGAAATTCATGCATATGTACATCAAAACACGTTAATCGAATGTATTAGATAGTAGCTCTATTCATAACAGCTCCAAACTGTAAATCATTAAAATGCCTATCAAAAGTAGAATGGATAAATTGCAGTATATTATACAATGGATTTTTTTGAATATTAAAATTAATAACCTCTAATGACACAACAAATGAGGATAAATCTCTCAAACAAAATTATGACTAAAAGACACAAGGTGCATATACTACATGATTTAATTTACATAGAGTACAAAATCAGACAAAACACATCTATGGCCTTAGATGTCAGAGCAGTGGTTATTCTAAGTGGGACGTAGTAGCTGGAAGAGAATAGGCACTGGGGAGCCCCTGGGATGCTACTCAGGTTCCGTTTTGGTTCTGGGTGTTGATTACATTTGGTTGTGGGTGTTGACTTGTGAAAATTCACTAACCTATATATGTGTATTTTTCTGTGTTGTGTGTGTATACACATATATATTACTCAAAGAAACATTTTAAATTATCATAAAGTACATGCACTTTACAAAAACCCATCTCATCTCTACTCTTCAGACTCTTCAAAACCTCTAACCTCTTCTCACCTCATTGTCTAAGCAATTTAACTAAAATCCTAGAAATAGTATTATTTTTTAAAAATGGAGTTTGGTTAGGAAGGAAAAAGAATGTATGCACAGGTTTTAAGCCTATGCTCATGCTGGCTTGCTTTTAAGTCCCAGGCATGTGGGCCTACAGGAAATGTGGTAGTGGTATTTCCCCATCTGTGGCCTTCTCAAATCTATTAGATTCATCTATCACTCAAAAGACTGAGTCCACCAGAAAGAACATAAACACTGTGTGAAGTTCAAAGCAAGTTTTGCCTTGTTTATTCCCAATATGCCATTGTTCCATTCCTGTTTTTTTCCATTTTAAAACTCTTGATATCATTCATTCAACAAATATTTAAGTCATTGCAATGTTCCCAGCACTGTTTTTCCCAGGTACTGGGGTTATAACAGTGAACAAAATAAATATCTTGCCCTTGTCAAATTTATATTCTTGTGGGAGGAGGCAGTCAAATAATAACTACTCCTTAAAAAAAAAGTAGTACAAGGGAGATTAGGAGTGCAGAGAGAGTTTGCAATTTAAATGGATGATTACGGATAACTCATTGAAAGTTTACATTTAAACAAAGTCTTAAAAGAAATGAGGGAGATCAGCCATGAAGATTGTGGTGGAAAAGTGGTCGGGCAGAGGGAATTCAAGCAGGCCAATATGGATGGAACAAATAGGTAAGAGAAGAATAGTAGGAGATATAGTCAGGAAGGTAAGAGGGGTATTAGTAAGATCATGTCTTTGCAGGCCACTGGAAAATGTTGAATTTTACTCAAAGAGAAAGAGGATCATCCTGACTGTTATGCTGAGAATAATCTGTAGGGTAAGAGTAGAAAGACCAGTTTACAGGTTATTATAATAATGCTAGCAGAGATTATGGTAGCTCAAACAATGATGGTAGCAGTAAAGGTGAGAAAGGTTTATGTATGTGTATGGTAGTCTTTGAGTTTGTTAAAAATACTCTTTTTGAATATTAAATTAAACATGTTTTCAAATATGGTAAGGAAAAGTATTTGTGGGTTCTAAAAAGCTAATATATTTTCAAAAAGATGATAATTTATTAAAAAGTAAATGGAAATGATCAATAGTGATATAATTTCTTACATAATAAAAATATTTGGATTTAAATTCAGAATATAATTTTAAGATTGAAGCAGTAGGATGCACTGACAGAGTGGATGTGGGCTGCAAGAGAGGTAAAGAATAATTCCAAGATTTTTAGCTTGAATAACTGGAAGGATAAAGATGTCAATGTTAAAATAGGGAAGACTCTGTATAACCGATGTCCTAGAAGTCAGGTGAAGAAAACATTTCCAAGAGAAAGAAAAGATCAAAAGTGTCAAATGCTTCTGATAGGTCAAATAAGATCAGGACAGGGAAATGGTAAGAGGATTTAACAATGTGGAAGATATTATCAGCCTTGATAAGAGCAAATTTAATGGAACAGTGGGAATGAAAGCCTGGTTAAAATGGCCTGAGAATGGAAAGAAAAGGAAATGGAGAAATACTCAACTCTTCCAAAAAGTTTTTCTGAAAAGGAGAGAAAAGCAATAAGGAAGTAGCTTAATGGAAAGGGTTAGAGGAAAAAATAAAGAAGAGAATTCAAGAGAAAAAAATTTTAAAGATGGAAAATAATAGCATGTTTGAATAATGACTCAGCAGAGAGGATGAGAGTTGGTAATACAGGAAAGAGAGAAATACTGGATCAATGTCCTTGACTAGGCAAAAGGGTGTAGAACCTAGAATACAAGTAAATGAGGT